TTTTCATCAAAATCTTTATTATTTTACAATAATTAATTATGAAGAAAAGGCCCAGCCGATTCTGAACATATATTTCGAATAGTTTTTAAATTTTCAAAATCGGTTCAAGATTTTTGGTTAAAACATTAACGACAAATGTTGCACTTATCTGCTAATTATAATGAAACTACTCGGCCGAGTATTTATCGAGTTTCATTAAATTTTAGAAATTTGTGCAGCCATTTTTGAGAAATCGTCCGCGAAAAGTCAAGTTTTCGCTCATATATACAAACACTCTTCAAACAAGGATCTCCGCTGGGATGTTTAAAGGAACTTTCAATAAATCCATATATAAATAAGCATAAACCTATGTATAAGACTGTTTTGATAATCTTTTCTGTACATTGTTTTTAATTGCATTGAAATATTACACAGAACATCATTTTCATCCAAAAATTTTAGAAAAAAAAGGAACAAAAGATTCAATACATGTATAATTAATGACAAAACGACAAGATAACGTTCAGGCCAATACGTACGTACGTTACATACTATAACTGCAGTCGATAATGATAATTTATCTAACGTCAAAATTCAATATTTGCTACTTTTATAACTAATACGATAAATTTCCTTCACTTTTTGGGGTGCTTTGTAACATGGCGTAAAAAGTGCTGCTAGTAGATTTCAGCCTTCCTAAGCGCTTATTTATGAATAGTGAATTTGTGATTAGTTAATTATTACACTACGCAAATGCTATCTGGGCACGATAGCTCGCTGGATTGCTCATATTGTTTTGGGCGAAATCGAAGATGCTGAGCACGTGTTCTTCGTGTGCCTACGGTTTAGTGATCTACGGGAAGATGTAGAAGAGATATTAAGGCGAAGAATTACTCCAGATACTGTAGTTGAAGTGATGCTGACAACTGAAGCTGCTTGGAACGCCCTGGACAGATTTGCGAGAGATGTGCTAATTGACCTGCGTTCTATGGAAAGTGAAAGGGTGAATGGGACTTCACTGATTTAAAAGATAAGTATAAAATCAGTGTAAAAATGATAACATTCTAGATCCTCCCCCCACGAAGTAATGCCTAACGACGGTTTCCGTGGAGATCAGAGGCAAAGGCAAAGCGGAGGTTTTAAGACCAGTCTGAGATGCATAAAGGTATTTCCTTCGCTGAAAAAACATATATATATATATATATATATATATATATATATTATATAATCAACCTGAATACGTACCGCGCAGAATACGTAAACGTTGACATTTCAAACGCACATTCGGATACAGTTCGCATTCCAGCTCTCCTCCTTCAGCCTCCATTTTGATTGCATGAATTGCATAATATCAGTTGCATCTTCAGGTGATACTACAACTTCTTTGTTTGGCTCTAACATAAACTCCTAATAATTAGGATTTGCTTGCTTTAACCAAGATCACCTGCCAACAAAAAAATAATGTAATATATTTGTAAGAATTATACAATAATTGCTTTATATGGCGTACCTTTGTGAGAGGGTTTTAATCTCTGAAACCATATGCAGGAGCGTAGCGTGCCTTGGTGGGGCCCCGTATGAAAATTTGTTTGGAGGCCCCCTCAAGAAGAACATTTTTTTTCACAAAATATAAAAATACATATAAAGAATATTTATTAATCGTTCTAATTATTTATCTATCTAATTTTCTCTAATTTTCTGATTTTTTCTCAAATGATTCCAGATATATTTTCACCCTTCTTGTCTTCTTTGAAAAACCGGAAGTATTTAGTGATCTTTAAATTTTATTAAGTTTTTGTCTCTAAGAACATACACTTCTAGTAGACATTTGTGCCCTAAAGTTTTTACGTAATTTTTAATTAGTCTTAATTTTAAAATTTTCTTTTAGCAATTGCGATTTTAACAGTAAAATGTGTAATTAAGGGCCAAGAAAAAATGCATGCTGTTATTTCGTTGGGAAAACTGGATGCAAGTCCATTGCATCCATCATTGTACCTTAATGAAATAAATTTCTTAGATTTCTGTGTTCAAACCTCTTTCTAAAACTACCAATTGGTCATGATCATATGAGATATTTTACAATATTTTTTTACAGTAATTCAATCGACAGTTTTCCGGAAACGTTTATTAATTCTCGATTTCAAAAAGACAAATGTTACTACTTACGTCGCAAAGGTTTTGAAATCTTTGTTTGGTTTGCGAAATAAATGTATCCAAACAGCAATAGTATACATTAACACTTACGGGACGGCATTGATTTCAAAACAATCTACTGAACCGGCTGTAAACTTGATTTCATTGTGTATGTTATGCAATTTCTTCGACAAAAATTTGTTGTCATTGAAGGATATACATTTATATTATTAATTTATTTTTGATCATTTTATAAAGAATGGTGACGTTCAAAACAATTTCCAAAATGCATAGCTGGCTGATTTTGACATGTTTTACAATAAAATGTTGTTCGCTGCCTTTCTCCTGGTGCTTTTCTGTCAGAACAGACAATATAATCCCTTTTTCTTTCTTTCGTATTTAGAATATGCCACTGATTAGACAGTATATTTGTTCATTTTTGAGCTGCCATAAAGGTTTGTTTTTTGTTTTATATTGTCTAATAATTCATTTGTAAAATATAAAGTAAAATAATCTATTGGATGTCTTATATTGCTTGGTATTTGTAGTCGGGGTGTTTGTTGATGTATGTCAAACTCGATTATTGAAGGAGAATCGGCACATTCGCTAATGTCTTTCCGCTCTTCATTTAATTTGTTCAACTTCTTCTTCCTTTTGTTGGTTGGATAATATCATCATCACATTCATCACTATCTTCGGTGCGAATAGTAATTTCGTAAAATTTGTGCGTATGAATGTCTTTTTGAAACTCATCTTCACCACTGCTTAAATCACAAAATTTACCAGTCGTTTTGCCATATTTAAAAGCGCTCGGTCGTTTTAAATATTAAAAAAAAAGACCATATAGCAAAGAAAAAGGCTAAAAATACTACTAAAATAACTTAAAATTATTTTCAAAATACAATACTGTTTATCACTGCTATATGTAATTTATTCAACTTTTCGATGCAAACTGAGTCATTATTTATAAAATAGAGTATGTTTGTCCACTGAGGTGGACAGCCGTCCCCAAAGAGTTAAAATAAGATTTCGGGTCTAAAATTCTCTGATTTTGTGATAACTTAATCATAATAACCCTTCATTATCTTTTGTCTTTTGTTCTTTAAAATATTTATTGCAATCCATCTTTTTGCAAATTATTTATACTTCTTCAGCAAAATAAATATTCATATCTTAATTTATAATTTATAAAATTATAAAATATAAGATTTATAAAATAATATTTAATTCCAAACGTTTCGACATTCAATTTAATGTCATCATCAGTGAATATTGAACATGGTATTTTATATCTAAAAATGTGTACACATCACAGAATTTTGCACTTTTATCTATGGATACACCTAACCAGTCAAAAATCATGATTTTTTTTAATAAGAAAAATAATGAGAGTTTTGTTTTGCAAAACTGGAAAAAATTTTAAGTATTTTTGCACAGACCGGAAGCTATGTATATATTCGACGAATGGGCTGCTAGTTACTTTGAAATATGTTTCAACGTCGAAAAAACTAACAAGATATATATATATATATATATATATATATATATATATATATATATATATATATATATATATATAGGATTTATAGATGACAATCCAGAAGGTTGTCCATTCACTATATGGTAAATTTATTATTACAAATTTTCTAATACTGATGCCAGGCTATTTTTACTTGGAAACATATTGCTATGTATCTATATTTTACCAAACCTATAATATTAGAGAAAAAAATATGAAAACCGATTTTTTTTTTTAATTTTCAACCAATTTTATACTTTATACATATAACAGTCAGACGTTATATTAGACGTTATAATAACAGTGTCTGGTATGAGAGATCATACAAATATATTTAAGGGGGCGTCCATAAATCACGTGAGGTTTTTAGGGGGAGGGGGGGTTGACAAAAAATCACGAAATATCACGTGGGGGAGGGGGGGTATGGTAAGATATCACGTGTATTTATTTTTTAAGAGATTTTTTTTTTAAAAATCGAACATTTTCAAAAAAAGAATCAAAAATTTTAGTTTTTTCACTTAACTAAAAATACATGTGATGTTTGGTGTGAGAGGGGGGGTAATTTTGAATATCACCACGTATAACCAAGGGGGAGGGGGGGTCCAAAAATCCTTAAAAACTAGCTCACGTGATTAATGGACGCCCCCTAACGACCTAACTGGGGCTCTATCTGAGTACTACCAACGCCCAAACCTCGGTTGCAACCTTGGTGATTGGATGAAAACCGCTGTTACGTTCGTGCCAAATTTATTTCGATTTTAATTTATTTTAGTTCAAGAAGATATGTTATAATTATTTTTTTTAAATGATATCGCGTAAATGGCCGCCTTGGCCCTCGAGTACAAAATTGGATTGCCAGTCAGCAAATGTGTAAAACTCCAGCGTAAATGTACTGGTCAATGGTTGTTAAACTGTCTTGTATAGAAGTCCATATCCATATAGGCTACTTATCTATCTAGGTGACACTTCTTCACATTGTTCAGGATTAGTTTGGGCAGAATAATATTAAATTTCAAATTATAACAATAATATTCATAAATTAATTCATATAATAAAGTTTTCGTGTCATTAAATAATATGATAATTCATATATTTGTCAATAATTACAAAAATTTCAACACTTCAACAGTATCTTACAATTTTTGGTATAATGCTCTTAATCCTGCATGTTCTTGATTGAACTTTAGACTTATAAGTGATTGGAGTAAAAAGAGTACAAAATAAATTTAATGGATTATAACTATTAGCCACAACAATACATCTCTGGGGCCTTTATTTAGAAATATATAAAATAATATAATAAACGTGAAATTTTACATAACTTATATAAGTTAATATCAATTAAGATCATTTAACATTTTATATCCGCTATTAATATGTCGTATTTTTTGTATAAAATTATTCCGATTTTTAATGACACCCTTTTAAATAAATCAGTAAATGTCATGTTAACTCGTTAAAATTGTATGTATTATTTATAATATATTATTGCATAACTAAATAAATTTCTCCGTCATAGAGTAACGTAGAGTGATTGTAATATCTAGCGTATTTTTTTTGAAATGTTTAAAATAAGTTCGTCCACCCTTTCACTTTGCCCTTTGAATGAAGCAGGTGATGGACCAATCATCTGTATCAATTGTGGAACATCTTGGCCGCTGATTTGGCAAAATCTGATAAAGTAATTAGAACAATAAAAATATTAAAATAAATAGACAAAAAAATAAATATGGAAATATGAGTTAGAATATTTCTTAGTACATATTAAACTTGAATATCTGTTTTACAACTGTATATATATATACATATATATATATATATATATATATATATATATATATACATATATATATATATATATATATCTAATTACTCAATTATAGTTATTTTATACTAAAAAGAATACATACTTAGCAAGGGCTTTCATGCACCTAAATAGGTATTCCTCTATTGGCTTAGAATTGAAAAACTGTAGAATGGCCATAGTGAGTTCAACAGCAACGTCGTCAAATACCTAAAAATAAAAGTTTTTATTGAGAAATAAAAATTCAAAAATGAAATTCATGACCGTAGCTTCTGTATAAACTAAATAATTGCACTACTAATGACATAGCATTTTAAGAGTACATTAACATGATATTCAGGCGGTCTTCCTCACTTTTATAATGCGCTCGTATATTGCATATGCTTGCATTTAAATGCATAGTAAATCTAGCTAGGCGTCCGAAGCAATAAAACTATATCGATCACCGAAAATTGCATGACAGGGCTCTAATAATTTGTCAACCTATATTATGTTACATTTGAATCATGCAATAATTTTAACATAGATAATAAACTAGTAACTTGCAGAAACAATTAATTAAATTTCATATATTTCACGTTTCAAATAATAATTTCTCAAAATACGGTAAAAATATGTAGACCTTAAATATTAAATATTTTTGGAGAAGCATATTATAATACAGGTAAGCTAACATATGTTACACATAATAATTAAAACATCATATTTTATTTCATCATATAATGCACATACTCATACAGTTCTTCCGAAATAATCCAGATGATCGGAATATTCAAAATGAAAAATGTTTTTATTTATTTGCTGAATTTCTAAGAATTAGTTACGCAATGAGATAAGTTAAAATAGAGCAAAATAAAATTAGTTGATTAGTTATTTTAGCATAATTTATTCTCATTCATTTTTCTATGCTCACAAGGTACCTTGGATTTACTTCCAGGTGGTAATTTCTTTCGAAGCCTTTTTCCTTGATGCATTTTCTGAAAAATAAATTTCAAACGAGGGAAGCAAAAAAGAAACTACATTTGCTTAATTTTAAAGAACATTGAAAATAAATTTTGGCTCGACGTAAGCAAAGTTTGTAACAATTAATTTGACGCAAGGGTTAGCAAAAAAAAATCGCCAGTTCAGAACAGTATGTGCATGTGCAAAAAAACAATTGTGCAATGTTGCTATTTCTCCATTAATTTATTTCGCGTATAATACCTATAAATATTTATGGACTAGCTACAATTATATAGCATAAATGTATGTAATGAAAAATAAAGGCTTACAAAGTTTGGGTAAATTTTGAACCGAAATTATCACGTGCCATCTAAAAATTGTGTAACTTAAATATTTACTTTATCATTTATAAACTTTTGAATTAATAATATTATCATTTGTCTCTATAATATAGCTCGCTCCTATTACAGATCATATCTCCAGACTTAGTTGCTCGAGATCGGTTTAATTTAGAATTATTCGAACCAAGTATTATTCGGCGCATCCCAAACCTACACATATATATAAATAATTTCTTGAGCAAAGTTTTTTATTTTGGTCTCTAGAATTCGAAAATCATATGTGCGTAAGCGATTTTTAAATCAACCCACTCTAATTTATATATATATATATATATATATATATATATATATATGTGTGTGTGTGTGTGTGTGTGTGTGTATATAAGGTATTTGATAAGATGTTTATATAAAATTTACAGAAACGGCTTGTATAAATATGTGTTAACATATTCAGGAACGTAATGCAGAATGACATGAATCCTATTACATAAATTATTGCACGATAATATATTATCATATATTAATTGTTATTTATAGTCTGACTATCCTTAGTTATAGTTATCAGATTATAATCGTTAGATCTTTGCTTAAAAATTGTGACTCTTTACTCGATACACACCACAGTTTTTACCTCCTTGCAGGCCATATTATGCACTATTGCCGTACCAATATCTTGTAGTTCTGGTTCAGCTGCCAATAAACAATGTACAGCCACCTGCACATAAAAATATAGATATTTAAATATGCATAAATATTAGAAAAGTTGATATATATTGATCATGTTGTTTACTAACTTTAGTTGTTCCCCTAATGTTTGAAATAGGTTGTCCTTTATAATCCCATTCGGAGATGTAAAGTAGCCATTCTGAAGAGCTTAAATTCTCGAACATATTGCATAGCTGAAAAACATTAGAATGAAAAAATTAACAGCAAATAAAAAAAAGCAATGTACCGAAACATGAATAAATTAATTCAATTAAAAATCTATAATCGATTTCGAGCGTTTTCTTATTTTTTGTGAGATCAACAAGAATTCCATGACACACAATTTTACTAGAAACTTGTGGCGATATCGTTATGTGTTATTATTGGTTACCTTATGTTCATAAACTTTATTTTTTATGGAAAAAAATATGTTTGTCATATTGATATGTAATCACAATAAGATCGGTTGCCTCAATCAAATTAAATGTTACAATAATAATCTAAGCTGAATTATAGGATTTATATTAAATTGAATGAGTTAATAAAAGAAGATACTATTAACGCTAAAAATGCATAATGCTTCAAAAATGTTGAATATTTCAAACTTTTGGATTTGGACATTATCGGAATATGGAATATCATATTGGAAGAATGCCGATGGGTACTTTACCGCCTATTTCACCGATTTGAAGAAAGCTTCATATTTATAATATAAAGCTATATATATATATATATATATATATATATATATATATATATTGATTGTTTCTTTTCCGAACACAACACGTTTTTCTTTGTTCGGTAAGGAAACAATCAATATATTGAAAAAATCCAGGACTTATCTATTGAATATATATATATTGATTGTTTCTTTTCCGAACAGTAAATCCAATAATAAAAAACAATTTTTTTTGAAGACTCAGTTCAGAAGAAACAGTTTTTTTTTTGAAGATGTTTAATAACGACGTTTCGGAACTAGATACGTTCCATTATCAGGTTTATTCTGTCAAAGACAATGTTTTTTATAAACTATTGACTAATATTAATTAATGATGGTTATTACAGATTATTTAGAACAATATATATATATATATATATATATATATATATATATTCACATAAAGGAACAACGTGCCGCAGGTACTCTATTTTCAATATTAAATCAATCCAGTTTATTTTTCTTTCCAGTAGAGTCAATAGTTTTCTTTTTCATAAAGACCGATTTCTCGCTGTCATGTTATTTTTATCAATGTTGATTTGCCGATTTCCAACTTCGATTTCGGTTTCCGTTCCTATAATACCACGAAATCATGCGCGAAAAACTAGATTTGAAATCGAAGTATGGAGGTAGAATGGAATATATATAACCACGCTATAAAATTTACCAACATTTAGTTAATACCCTTTTATCTCTTATGTTCCAGTATTTTGGGTTTTTTATACGCCCATAGATTTTTAAGCTTCTTGGAAAATTTAATAAATGAATTAGAAGATAAAATGATAAAGAGTTTTGCGCCCATAAAATTAATAGAACTTTATGCTAAAATAATCAAGAGATGCGTAAACGTAAATACGGCTTAGTTGAACAAATATCGCAATTAGTAATTCAGTATTCGTGTAATATTTTTCCTACGAACCATGCAATATTGCACCGCTTGAAAGTTTGACAGTAGAATTACCGCCGTTGTTAATATTTTAAGGAAATTTTAACTTGTATAAAACTTACAAAGAGTGCTAGAGACTTTTGTTCCTCCGGAGTGTGCCTGTCGACCTCTTGTGCATAATTCATCATAACGTGATCCTTTCTGTCTTGATGCAAAAGCAAAATAACATCATCTTTTAGTGCTGCCGCTGCCAAAAGTCGCAGCAAGTTCACGCGGACGGCGGGTGCCACATTGGTGTCGTTTAAAATACGGCCTATAGAAAGTAAGTAATGCATATATTTTATTATATATATATATATATATATATATATATATATATATATATATATGTAGCGACCTGTCAACACACGTCGCATTTTAACTTGACAGATGTTCATTATTTGAAGCTCATCATAGTGTCAGCTCAAAAACAAAAAGTTCAAGTGTCAGATCAGATCTCGTTTTTGTTTGCTCAATGTTCGAAATGCCAAAATTGTAATTCTTTACTTTTTTCCTTTTTATTATAAATACTGAAATAACATCTACGTTTTTGTAAATGATCAATATAATCACACATAGTGTTATTACTATTGTCATAATAAACAATATTCGTAGTATAAAGAACACGAGTTTCTTTAGTGGTGACCGCGAACGTGAATTAATAGCACGCATATAGAAGGAAAGAAGGTAAGAAGATCAAGACACATTTAGAAGTAACAAATTTAGAAGTAAAAAAATAAATTGAAGTCTCATGAATTATTAAGAAAAGAATTTTTAAAAATAAATAATGAATATAAATGGCTCACAACCGCCATAACTCTAAGAACATTCTAATCCTACAACTGAGACTCCGGCCACGCACATCGAAAACAACAACACGTGCTCAATAAATCCCTCATTATCCTGGAAAATGAGTCGATTATAAGCACCACGGCAGAGGACAGGGAGCGTCAGCAAACAATTTGGCAACCGCCACATACACTCAACCGCTAACTCACCAGCGAAGGGCCACATACAATCAACCGCTAACTCACCAGCGAAGGGCCACATACACTCAACCGCTAACTCACCAGCGAAGTGTCAAATATACTCAGCCGCTAACTCACCAGCGAAGGGCCACATCTACTCAACCGCTAACTCACCAGCGAAGGGCCACGTAAGCAATCAACAAACTCAACAAGCCAACACGGCATTCAAAACGGCCACGGCCACGAACAAATAAAATTTATCACACAATCTCAACCAAAAGAAATTTACAAGGAAGTTCAAGATGGCACTCAGAGATGCGAAACAATCTTTTTCATTAGGGCGGAGTGATGTAGCGGGTTGCCAACACGCATCGCGGCTTGTCAACACGCATCACATGTTACTGGACAGATTGGCCCATATATGGACAGCACAGAAAAAAAACAAAAATAAATTCAAGTGTCAGATCGGACACGGCTTTTGTTTCTCCCCGAGTAGTTTTTGCCAAAAAATGTATAATTCTTGAAACCTTTCTTTTCTATTATAAATAAGAAAATACCAATAACGTTTTATTAATGATCAGTATGACAACACATAGTGTCGTGGATATTAATCATATATAAAATAAACGAAATATAAATAATATTTTATGAAATTTATTATTGTCTATCATTTTGGTATTTAATATGGACCACACCTCCATATATATATATATATATATATATATATATACGAGGTCTGTTCAAAAAGTACCCGGAATTTTCGTTTTTTCAAAAAAATATTTATTTATTCTTCTACATTAATGTGGTCCCCTTCAAAGTAGTCCCCCCCAGATATAATACACTTATGCCAGCGTTTTTTCCAATTTTCGAAGCACCCTTGATATTCACTTTTTGATATGTCCTTGAGCACTCTCAGCGATTTTCTTCAATCGAGGAAAACCGCCGTCCTTTCATGGGTCTCTTCAACTTTGGGAATAGGAAAAAGTCACACGGAGCCATATCTGGTGAATTTTTGCACTTTGCAACACTTTATTTCATTTTTTACGCAAAATTTAATACAAATTCTTTGACTTTTCAATTCTTCCATTGTAAAAATCGCCGAGCTCAGAAAAACACGTCGAACCTTAGCGACTACCACAGACAAAGTAAACAGTGAATATATCTGAAAATTTCATCATACTTTAGGGGCATGTATACCAACACAATAAAAAAAAAATTTTGACAATCAGACACTCCAGACCCGCGAAATTTAATTATTAGTAATTCCGGGTACTTTTTGAACAGACCTCGTATATATATATATATATATATATATATATATATATATATGTAATCACAAACCATTGTTTTAAACTCTTTTTTTCTCAATTATTATTCTTTTGATATTCTAACCGTTTGTGCAGTTTTCAACTAGTTTTATCGATATATATTGTATGCATATGTTTGTATATATTTTTATATGCATAAATCCGTTTAAAAATAAAACTAATTCCGATTTAATGAATGAAAAGAGCAATGCTGGTTTAAGTTTTGTACAAAAACTTTGAATAAGGGGTATTTTGGTCTGGACAAGTTAATTTTTTTTTTCCACAAAATAGCAACTGTCTTACAGCGTAGTTAATACTGAAAAAAGTTTATAAAAAAATACTGTGAAAATTGCAAGTATAATATATTGGTCGAGTAGAAGTTGAGGAATCGTATAGCATCGAAAAAGACGTTTAAAGTTTCGCGGAGAAAGGTTTATCGTAGTCCAACAGCTTTATCTCCGAAAATAATTTATATTTTGAAGAATGCACTTGAACACATATTCTTGAACAGTTAAACTTTCAAAATACATATATAAAAAGAAAAATGACTTTTTAAATATTCTAGACAAGAATACCCCCATAAGTGAAATATAACCACTTCTATAACAAAAATACTGTTCTGTATGGAATTTCGGCATGATGTCAATGTATGATCAATTATTTACCAACAAAATTTAAGAATCCATCACTCAAAGCCCAAGAGCCTTCGTTTTCAATCATATATTGGTGCAACTCTTCCATAGATTGTTGTTCTTCGCTCGAAAGATGATCGGCCATCGCTCCTACTAAGTTGTCAAACTCCCGAGGTACCTGAAATCATAAAAAGAAACACCCATAATCATCTGAAAAGGTATTTAGAAAACAAATATTTTATCGATATTTAGCTTACATCGATATCTCTAAATACAATTGGTGGATCTCTCAACCTTTTTCTTTCCTCCTCTTGTCTTCTTTCGTTAGCTTCTTCTTCTAGAACACGTTCAGAAGGTAACTGCTGTCCATCTCCAGATCTGATGTCGCCACCATTTGTAGGTGAAGAGCCATTTACTTCTATTTCAGACATACCGTTTTCTTGATTTTCTGGAATAATGAAGCAGAACTTGCGTATATTGTATATTATACATTATAATCATTTTGGGGTTAGGCATACACATATGATAAAAAAAAATCGTTATTTAATAAATTTATGATAATTATTTCCATTTTGAGTTTTGGAAGCTCATAGTTAGTTCGGTTTATGTTATGAGATTTGTAATTATAAGATTGCCAATTTTCCATACAGTGGCAGCAGCTTACAATTTCGTTTTACCTTCGTTCCGATACAAATTTTGGTATTTCTGTTTCCTTTTCTCCTTTTTGCGTTCGTTTTCAGCTAATTTCTGTTTGATGATGCTCCTTCTTTTTTCTATAGCAACAGAATTCAACCTGGTGGTAAAAAACATTCTCGATTAATGTTAGTCCCAACAAAAAAAAAAACTGCCAAAAAATGCAAATAAAATTTCATAATCTAATATGACTTGATAATGAAATATATCTTAATACTAATGAACATTTATGGAGCTTAAAATACAATTTACTCATTTTTAATTAAGGACTACTTGGAAAAAATTAATACGCAAGCAGAAGAGTTTGTAAATATTTTTAACAGCCTTCAAAACAAATGTGCTTCACGATTTATATAGAAAATATAAATCGTATAAATAAAAGAAAACAAACTTATATAGTGAATTAAATGAATCGAATACAAGCTATAGCAAAAAAAAAGTTCTACAAATGTAATGTTTTGCGGCTTCCAAAAAGAATTTCAAAAACTGCCTCGAACGGACGTTGTTATAGCAACCTCACATGACACTATCAAACAATAATAATACGGATACATAATTATTTTAAGACAGCTGAATGCTATAATTTAAAAATTAAAAACAGTATTTGAGACATTCGTCATTGACAACTAAATATGCTATAATCTAAAAAGTAAGAACAGTTTTTAAGGCACTCGGCATTATCAACTTTCTGCTCAATATAAAATAGCCATACATAATTACGACGAGTTTGCAATCATTTCATTATCACAAATGAGCATATCAATAAGTTGGATCAAGTTATTCTACTAACCTTGCTTGGTCAATTTGTGAATTCAATTCGATGAAGTCAGGACTTGGCTCCCTCTCTTGAAATGGTAATCTATACAAAGCAATGTCAGTAGTGAAACAAATACTATAGTTCAATCATAAATTAATTAAAATCCCAATCACCCCTACTAAAAAAGCAACTAAACTGTACCATAACTTATTTAGATTCTTCTCATAGAACATTTAATTGTGAAATTATTTGATCGTTGAATAAGTGATGTATGAAATAACTCAGCAGATAATAATTGCTTTAAAATTAATTTCAAATTAATTATAATTATTAAAATTTATAATTGATCCCTTATTATTGAGCAGGTATATCTTATCTTATACTAACATAAACCACCACATATTGTCATGCAATATCGTTACATATTTTGCAAATTCTTCTTCCTTAAGATGTCTTAATTATGTATGTAATTATATATGTATTTAAGTGAGAAGATGTAATGAGGCTTAAAATTGATACAAATTAGTGCAAACCTGTGAATAACAACAAATAAGACCGGTCAAAATTATAAAATTAAATTTATTATTTGGTTTTAACATGCATTGAACAGAAAAAAGCGAATAACATCCCAAAAAATTCAATATTTAATATATACTCGGTTGAAAGTTATTTATATATTATTATTATTATTATTATTATCATTATTGTTCAAACATTTATGAGTCCAATATGAAGTATATGTGCAAAGGGCAGGGACATGCTATAGCTAGTATATTATCAGGGTGGTCCTTAATATGGATATTTTCGAATTTCTTTGCTCTCAGGGGCTCCAATGCTTCCAAATTGATAAAAAAAAATCTCTGAAAGTTTTAGGTTATATTGACTATAAGATAGTCAATACTCCAATCAAAGCTTCTAGGTTCTTCTTCAAAGTAAATAATTATTTTATAAAATATTTCAAATTTTTGTCGTATTTTTTTTAGTTATGATCAAAATAAGGAAATACATTGCTATTCTCAAAATTTTGATTCACTTGTGGTTAAGTTATAAAATTCTAAAAAAACAAATAGAAATTTGTCCATGTAATTTCCACAAAAAGCTTTGGTTGAATTGCAGACTATCTTAAAGCTTACATTAAGAGCTAAAACTTTCAGATAATTTTTTCTAATCATTTTGGAAGCAATTTAGCGCCTGAGAGCAAGAAAACTCAAATAGATCCATATTAAGGACTACCCTAACATATATAGAGTGCCCCAGACCTTGATGTCTAGCCGAAACTGGGTGATACTATTAACTTTAACTGTCCTGAAAGAAATTAGAAAAAAAAATATCACGTCGTTCAGAAGCTATGGGTTTTTAAGTGCAAACTAGAGCTTGGTGAAATTATGACCATTTTTTATTTATTGTCAAATTGTCGTTAATTTTTTATTTAATTTTGTTCATTTAAACATAGGAACTGTAACCGTGATTAACATTTCTAATTCTAAGTTCATAATCAAAAACAATACAACAATTGTTTCAAGTACTCAAGAATTAAGACTTTTCATTGAACTATGAATTTAAAATTTTTAAAACGGCTTTGAGAGGCGCTCCTAAAAAAATGTACTAAAGTTGTGTTACATTTGAAGTAAAATATAGGCAAAATGAACTAGCAAATATAATGTCATTTTTAGGTTTTTATTTTTCAATAATAAAATTATCAAGTATTTTACCATTTTACAATCCTGATTAAATGCGCCAACTTTTGATGAAAGTAGCCAGCGCACTTTAGTCAATTTTTTGAAAGAAGAGCCTTTCGAAGTCGATCGATTTTTAAGTTTCAAATTTATAGTTCAACAAAAAGTGTGATTCTTGAAAACTTGGAACAATCGTGGTATTGTTTTTTACTGTGGTCCTAGAAATGTTACTCACGATTACGGTTACGGTTTCAAAGAACAAAATTAGAAAAAATAACTATAATAAATGAAAATTTGTCATAATTACACCAAAGCTCTAGGTTGCACTTAAAAGCTCATAATTTAACGTGTGATATTTATTTTCAGGACAGTTAAGGTCAAAACTTGTACCCCATATCGGCTTGACGTCAAAGTTTGAGACACCTTGTATATGCATATGTATATGTGCATATGTATATATGCATATATGTATGTATGTAAATATATGTATGTGTGTATTTAAATTTGTATGATGTATATTATAAATTAGTAGTATAATGCATTGTAATTGCATCATTAATAAGTAAATACAAAAATGATTAAAACACTGCTCAAGTAAGATTAATATTAAAATATATTGAGTAGTAAATTATACATAATTATTTGGCATTACAAAAATGTAAAATATGATTGATATTTGTTACCCGCTATCATCCATTTCAGGTCTTTCATGTTCACTCGTGCTTCGTGCTCTGTTAGTAGTGAAATTGAGTAGTTATTTTATTAGTAATTAATAACAATAGTAAACAAAAATATTTATTAGTTAAGAGACAATAGAGTAAAATACAATGGTTCCCAAAGCAAGCAAATACATATTGCTGTGGCCCACATATGCTACACCACAAAAATGTTTATCTGACCTGACATAAATATGCAAAAAAATGCTACACACTTCACTGTATAACTACATTAATTATAATGTTAAATATCAATATGTGGACCACATCATTTATGCAAGATGTATATTTAGAATAATTCTAATAAGCAAAATCATATTTGACAAACAATTAATAGTATTAATAAAACACAATTTTAAATCGCACATCACTTTATTATTGCTAATTTTTAATTTAGTATTAAATGGCAAATGTAGTTTTAGATGACACGATTTTTTTTTTACAAGTATGACAATGATATATGAGCAATGAAACTTATTAGATATACAACAAGATATGAAGACATCAAAATGAAATAATATACTCATATTTTACGAACGATTACATGTAGTTTGACTAGAATTATGCCCTACAAAATACATTATAAATGATAACTTGACATCACATTCCTGATTTTTTTTTCACATAATTTTTTACCAAGGTGGCATGATTTCATTCTTTCGCTGTGGCTGACAATAGAGGATGTGATTTGAATTTATGACATGTTAGTTATATAATAAACCCTTAATCTTTCTATATTTTTTTACAGCTCAAAGTTTTATTAAATAGATATGAATCCCATAGATCTCACATAAAATCATACCATGAACTGAACTGAATGCTGTATATATGAATCTAAAATGCAATTATCATCCTTGGCAAAACGAAATAGCATCCATATCTATAAACCCTTTTAAGCTTCCTTATTTTTCGAAAAGTAAACGTACACTAAAAAATATTTTCGTCTTTTTGTGGTTATATCAATATCCTGCGAGAAAATAGAACTAAATTTCAAAAACTTTGTAAAACACAAATATTTATGTAAGATTTTATCCATACTTTAAACAAATCCTTTAATCATAAAAATATGCAAATTATTAATGGTACAGAAAATGGCATGTCAATGGCAAATTGTATAGTTTTTGCAAGAAAGATTAAGGGATATAATGATTTTCAATCTGACAATACAAGCATATGCACCAAAATCGAAGAACTAAATTATATTTTTGAAAAATTACAATATCATATTTGTGAGACAATTTAAATGCCATAGAAAAATATGCTCTCAATATTGTATGCAGTTCAGTTCAATAAGTAAATTCATTTTTTCGTGCAATTGTAATACGCAATTGTTACTTGCAAAAATATTTTCATCACTATTACGTTTCCCTGAATATTTAGTTATATTTAAAATATTTTATTATCTGTGGTGCGGTATTTCACAATTCTATTTCAATGTAGTGCTATTGAAATGACTTCATTTTCGAAACTTTATTGCTAAATATCATTGGCTAGACTAATCAAAAATCATTACATGTTTAATGACAAAGATAACTAGCACAAAAAATGGTTAAGTTTAGCTATAAAAACACCATGCAATACTCAATAATAAATATTGATTTAATATTTCTTATATAACCTCTATTGCCACGCCATAATTACACACACTAAGCCTCAATGTAAGTAGAATTAATAATTGTATCAAATGTGAATAATTAATTAAAAAAACACACATTATATATAAACCCGCTAATAATAATATTATTGCAATTTTCACTATTGTCGACTATTTTTAATTATTCGTTATTCCGCTTAAATCTATTCGAACATACAACAGGTCAAAATCAAGAACAATTTAGGCAACTAGTATTGAGAGGCATTTTTAATCGTCAAGTAACTAACTTCTAAGATACTGAATTTTCTAGAAAAGATTCTAAATATTAATAATAGTTTGCGCGATATCTATTAAATAATATATTAATTATTTGGCAATTTAAAAATGATCCTCTCACTATAGTAAACGTCGAGTGGACTGCAGAAATAAACTGGTCTAACTTAAAAGTACACTATTAGTGCAAATAATTCTAAATATGTTTAAAAATGTTTCTAATCATACACCAGTATTATATTATTAACTTTGGTATTGTAGCGTATCGTTTTTCAAACTTTTTGCATCTCGAGCAGTCACTCGTTCTATTAAAATAAGAAGCAACAATGACTTTACATTTTATTAATATTTTCTAAACACTTGGATAACTTTACCTATATCCATTAACGACTAACTTTCTGGAAGCCATGTTAATATAAAAATCACGCACTATTATTAAAAAAAAATACCTAAAAGTTTATTTTACTAAATTAGAAGAATCGAGATACACGACACAATTTACTATATTATGCAGATTCACTTTTTGAACACAGTTTTCACACAAGTTTCAATACCTCAGGTCCATCTTACACACAATAAATAGTCAGGACTAAAAATTATAAACTCGAAAACTTTTTCGTTGTGCACAGGGATATTATTTTTTGTTTGGTGTATGAAGAACGTTTTATGCGCTTATTTGTATATGTTAATCATGGTGCTTATATTTTCGGATATTTGAATCTTCCAAAACATATTGTTATTATTTTCTTCCTTTGGCCGAGTGTTGTTTTACGAGTAAATTGCTGAAAAAAACAATAATATTTCGAACATTTCCAATTTTCGCGCTATGCCAAAAGTGTCACTATATCGTACACATGAACAAAATAAAGTCAGATTTATTGGTTGAAAAAATAAAATATTTCCATACACATCGCACAAAACATGCACTACGAGGCAGGTGTAGATCTACTTTTGTGAACTGACTAAGAATACGTAAACAACATAATTATTTGTAGCGAATACATGAGAGACGTGTGGCACGGCTCGAGATGAAATTTTGATATTTGGCAAGACAAATGCTTACGTATGAACTGGCAGAATTCAATCCGTGACCGATTTTGTCCCCGAATGCGCGTGAGGTAAACATCAAGCATGCGTCATACGGATGCACCAAAATACATATAAAAATATATTTACTTCTTTATTTCCGCTAATGAGAAATTTAAATTTTATAGACAACTACTAACAAAACTATCAACACATCCAACGATTATATACCTCCTGCAAATCCAAACCAAGGATATAACTTAAGGAGGTGTTGTGATCTAGAATTTAAACAAAAAACGATATGCAGGTAATCCCGCATAACACGGTAATTCTATAACACGGATTCGCTTTAACACGGTTTAAGGATTGATACCATCCCCCTTATAACACTATATAAAAAATATAGTAAAACCTACGAAAATAATATTATTTAATCTAAAAGTAGTAAAATCGCAGTATAATAGCTCAATAAATGTGATGAAACTAATGCAAAAGATAACTAATTTGATAATTGTTATTCGAGCGCGTTCATTCCATAGAAAAAAAATTTAGGCTTATCCGAACAATTAGTCAATTAGTCTTAAGCAAAGATCCTTTAAATAAAATGAGCATAACATTTTAATAAACATAACTTTGCATGCGGTAAATATATAAATATCTTCTTGCTAATATATAAATATCTAACAATAAGCAAGTAATCGCAAATATATTGTTTTTGCAAAAAATAATGCACGAATCTAAAGGTACAGAAAAATGATCAGAAGATGAGGATACCTAGCAAAATAGGATTGTGTCGGATAGCACTTACTTTTTAATTACGACAAAAAGAACCATATAATTCATGTACGTAATTTATATAACTTCTTAAAAAATAAATAGATATAACCGTATTCATGATATGCAGCATGTCTTTTTTAATTTTTGGAACGTAACCCCTTTTTTGTACTAGTTCTTTGTCCCGTATAACACGGATTCGCATAACACGCTATCGTAGCTACCGTGTTATGCGGGGGTTACCTGTAGTTTTTTCGGGATGTTTTTAAAGATTACCTATTCAAAAATATGTGTGCGAGAAAAGTTTCCATAATTCAAAATATTTTTAAAGATATATCTGTTTGACCACGATAATCGCAAAACGATAAAAGCGAAACTTTAAAAGCGTTTTCCGAAACAGTTTTTTTTCGGTACGATACCCACGTTTTTACTTTATTGGACCAATTTGCTTGAATTTTTTACTGAATCTTAACATAGACTTCTCTGCGTTATGAACTATCCCTAAATTCCAATTTTTACTATTTTTTTTAAAAAAAATCGAGAATATATAAAAAAATATAATTTTTTTCAGACAGTCGCTGTATCGTAAAAAATATGTTAACTTGTAGTTTACACAATAGCGACATTATTCTAGATAAATCATATATATACATATTTTTCTTCATATTATTTGGAGTACAATCATGGTCGTGTACCAATTTTTTGAACCCCCTCACTTCACTTTCAGAATCAAAACTTGATGACTATTTTTAAATTTATTTTTTTTATATATATTCTCAAAATATTAATTAATTACGTGAAACAAAACATATAGTGAAAATATTGTTTGCCTATTTTACGGTCTTTTAAGAATTGCATAAAATCAAGGTGACCATATACTTCCCGGTTTGGCCGGAACAGACAGTTCCGGATTTACACCTTGTGTTCCTACTGTTCCTAGTTTTTCTAGGAATATTTGTCCCGGGTTTAGATCTTTAGTCCCGGATTTTTGAAAAACAGTAGAAAGTATGTGTAATAAAATTACACCTACCCATAAAATCTCAGAAAATGATATATGTCATGTTACAAGACAACTAGTCTGCTATGATATGATACAAATACTATATGAATGCGAAAAATCCTGAATATATAATTTCAAAGGCAGGTTACAATAGCCTTTCACATTAATCACGTCAAACTTTTATTTCTGATTTCACGAAAATTAAAAAAAAAAGTGCTATTTTTTGTCAAATTAATTATATTTGCTATTATACAAGGCTCAAAAGCGAGAAAGAAAATCGAAAAATGAGATATAATATAACATCATAAGTAAAAGAAGAATATAACATATAATCGAATAATAAAGTTCTTACTGAAAGTCCGTAATTCTGATTAAAAAAATGATTTATTTAAAAAAAAAAAAAAAATATTTTAAATTTATTGTATCCTTATATAGTATTTGCTAATTTGAAATTATAGAAAACTTATTTAGCAAGCAAGTTAAAAATTGCCGTCTCGGTTTCGACTTGAAAAAATAAGTCACCTTTAAATTCATGCCTCTAACCAGAGTACTCTCTTAATGAAGAACTCAATATGATTTAAAAACAAACTTGCAGCTTAATTAATATGAATAATTTAACATTCGATCTTCAATACTTTGTATAATTCTAATCAACTTCAATTCGTTTTTGCTAGAAAATTCGACGTATCAATTTTATGTCTTATCCACATTTCAAATCGCTCTGAATCGCTTGCACCAAAATTGAAGAAAGTAGGCAAGTGTACGTGAGCCGAAATCTTACCTTTTCCCGTTTTTTCAAAAATGGTTGCACCATATTTCATTTCAAAAAAGCCATCCGATGAGATTGGATTAGCAGAAAAGTGCAAACATTTTTGACCAGATTTTCACAAAAAAATCGTGAACCAATTTTGAAAATTTTAAAAACTGATATCGAAGGTATCAGTTGGGGATCATGTTGATTAGTTTTTCAAGTTCAAAATTTTATCTAAATAGATAAATCTCAATTTATCAACTTATAAAGATTTTAACAATATTGCTAATAATAACAAACCAGGAGTGATCTATAAATTGTAAGTTCGTTTCTATATTCATTAAATATATTGACAATTATTAGCACGTTGTTTGTCGATTAATATTTTACCTAACATTTATTTACAAATCAGGAAATCCAGCAATTGTCTTAAAACACAATGCAATACACGTTTATTTTTATAGGCATTTAACGTTTTCTCATTGAATGTTTTGACTGAAAACCTTAAAATCGAACAAAGCAATATGAATAAATCTGCTTCATTGAAGTTTATAACGAATACAATTTTGAAAAAAAAAACTTTTTTTTTGTAAAATAAATTGAAATGAATGAATATGAAATAAGACAAACGAAGTTGATTAAATTGTACTCATTTCAATATTGCCCAATACTAATTTTCATCTTTCAGTAATCAATTTACTTTTTTGCTCTCATAAAAAGAAGCCAATGATTCGTATATAATATAAATAGATAAATACAACAAGAAGACATGAACATGCATGAAACTAAAAAAAATAAATGAATTATGTCAAATAATATATATTTATACAATTTTCCATGTATATAAAAATGATAGACGTACTTCGTATGATACATGTAATTATAATTTAAATTTAATGATTAGAGGACGATTTCTTCAAAAATATTCTATTCAACAGATTTAGACTAATTTGAAGCAGATGGTTTTTTACGGAGCGGATAAATTTTGCGTCGCTAATCCTGTTGAAAATGTTGTTATGCAGAAAATAAGAATACGTCGTTGATAATTAAAAATATAATTATATAATATTTAAAACGGAAACTTTCATAAAATTCACGCATACCCTAACCACATTTAGAATTGGCGTTATATTCCTTGTTATGGTTAAAGCCTATTTAAGATTTCTGATATAATGAAAAGCTAAGCCTTGCCTGTACTCTATTTGCATACATTATATGTGAGTTAAATCATTTGAAGTCGTATTGTTATCGAAAGTTTTATGTTAAAACAATTCACATGATTTTTTGTTTTTCAAAATTAAATCGCCACTTATATGAACAATTACTTATATGTGAAAATAAAAATGATATTATTTGTACATTAGGATATACCAACTAAAGACTCCATCAAAAGAAAAAGCATCTATATGTCAAGCTATCAAAATTCATATATCGGATAAAAAGATAACAAAAACAAAAATATAAGAATATTACTAAATATCGATTTAATGTTTTAGAGCTATTAAACAATAACGCTATTCATAATCTTATATGCCAACTCTACTTAGATAAAGTTTCATGCAGATTGTTGAAGATAGCGATTCAAACTAAGAAATTAATAACAAATGTTTCTAAATTTACTTACCTATTATTTTCTAAAGCCTCAATATTAGGCCCTCTTGCCAAAGCCTCTAAAATTGGTTTCAAGCTAGAACCAACTGCTGTAGAAAGAACCTGGTCGGGAAGATCTAATATATATTTGGGAACCTTTGCTCCGCAGAGAAATTGTGCCAAATTATCGGAAAATATGTTACAGTTGTGCTTGAAAAGATCGTAATTGCTGCCTCTGAAATTAAATAAAATTTAGAACATTTTACTTTTTTCAATGCGTATTTGTGTTTGCTTACATTACTGACTTTAAATTATTTGCCACTTGCTTGGTCGATGTCTCAATAATAGCTCATTATTGTATACGTAGCAAATAGTTACTATTACAAACAAATATTTATCATATTTCCGAGCATTCAATTTTATGTTGGAATATATTTGAACATAAACAAAACTGAATATAATCTATCATACTAAGAATATTTCATAATAAACATATATTCAAAGATATAATTTTCTCAAACATGTTTGCAAAGGCGGCCCGATGGTGATAAAACCATAATTAATTTAGATGTTCGAATATAATATAACTACAGTAGAAATCCTTTAGTCCGGCTTGGTCGGGACCGACCCCTGTATCGGCTTTCAAAAATTCCAGACTATCGGTCGGTAATTATAAAAACAATTAGGTTAATAATTAAACCACAAAATCAGTAGAAAATACAAGCAAAGCTTATTTCACATTTATTAGAACATATATTCAAAATATTTTTAAATTTTTAACAAAAAACATTTTAAATTTTTACAAAAAACAAAAATTTGATGAGTTCTAGCCGTTTGGTGATTTCTTGTTTATTAAAAATAGTTTCTGATTGAGAGTGTTAAGGGGGTTGTTCTTTTTTTATTTTTCTTTGCTTCGGTTTTGAGATTTTTTAATATTATGAAAGATAAAAACCTTAGAATCATTTAAAAAAAAAAACATCTCAATATCTATTTTTTTGAAGAAGTTATAGATATATATATCTATATATGTATGATCCTCTGAAAGCGTTTTTTTATCGCTCCGCGAGCTATTGTATGCCAGATTCCTCTTTTTCATTATAATACCTCATGCACATGACCTTTTTAAGGTGTCAGCATCTTTGAACACCAATGTGTATTTAGTACATTAAATTAAATGGTGTATTCAGTACATTATATTAAGAACTTTAAATACGTTTTTCTCAAATTGACTTTTTTCAATGCGGTGTCACAAATTAAACAAAAACTACAAGTCGGATCGACTTGCATTTTTTTTTAATTTGTTCACCACTGCAATATCGAGTCCCCCTACCTCAAACAACTTGATAACATTACGCAAAAAAATTTTGCGAAGCTTCTCGCCCCAAAAAAAGGTCTTTTTTGACACTTTTTTTTAAAATAGCTGCCATTTTTTTCCTTCTTCTTTTTTTTCTTTTATTTTGGTAGGGGGACTGGAAACAAACTTCTTCTTCAACGTAATTTCTTTTTTTTTGTTTCGGGCGATGCGCAACGGATTTATCTGTGGCACCGCAAAAGAGATCGATTTTGCAAGACCGACTTTGGCGCCCCCTGGTTAAAAAATGACGGCGCAAAAAGAAAAGAATAAAATCACGTAATATTCTATGAATTTGTAATTTTTGTTTAAAAAAAACCGCATGTCTCTATGATAAATACATTTCGAGAAAAAACAAAAACAAATACCTTGCATTTTTTGTAACGAAAAAAGAACAACCCCCTTAAGGGTTTTGTTTATCTCCTTTTAAATATCAAGGCTTAAGTTTTGAAAACATGGTCGATGCATAGTTAAGTGGTTAAATCTGCTGATATTATATGTGCACTGTGCCGCTGTATTAGTACCCAACTTAAAAAACGGCGGAAACCTTTGTGGGGCAACAGAGGAGCTACGTTATTCGTAGAACATACTTCGGTCATAAACCTAGGCAGCAAAATTTACCATGGACACAACAATTGCCAGACAATAGCGAGTCCGTCCAAATGATTCCAAACCACCCCGAAAATGTTCTAATAGCTCTAGAAAAAATGCATGAAACGGAGTATCAGGCATTCTGAACCGTTGAGTGTCGAACTAAAGGACTTCTACCGTATATAAATATTGCACAAAATTAATAAAACGATTACATAAAACAAAATTAATCCAAGCAATATAATAATTTTTATTTATTAAAACAATTAATTGGATTATCAACCAAGCAATGTTTTCAATTGTGTTTTTATTAATATTTTTTTTAAATTAGTAATATGCTTATTTGGCCGGTACATATTGTTTGATGATTATATATTTTAATGAATATAGTAATTTTTTTTGTTATAATTTATTTTTGTTAATCAAGACTTTAATGTCTTAATAAATATAGTAATGAAAATCAATATATAATATATAAAATAATCGACTATACAATACAGGGATTAGGGAAATCACTTTACATTAGTTTTTCCCATCTACGATAAGCTCTACCTTTACTAGTAGAAAATTTTCTCATTTCTAACTTCCCGAAGGAGAAGTTATTTCCAAACAGTTCTACAGAAAATTTCTAATAACACGATAGTTGCATTAGCATTAATTCCGTACGCAGTATAGACAGTGCACAAGAAAAATTGTATACCTTCTATCACAAATTTATGTCTTGTATATGTCACACCACATGTATATCAGATAACTCTTTGATATTATTCAACATTGAAACATTTAATTTCTTTCAATATTATAAAAATCTGGTGGTTTGCCACACGACTGCATATATGCATGTAAGTAGCGAGCTTCGATCGATTTATGAAAAAACGATTTAGAATATTTAAAAAAAGTTAAAATATCAAATAATAATTTGGCAGCTGGTGGTCTAAAATGAGTTACGTTTTTATTATTTTTTATTTGCCACAAGAGCTTCTTAACAAAAATGGCTGAATAAAATTAATTTCATCTATTACAAAAACAAATTAGTGATGTGATAATGTCTTAAGACGAATTACTGTAACGTTCAGGTTTCAAATAAACAAATATACTGCATGAATAAAATTTGTAATTTTCATAATGAATTTTTAAAAAAATTAAACTTCTAAACTTAGTTTCAAATGAATTTTTACTTAAAAAAATGAAAATGGCACAACCCGTTATATAAATATGAAAATCATAATCCTTATGTTCTAATAGTAGTATAGCTCGGTAACCATGCTGACTGCATAATTAGCAAGAATTATGTTTTGATCATATAAGGTAACATATTATATAAAATTACATACTTGAAAGTGGTGTCTCCTAGTTGTAGAACGTAATCCAAAAAAACAGAATATGGTACTTCTGTTGAGCCTATTCTTTCAACTCTCAAAGGCGGACCAAGAACAGTTCCTCCCTAAAAATATGCTTTAATTAGGAACTATAGTATTATTAGTACTAAAAATAATAAGAGCGATATGAAAATAATACAAACATACTTCTAAAGTCCAACTGTAATGTATAAATTAGCATTAAGCTGCTAATTACATACAAACACATTAGCAATAATATAAAGAAGTTGTTTTATTATATAATATAGGACTCTTCCTTAAAATTAGTCTAGCAGTGTGCGCTGATTTCACAAATACTAACATAGCCGAAATTCGCTAGAAAAGTAAAGATTCAATTTTTTAATTAAAAATCTCGAGAAAGAAGTATATGAAAAGAATATTTTTGAATAAAATAAGTAAAACCGAAATTGAAAAATAGTAAATTTTGAAATGTCAAACATTTGTTTGTATTTTTAGAAATAAACTTAAAGTTATTGGAATGATTATAGCATGATGAAAGTATCTGTCATATATAAGTTCAAAATATCCGTTAATGGTTTAGTTTTATTTTTATGATAAGCGATGGATCTGCGATTACAAATAAAAAAAACTCTAACAATTTGTCAAGACTGCATAATCTGTTTTATCTTGGCTATGTTGGAATTTCATATCGAAAGGAACAATATTGATGAGTTCGTTACGAACCAAAATTCAAATGTATTGCGTAATTCTTGAAAAGTTTATCAGATATTTAAAAAAGATTTTTATATAAATAATGACACACCGTGTAATGAAGATTCACATATTCATATATTCACAATTAAACATAACTCAGCCAATTTGTTTGGTTTCCTCATAAACAAAAGTGATTTAAATAAATTTTCATGGTGATAGTCTGGTTCTTTACAAAATTACATGAAATGCTGTCGCTTGGAATTCTTTGGCACACATTCAAAGCTTTTAGTAAATCGAGAATACAATCTCCGCGATTGCAGTAATTATTATATGATTTTATTTCCTGAATTTGGCAACTACTACGAGTTTGTCTCCAATACAATTCTCATGAAAATGCTAATTTCAAAATGAGATAAAATACTATTAATTTTGCATGCAATCAATACTAAACGTTCATTATTAAAGCATAAACTTGATTTTAAAGTAATACATTTTTATTTAAGTACTAGCTGTACCCGTTCACGCTTTGCCGTGATTTAGTTCAAATTAAAAAGTTGAACAAAGATGTGTATTTGTTACATTTAGTTTAACGTTACTACTATCCGTTCAACAATTTACCTATTCAACAATTTGTCTACAAATTTGCCTATAAACTTGTTAATCAATCTACCATTTTACCAACTTACGAATTTACATATCAACCTATTAACCTATCAACCCGTTTCACATGTCTACCAATTTACCTGTCAACCTGTTTATCCGTCTTGTTATTTGTCTATCTACCAGATGTCCTGTCTACCATTTTACATATTCTCCAATTTACCTGACCACCATCCAACAAATTACCTTTTCACCAATTTACTTGTCTACCAATTCATCTGTTTATCAATTTACCTGTCTACCAATTTACATAACAACCTGTTTATCAATCTACCATTTTATCGGCCTACAAATTTATCTCACATCCTGTTCTACATATCTACCAATTAAGCTGTCAACCTGTTTATTTATCTACATATTCGTCTATCTACCAGTTCTTCTCTCTACCATTTTACATATCCTCCAATTTACCTGTCCGCCAGTTTACCTTTATAAATTCTCTAATTCACCTTATTTATTTACGCATAAACATAAACAAATTAAAGCTCAAATTGATTCCACGTTTTAGTTAGAAAACGTTTCTATGTGAAAAAGAAAAGGGCTGTTTTTAGGGTTTTCCCGGCGATTATTCGATTTTGTCTCGCCGTAGGAACCATCCTTGGACTTCAACGAACATTTTAAAAAAAGAATTGGCCAAATTGGTCCAGGCGTTGTTGAGTTATGCGCTTACCAACACATTTTGCGATTCATTTTTATATATAAGATGAACAAATAAAAAACTGAGTATGTCACGCAATTTTTTCGACTTTATTCGCCCGTGCTTTAATATATAATATCGCAATATTTATTAATTTACATAATAATGAAATACATTAATTTACATATGCAATAAAAATATTTATGAGCTCCGCAAAATCAATTTAATCAGTCTATATATGCCAGATGTTCTATGGCAATTTTCAAATAAGATTAAGTGTAAAAGCTCAAGTATAATAATTGTTAATCTACATGCACTTGTCTTATAGACTTATACGAACAAAAAACATTAATTAAAAAATGATTCTTTTTGTGTAAAATTAACAATCCATACCTTCTAAAAAATATCGGTGATCTACAAATCGCATGAAGACTTATCTTACTTTAAATAAACCACTTAAAACAATATTTTTAAAGCACACTCACAACACAATATCCGATATAGGATTCGACGATATAAAATAAAACAATGATTAAATTAATTTTAAATTAATTTAAAACTATAAAATTCAGGAAGAAACAGTTTTCTACCTTGTACGATTAAGCAAGCCGCGCCGGTTTTTCAAAAGCGGCGACCTAATGTGTGAACAATCTAAAGAATCCTTGACTGTATGAAATCTAATTTTAGTTATGTGAACAGAGCACAGATATAAATGTTTGGAACGAAGAAGATGGCTTCACTGTATACATGAACACAGCTTTTCAATCTATTGCGAAATTTCTCTTTTAAACATACTTTTATATATTCAACCAAAAATTATTTACATTTCATTGATTTTTTCGAATAGAACGGTTACCAGCTGATTATACATTTTAAAATGTATGTCTAAACTCATGTTATCAAAATTTGAAAATCACTTATTAACCATGATATTTTGATATAACTAATTAAGTATGATATTATGGCTTTAAAAAATCAATGAATATTTCCTAAAAAATGAAATATGTTAATAAAGTTAATACTATTAAAATTTCAAATACGCAAATTATGCAAAAATTAAAAAATAATCTTTTTCCATTAAATTCTATCTAAAACCTGAACCTATTTAGACAATTTTTATTTTTTTTTTATTCACAGTATATTTCAACAATCAGATTATAAATATCAATATATCAAATTCCTTAAGCAAGTTGGTAAGGAATCCGAAATTCGGGGCGGAATTTAAGCAAGGGTAGACAATCAAAGACAGGTAAAACGCATATACTTTAAACTTCACCAAAATACAAAATTATCACTTGAAACGAAAAATAAAGTTTATTAAACGAGGAAAACAAAGCATAAATAGAATCTAGATCTTAATCTTAAGAAATAATAGACCTATAACAAGAAGACAGAGTAAATTTTGCAAAACGAAAGATTATTAAATGAGATAATAATAATGATAGGATAAAGTTGACAAAACCTTGGCAAATATTAAAAAAAATGGACGAGCGAAGAAAGTGCAAAAATACATAACGAATAATGTTTTGGATTTTTTTTTAAAAAAAAAACTGAATGAGCAGTATGTAACGGTACAATGAGTTCACAAGATAGGTTCAATTTATGATTCGAATCAACAAAAGTGGTGAATTGGGCGGTAAGGAAAAGCTTCATAATCTACGAAAGGGAAAATGACAACGACAACAGAACTCCATGTACTTGAAAAGCATAATCATAAAAAAAGGATACAGCGTGAAATAAATCAAATCAAAGATCGCTAGCTGATCATCAATTGAAAGGTAAAGCACAGGACCGAAAGCATAAAAGCAGATTTTGCAAGATCATGGTTTGAAAAGTAAACTACTAACGAGGAGGGAAGAAAAGGGGGGGGGTGAAATATAATTCAGCCTTCATGCAGAGCACCATTAATATAGTACTACTAGACTAGTGAATATATAAAATGCACTCGTTACCAAAATTTTCTTAAATTTTTTTAGTTTAAATTTATTCCTAAATATATTGTTTACACAGTATTTTTTGTTTTTTTATGTTTGTGACCTTTTGATGGTTGTCGATGATTATGAGGGAAAAACTTTCGCTATATATGCATGGTTTTTGTCTTCAAAACATAGAATATGATGTTTCAGGAACTAATTATGTAAATTAGAAAATATGGAAAAACAGGCGATAGAGGAACAGAGAGCAAACTTAGGATCCCCAGCAAGAAATTCTACAATTGTCTAGCATATATAGGAAATGAAAGATTCTACGGTCATCGACCCTAATATACCAAAATAAACTAACGCGGTAGCATTTTAGCTTTTAGTATACGCCGAAGTAACGGCCGTGTATAAACTTGATGTCAATTTTGCGATGTAAGCAGTTATTAATGACATAAACGATTAGATTCCTTTAAATTGATAAAAATTATATCAGCTAGCAATTTTTACTTGAAAACTACCAATTCGATTTGATACTGTTCTAAATAGTCATAGATGTTTTAATCACCTTTGCATTTTGCAATTAACTAAAGAGAAGAAAGTTTTATTATACGAGTATTGTACAAAAAGGCTAGTTTCACTATCCAATTTGTTAAATTAGACAACATATGCACATATGAGATAGAAATATCATATAGTATAATATCTATGCCAAATTTACCATCAGATTACGAAAAATATAAAGGCATGATATCCATTAATAAAACATAATACTCTCATTAACACGTAGACCGCATGCCCACCACACAATAATATTAAACGATTTTCGATGCAGTTTTTAACTTGTTAAAACTATTTCCTTATTTTAAAAAATTTACCGGTGTACACGTCTGGATGCCGCTGAAGCCAAAGAAGTATTCTCTGCCGTAAACCACAATGGCTGTATGCCACACTCCATCAATTTTGCGACCTGTTAATAAAATATTTAATGTAAATATTTTTATAAATATATAATTATTATTTATCATTGAGTCATAGTTATAACCAGCGGTGCATGGCATCGTGACCTAAGGCCCTTTTGACCGCCAAATAATTTTTTTTTTTACTTTTTTATTGACCTTTTTTATTAATCCGAACATACATGGATACATACATCCATACACACACATATCCATTTTTTCTAAAGTATGCCAAAATGTTCAGAAACATTCAAAACGTAAGGATATATAGAAATTTTCATTTTCGATTTCTTTGCTACTATAACTTACCGTAAGGAAAGTTAAAAATAGTGTGATATACTATTTATTGAATTGCATTTTAACGAATAAATGATAAAACGATAATTTAAGTTATGATTGATAAAAATTTATTACAAATATAAAATTTTATAAAAATGCCACATAAAATGAATCTGGAATTAACCAATTTGGAAATCAACTGAATGTTATATAAAAGTTTTAAATAATGTAGACAGAGGTAGAATATCTGAGCCCAAGCGATACCAAAGGATGCTTGCCATAGATCCTGTTTAATCTTTGTGATGAATAGCTGAAAAACAAAGCACTTGAAGACAATATCGATTTGTCCGTTCGACAAAGAAAAATTAAGAACCAAATCATCGTAGCGGTAAGAAATCAAAAGTGAAAAAAACTCACGATATCCGTAGGATATCTGAAAAACGTGGATCATTTTAAGTAGGTACTTGCAAAGCATAATACCTAACGACGAATACTGCACAAATTAAGCAAAGTGATAGTTTTCCTAAAATCTAATTCTTTTTTTATCAAATATCAATACAGTATTCAAAACATCTACTGCCTTAATAAACACATTGTCAAAATTTAATACAATGATCGATGTGACCACACAACCAGCAACATTAATAATCAAAATAATTCATTTGCTGTTATTAGCACATCACTGTATTCAGTAATTACGATTAGAAATTCAGAAAATACAATCAGTATTGATTGTAAATTAAATTAGTAGTGATTACTAAATTTGAAAATACACACCAACAAATTATTTTCGATAATTTCTTACGATCAACAAAAACAAATGAACTCTTACGATATAATTTGCGATCGGACAAGAATGGGTCATCTATCCTCCCAGAATTAGAGTTTTATTCTAAATATGTTCTCTTTTCAACATAATTTCAAATTCTTTTATAATCAAAAACGTTTACGATTCAACTTAATCCCAACAAAACAATAAAGGGATTGCCATCTAATTTTCTTTTTTTCCTTATTAACCACTTTTCTATTATTAACCGGAAGCACTTAACTTTTTCGACATATAAGTTTTCTGTTTACAGAAAGATAAGGAATTGTAATATTTTTATAAGTTAATTTTTGGGAACTATCGAACATGTTCAATTTCAATAAAAAAGTGTTCAATTAAAGAACTTATTATAAAAAGATTATTGAAACACTCAAATTCACACAAGAGAATTTTAGTCAAACTTCGAAACCAAGCGGCAGAAAAGACAGAAAACGGTACTATTTTTGACGAAATAAGTTCATTTTTAGAAACCTATCGGAAAAATTCAATTTCAATAAAAGAAGTATTTTTATTCACTAAAAAAAACCTATTACAAAAGGATTATTGGAGCACTAAAATTCGCACAAAGGGATTTTAGTTAAACTTCTGAACCTTGTAGACCAAAAGACGAAAAAGCAAACAACGGAACAAATACTGAGAAACTAATATAAATAATGAACCAATTAGCGCATGGCATCGTGCCTTAAGGCAAATTGCTGGAACTTCCCGTACCAAAATTTATTATTTTTTTAAAAGATTAACATTTTTGAAAAAAATTTACTCTGATAAATTAGATTTTTGAGAAACTATAAATTTTTAACAAAAATTTACTTTTTTTTAAAAATAAAAACTTTTTGAAGAAAAGTGTATTTTGAAATATTTTGGAAATACTGAACTTTTTTTCAAAGCAATCGTAGTGCTTTAACTGCATAGAGACGAAATATCGAAGCGCGTAAGCACTGCGCCGCCGTTTAACGGATAAGCTTTGTTACGGAACCAATAGGAATGTAAATAAAATTTAACTTATTGTTAAAATCTCTATAAAATATCTGATAATTTGATGTGCATGTGTCTAATGATCATTTTTGACCGCCAGATAGCATTATTTTATACTTTTTTTACTAGATCTCCGAAACCGCTAGACCTGCCTTCATGAAAATTTGATCAGTTCTTCATCTTGTTAAAACAAGTATAATGGTTTTTGAATTATTCAAATCGGTTGATTCGTTCTCTTAAAAAACTGTGTTACCGTTTTTGGCACTTTTTGCCCCGTATCTTCGAAACGGCTAGACCTGCCTTCGCCAAAAACTAATCAGCACGTCTCCTTATCAATACGTATCGAATATTTTTTGAATTATTCAAATCGGTTGATCGGTGTTCCCGAAATCGTCGACGAAAATTTGTATGAGCACACATACACTCATACATCCATTTTTTCCAAAGTATGCCAAAATATTCAGAAAACTTTGAAACGTAAAGATATATAAAAATTATCATTTTCGATTTTTTTGCGATTACTATAACTTGCCCTACGGGAAGTTAATAATGCTGATCGAAAAACCGAGCTCGAATAGTAAGACTTAAAAAACGTAAAGAAAGGTAAATTACCTGTAATATCAAATTTTTATCGATTTCAAGAATTTAACGTGTCGAAAAGCTAACGAGATAAAATATTATTCTACTCAACTATTTTATTATCGGAAACAATTTTGAACGTATCAAAATAATACGTTCATAAATACCTGCGACACGTCATACAAATTTCTCGCGTGTCTTTTTATTTGGCTATCTCAGATCTATTTCAAGTGACTCGTAATTCTATCTATTCATTGCATACCTATTTATAGGTACGATGAAAAAACAGCAAAACACATAATTACAGATTATTTAACGGTATTTTATCCCAAAATAAATTTTACTGCTTCGCAAGATATTGTTGTTCTAAAAAAACTTTAGAATAAATTTTCATCACAAATAAAATATTCGTAGAATTCATTATTTCGCTCAGTTAACTCAGCTTTTCGTAGAGCTAGGTAAAATTAGATATTCCAATAGCATGTTTTTATTATATTTGTTTCATGACTTATTTCAGAATAAAAAACGAACGTATATACGAAACGTGTGCATTGTATTATACAATCACTATGTCTGCTGTTCAGAGAACGACCAGTTAAACATCATAACATTCAAGCATTAACGCTCCATTAATATTAGGTTGTCAAATATCTCCCTTCCGCTTTTTTGCTATTGGTTTATAATACAAAAAGGCGGAAGGGAGATATTTGACAACCTAATATAACGCGATACTCTTATCAATATTGTTTTGGTAAATTGCCAAGAATGAATAATAATAACAAACATGCTTTTACAATATACTCTTATGATTATAACCAAGATAAGGCTTTACAATAAGGATGACGTGAAAAAGAAAGCAATGAGCCGCATATTTTATAACTGCCGTAAGTTATAGGTTAACGTTTCAAAGGTTTCTGGAGATTTTGGAAAACCTAAAAAAATGAATGGATGTATGTATGTTGTGTGGATACAACTTGTGTGGTTCAAAAAACATTCGATTCGTATTGATAAGGAAATGAGCTGATTAGTTTTCAGCAAAGACAGGTACAGTCGTTTCAAGAATACGGTGCAAAAAGTGACAAAAATAGCAATTCAGTATTTGAGGAACGGCGCGTCAGATTTGAATGATTCAAAAAACATTTCATTGGTATTGACAGCATGAAGAATTTATGATTTTTTGTGAAGGCAGGTCTAGCAGTTTCGGAGATAAAAAAAATGCCATTTAGCGGTCAAAAATCATAAAACATATCACATCAAATTATCAGATATTTTATAAAAATTCTAATAATAAGCACATTTGTTTTCATTTCTGAGTTCCGTGCCAAGATTTATATCGTTTAAAGTTCACTTATATAGTTCAAACAAACTTCCTCAACATTTTCGGCACTATCAACCGACTGAAATGGGTTTCAAAATTTTCAAAATTTTCAAAAAAATCCATTTATAAAAAAATTAAAATCATCAAAAAATTTCAATTTTTTGAAAAATCAAATTTTTCAAAAACTTCAAAATTTTAAAACAAATATGAAAAACCGCAAAAAAATCTATTTTTTCCAAAATGTTGAACCTTTTAAAAATCATAAATTATCGTATTTTTCTAATATGAAACTTTTTGTTATTGAAAATTCAGTTTTGCTCAAATAAAGATCGATTATTATAGTACTACCAATTTTTGCACGTGTCGAATCGCAAAACTTTGAACAATTGCGTCGTGATTTTCCTAATTTTGCAACCTACAAAACTATTTTCTAAAGTAAATGTTATATTATTAGACTGGATAAGTAAAGCTAACCAAATTAAAAAATTTAATTAAACCTAAGATTAAAAAAAAATAGATTTATAAATTTTCACTTCAATTATGCTTATTTACAATTATCTCTAAAAAACATTCTCATTGATCTAAATGACTTTTTAACACACTGTAGAGATTGACATTTACATTTGACAGCTCTTTAAAAAATTATATTGAATTTAACAATAAAATGCAAACTGCAGCAGCAAAATAGAAAAGGGACATATAAAATCAAAATTACATAGATGCGTAGAATTAAATCGAGAGTAAAAGCTGTTGACCAACAAGAATAAAAGCTTGCCTAAGATTTAAAGTTAATTAAGTAAATCTCACGCAAGTGAATATAAAATATTAAAATTTTTAGTTTTAAAAAACATCAAGCTATCTTCAATGAGGTAGCAAAACGAAATTTATTTCTAATATATATCATAAATGAAAACTGATTATGTAACTTATTACTCAAGGCAGTATTATTTTCCAGACTGTAAATATTCGTTTAATTAATTTATTTGTTCAGAAGTACAAATATACTTCATACAAAGACATAACATTTGCATATTATTACACATGTATTTTTATGTTTTGCATAAAATAAAGTCAAGATAAAATCTCATGAGCAAATCAATTTAAGTAATTGTTATTTTTAATAATCCACAAATCCATACAATTCGAATTGACTTACTTTTTGATAATTCAAGTTTTTTTTGACAAATTTAAGAGTTATTATTATGGAATTTTTCAATAACTCTCAAAACTAAAATAAAAAAAATTTCAAAATCCAAAATTAATCAAGTAATAGTCAAAAACTTATTTGATTCATCAAACATTGTAAGAAAATTAATTAAGAATTACTAAATTTCTCAAATTTAAATTAAAAATTACTCAAATCTTAAATGTAATTATTGAATATTTAGAAAAAAAATCGTATAACAAACAATAAAACATTGAAATTATTTTCAATTATTATAAATCTTTAAATAAACCAACACAAAAAGATCCGAGTAAGAAAATGATAATATTCTGACTTACCAAGTATTATGGGAGACATAATTGCTGCAATTCCCTTTGTCAAATCATATACATAAAGCTCAACGGTCGAATTATCAGAAGATTCACTCATATTTATTTTGCTTTTATAAATTGACTGCAGTATAGTTCAATAATGTATCTTGTAAATATTAGAGACTCGAACGTCCTGTTATAGAAAATTAATAATACAATATTATGTTATATTATACTATATTAACTAAACCTTTTTAGTGCAATGATAACCAATAGTTAGTGCTGGCACGTGCTGAATTTAAAACAATAACTTGTAAATTTAAATAAAAGAGTTCCAACAACAAAAATATATCCATATATAAAACTATCCTTTGTGATGTTAAAGAACAGACTGAGTTTATATTAATGAATAGAAAATATCATAATTTAGTAACTTAAAAGTACCACAAAATTAGTTTATTGTAAAGCAAAAAGGTTTCTATATGGTTTATTTGATACATAGATTAAGAATGACATTGCTTAAATTTGTAATTTCACACAGCAGCATGAGCCACAAAATTCTCATGCAGGGTGAAATTTTCTCTGAAAAACTTCTTAAACAACTAATTTTATCAACGATACTTGAGATATGATGTGTATATAAATATTAACACCTGTTTTCCCACTATTATGGCTACATAATGATTGCATGACAGAATTCTAGGTTATGGCATGAAAATTCATCATTACTAATCACTAATTTAGATTTTCCATTATTTGTTTAAAAAATGGCTTTTGATTTATATTGAAAATAATTGTCCACATCATTTTTAATTCAACACTTCAAATTTTGACAGCAGTATACGTCAAATTTTCAATCTACAAAGTATAAATGAAAAGTGACAGTAGCCGCAAACATTTATTTTTGTTACGTACCTTATTTAGCACTTTGTACTCTAAAACACAAAATGAGAAACGCTAACCAAAGTATTACAATAAACTCGCGAAGTTATTCTGATTCAATAATCAAAGAACAGAACGATGAACGTGAACAAATACTATTGATAAAAAATCGCTTATTTACCTGTCATTTGACACCATATCAACAACTTCACGGCATACCGTTATTTGTGACCTTTGTGTAAAGTCGACCAATAATAAAGCTTCATTCTGGTCAGTATAAGTATCCGTTCGCTAAGAAGACTATTCAAATACCTTATGTGATAATATATCATTTCAACTTATTTAGAAGCAAAAATACTCTGAAGATATACATTATTTGCTTCCAAAATAAACATTAAAATGTAAAAAATATACTAGTTGTAAATGGCATTAATCCTTGAAGAAAATTTCTTGAACTTCCCCATACGGATACATAATCGGCTTAATCTATAAGAATTGAGATTTAGCTACTTACTTTTAGAAAAAAAATTCGACAGTTTATTTCGAAAATAAAGTTTTCACTTTCATTAAAAACTAAACAATGCCATTTAAATTTTATAGACTATTTATATATCTTTACAACAGACTTTTAATATCTCTAATTATATTAATTATAAAACAAAAAGATCACTTCTAGAAAAAGCGTGGCCTATTATTCCATACTTTTAAGAAATTTTTAAACCTTATGCACATGTTTTTAGGACTATAATATATGTATTAGAATGTTACTTATTAAAATTAGCAAATAGGATTTTGCTGCAAAAACATAATCATCCTATGGAAAGTTAATAAATAAAACAATAAAAACTCTATTTAAAAATAGTGTTTATTTATTACTTATAGTCACATTATATTATACTGTTTACTTTTTTCTAGTGTTAATGATATAAAACACTAGTGAAAAAATAATTTTCAAATGTAAAAATGTGACAACAATAAAATCACATGAAATTTTTGGTTAAAGAAGCATACATTTAATATTAATATTGTTAGTTTAATTATGCTAACAAAAACTAATACTCATCAAAAACATACATTAAATGTAAACAATCATAAATCAAATTTAATTAAAGCTGTCAATAATCAAAACAGTGAATACTCTATAAACATAAATTATAGTATATATCAGAGATAAACATCATCCGTACAATAGCAGCAATATCTAATACTTCTCCAGAGTACTTTGTACGTAAGATAGTACATGAAATAATAAATACAAAATATTGTCCAGAAATATTTATGTAACTAATTTATGACATTTAAATTAATTGAATTCAAATTCATTCCACTCAAAGAAAATATATATATATATATAGCCCAATATATATAAATTAAAGGCAATGGCTGAGCATTTATAGAAACAGATACTACTAAATGCACTAATTAAAATATGGCCATCAACAACATTCATGTGAGCATCAATATCCTTTAAAAATGCCACACAATGAATCATTTCATAAATTTTAGCTATGCAAATTAATATTTCAAGTCACATTCTTAAGATATGCACACAAATCATGTAATCGAATTTTATAAATCTGTGCTTTCATTGTGTTCAACTTTAGATTTGTGGCCAAATGGAGGGGGTGGGGCTGGTATCTGAGGTCTTGGAGGCCTTTGTAAAGCTCTTGGTGAAGGAGGAATAACTAAAGCTTCTTGAGGGGCTTCTAGTATATTTCCTTCTGATTGTGATAATTGTCTAACATGACCCAAAGTCTTCTGAACTTCATTGTCTGTTCGTACTACGCATTTAGGTCTTGTAGTGTTGCCTATGCTTTGAGTTCTTTGTAAAGAACTACCATCTTTATCCACTTGAATCAATGAGACTTGCTGCTTGTCCACGTTATACGTATGAATTCTTTCTAAAGTAGTTATTCTACAAGTGGCATTACTAAAATCATCATTTCTATTCACAGAACGAAAACTTTGAGGTCTGAGGGTGGAAGGTCTCTCTGGCACTGCTGGTTTACTACCTCTGTCAGTGGAACAATTATCATCCTTTGGCTTTCTTCTCAATTGTACATTTGCCATATTGTCATCAGCAGTCGTCAACTTTTCTGTAATAGTTGTCCTAGGGGCTGCTACTGGCACTCCCTTCGGTTTGGCCTGCAAACCGTTTACAGAATTAGTGCAGTGGACATTACTTTTATGCTGCAAATTATCGGATGTTATTGTAATTTTATCAACAGTTGCCTTCTGTACGTTCATCGTTTCCATAGAATCTGCAAGCATGTAAGCTGATAATTTTTGGTCTGTATCCATACTTTTCCGTTGTTCCCTAATTTCTTCTATTCCTTCATTTGGCTTCTGATGAATGATCTGAGGTTTAGATTGAATTAATGGTTTAGGAGGTTTGTTTTCTACAGAAGTATCTACAGATTTTGGAGGGCATGGAGCTACAGATTTATTCTTTCTTCGAGCTATAGGTTTGGGACTACCTTGTGGAGGACTAGATTGGTCAGACAGTGAGCTATTGGATTGAGCCCTTTTCATATCATTTGTGATATGTATATTATCAGTAATTATTAAACTTGTATCATGGCTGTTACTTCTTGAATGTGATATCTTGGTGGTGGTTGAATAATCTATTGTACTCTTAGACATGCTATCCATTTCATTATCTAAAAATCTATGATCATTATAGCGAGGAGAAAAACCATATTCACAGTCCTTAAATAATTTTTCCCGGGTATAAGTTATATAAAAATTCACATCACCTGGAAAGAAATAATCAACATGCCTCAGCAATGTTTCAATAACACTGGTTCTGGCCGCTGCACTACTCATCACATTCAGCAATTCATCATCTTCATTACTTTTAAGCAAGTTTGGTGCAAAAACTATGGCAATATTCTGAACACTCATTTTATTATGATTTTCATTTCTTGCCAGTTCTGCTAAAAATTTGATAAGATAACGTAAATTTTCATAATTTTGCTCGGGCAATTTGTCAACAATTTTTTTTATAGCTGCAAGTCTTGCTTCATCTTGAGTAATTGAACTTGCATCAATAAAATCCTGGTATAGTGAAAATGTCAACAATGGATCCGGAAGCTTGCTAAGGTATCTTTTTAAGGCTCCTGCCAAAATATGTGGATCACAGTATTCACCCGAAAGAGGATAAGTAAAACAACCTGTGTCTAGTGATAGACACATTCTTTCTACTTTTGACTTAGCTGGAATAAAAATGGATCAATCCACAAATTAGTTTTAGAAATTGAAGTTCATTCACTATTTTCAAGAATTATTACCTGCGGTTATTCTAAAAAGGCCTTCTTCACAAATTCCTAGCTCTATTAAAGCACAAGCACATAATTCTATAGGTAATGCTATTTTACGATCAGTCAATCTTAAATGTTCTCCTAATGGATATCCATACATTGGTTTGCTTTCATAATCATCTGCAAGAAATTGCAATATTAATTATTATTTATATCAGTAAGTTATAGCAAAATCCTTGTGATATAAAGCATTATTTTTTATTTCTGAAAGTTTTTTTTTATATAATGTGTTTGATGTTGAGATATGTGTGGCAAAATCATTAGTGCAAATCTTCAAACAAAAAATTGTAGAACTTTACAAAATCTTTTTTTTTAAATTTTATGTCCAAATGTGTGAACATATATATATATATATATATATATATATATATATATATATATATATATATATGCAAAATGCTGGAACTTATACAGTACTAGAATTTTAAATGTTTTCAAATGTTTTTCATATTTATTATACAAAATATTATATAAGAGCTTATAAAGTGGCAACAAAAATAGCAGATAAGTAAATCAGAGCTTCTCCTTGAAAGCACAGAATGTATTAAAAAAATAAAATACTTTAAGTATAATAAATAGTATTGTAAATATATACTAATCCCATTTATCTGAATCTTCATCAATTATATTTTGATTGTAATAATTTAATATTTGTATTTAGTTAATTACTGACTAGATTAATAAACAGATATTAATGTTAATAATTCGATATTTGTATTTATTAAAATATCAAGTAATTTAAAGCCATAATTCTATAAATGTTTACAAATTTATGATAGCCAACTTTAAGTCATAAACTAACTCACTTATGAACTGCTCAATATCAGGAATAATTTGTTCTAAGGCTTGTTTAGCAGCATCATGATAAGCTCTTTGTAATTTAATATATTGCAGAATATTTGTGGCTAGCTCAGTTTCTTTTGTAAGAAGTGTGAACATTTCATGAGCAAGCTTTTCGCGATTTTCATTAACTCTCATATCAAGTTCTTCCAAATCATCTTGAAGTTGCGTGATACGATTTGTGTTGTCATTATGCCGTCTTGCTGCCTGTTATAAAATATAATATAAACATACTGATATATATATATATATATATACAAATATGTATAAAGGTCGGTGGTAAATTCGTGCATCACACCAAGGGAAAAATGAAAAGAGTAAAAATATTAGACTTATTATACATATATGTTTCCGTATTTATTTAATAGGCTGAACTAGAAAATTGCAACTATTTACAGTCGTGAATAAAATGGAAATAGACAATAGTTGACGTAACAAAAATTTGGTTTTATCAATAAATATTTGCACAAATTAACATACATGATCACTACACTAATACACTGATAGTTATAACCAAGCTATTAATAAATTGAAACATTGAATGCACATAGTGAAATTGTATACAAGTCAAGCTTATTAATAAAAAATAACTAAAGAAAATGATATTTCATACTATATTTATTTAACTGGTCTCAGCACACCGTTCAATTCTGAAATTAAAAAACTGAAAGTAAAAATATGTAATTAGGTACATTTATAACAATCGACATTTGGTCTTCATTTTGAAACCTTATCAATCTCCAATCAGAATAATTTAATCTGTAAAGGTAACATTTTTATTGGTTCATATCTGTGAAAACAATATTAAGGAGTAAGTAATAAAGAGAATATATATTTTTTAAATGAATAGAAAAAACAGTTAAAAAATAGTTATGCAGATCAATGAGTCAGTCAAATTACTCACATAGCCTTTAGTAAACAGTAAAAAAATTACATCACAAAAAATACACTTCAAAAAATTTAAGTCAAGTAGCATGAATTTTTGTTGGATATTGTGGCTAAGTATAATCGCATGCTAAATACTTAAACTTTCAATATCTATAGCATTGAAAGAATTGGCTAGTCAATATACAGGTGCTTTATACTCTGCAAGATTGAAGCTAAACTAAAAAGATAGAAATTTCTTTAGTAAAAGATTATGTAATAAAATAAACTCATAAAAATTGCTTAAACGCGGTCAATCATTAAAGTAAATAGAAAATCTTAAGAAAGAGATCTTAATAACAATAGTTGTATCGCAACCAATTTAATGGTTAATGGTTAATTTACCCTGATTGCAAGTGACCTTTTTTTTACAAATAGAATTTGGATATTCTCATTTGTGGATTTTAGTTTATCAAGAATTTTATAACAAATACAATCCAAGTTTTTGAATTTAGATTATTAAAATCACAACCATTATATTACTTCATAACATTTTTTGTCTTTCTGCATCTTGATGCTCAATGTTTTTAGTTAATTCCTGATTTATGTTATAATATAAAACTTATTGCATTGACAGAAAAATTTTAGAGATATGTTCAGAAATTATTAATTATCGTGCTGATGTTGAACTTGTATTATAACTATACAAGCCATAACACATTATTACCTGAAGTTTATTATTTGCTGTATCCCTTTCCTGCACCAATTTTGTTAATTGCTTTTTCAATTGTTGAATTTCATTATTCATGACTTCTTTTAAAGGTTGTGAAACATATAAATCAACTTCGCTATTGTGTTCTCTTGTTTTTTGTGAGAGCTCCATTTGAATTTCACCTTTAAAAATTAAAAAAACATTATAATAATGTTCGATTACTATAAGATATAATATAAGATAAAATAGTATTTAAAAATAATTAATAGTTTTTTTATAATACAAATAACCATCTAACAATTAAGACTATTCTTTACAATAATTAAAGTATTAAATTTAAAAATAATTAATATTGGAATGATATCACTTAAATAGTCTATCAAAACCTCCTAAAAACAGTCAGCAGATAGTATCAATTATTTAAATATGAAATGCAATAATGAATAACTAATGACTTTGTTTCTGTATTTTTAAAAAAATTGTATGTATGTTAAATCATATTAAAATTAAAAATGAATTATGAATATCCATTTCATTTTATTTGTTATTATATATATATATATATATATATATATATATATATATATTTATTTACTATTTTACTTACATGAAGTTTGAAAAGCTTAATTTTCATGCTATATCTTCTTAAATATTTTTGCAAAGTAACAATTATTGTTGAAAAAAAAATTTGTCAATTCTCTATAATATTATCGCTTTAAACTTACAAATTAAAATTAAACAAATTGAATTTATATCCTATAAAACTTGCATCACTATAATAAACAATTCAAAATTAAATTAAAATAACCTGAAATTTCTAGCTGATTTTATAATGTTAAATTCATAGCTTTGTACATATTTGACATCAATAACAATTAATTTGCTGTTTGAAAATAGTTTCTTATCAATCCTCCAGATATCACTATAGTAACATTGCACTAATCCAATTATCCAAAATATTAAGTTATTTAATATTTACCACAATCTTTGAGCACTTTGCTAAGTAAACTCTCTGCATCTCTGCTAGCTTCTAGCATGGCATTTCCTATTTGATAATACTGGCACTTTTTGTTTTGTTTTGATATAGCTGAGGCATCAAGAGCAACCAGAGTGTAACCACTCCCGATGCGTTTACCAACATTGCCCACTGCTCCTAAAATATGTTCTGCTCGTTGATCTGCTGTTTTTAAATCATCATTTAGCACATCCGACTTTCCAGTCCTGGAACATGTAGAGTTAGCATAATATAAAACTGTTAAAACCTCTTTTTAAATTACAATTATGAACTCGTGTTACTATTTTATTTTATAAAGGGTTCAAAGATAATGTACTGTTTGAAGTGGAATAAAGAAAATAAAACGGACCAACAAAAGAACAAAAAATCGAGTATTGCAAAAGTAGAAGAAAGTTCTAAAGTTAATTATGAAGCCAAAACTAAAGTGTATTCAACCCATACAGGTAAATATGACTCACTGCATAATGCCATTGAAGGCAAAATAAAAGTACAGAAAGATCTACATGATATACATGCATATATACATATATATATACATATATATATATATATATATGTATGTGTGTGTGTGTATATGCCCATTTATGTAGTTTTAAGAATAAAATTATTTCAAACAAGAATATCAAAAAATATTGGACACATATACAATAATTTTTGTAAAACCTTCTGTCAAATGAGAGAATGTATTTGCCTATGTAAATTGTTCAAATTTCGTTAATGTGATTTTGATCTGTGAATTCCAATAACAAATTATCACAAGCAGCTATCTATAAACAACGTTACCATTAAATACACACTAATATTATTATCAAACATCAATGGCAAGACGTTTACATTACATTCGCATTTACTATCGGTTATTTATTAAAGTTTATGTAAACAAGAATGAAATCAAAGTATAATAATTTTGATCGCAGGTGTTCAAAGTAATATTCACTTAGGTTCTCTTACCTCGAAAAAGTTTGATCAGCGAACTGACGAACTTTATTAAATTGTTTCCTCATTTTTTGTTAAAGCACTCAATTTTCTTTATAAAAGGGGTGTTGTTACAAACACCGAAATTTAATTTTACAACAGATGTATTCTGATATCACAAAAACAGATAAATAATTATTTTTGAAATATGTTTCCACCCATTTACAAACACACATGATAGATTGATTTTTGTAATCTACTGATAAAAGCAGTTTATCAATATATTGAATTCCTTAAGATCTCGAAATCGCATTCACGATCCACGTACTCTGCATAATTAACTTTTATTAACAAATATTATCAAAAAGGTGTAATTATCATTCTTGTCATTAGCAAATTTTTTCTTTTTTTATAATTTGTGCATGATTGTACACGTCCACTGACATCTACCAAAACAAGGACACAATACGACATCTATGTTATGTATGTTCCTCAAACTTTATTATCTTCAACATGTTTATATTAAAATAACGTGGTAATCCAAACAGTTGCGTTCGGTTCATATAAACCGAATTAATCAGTTTTGAATAATTATTCTATTTTTAACTTATATTTCAATGCAAATACAAAATGCGATTGTAACATATATAATATATGTATATATATGAGACAATTTTAATGCTTTTAATTATTTTTTTTTTTTTCGATTTTTTTAACTTCCCGTAGGGTAGTTATAGTAATGGGCCGAAAATCGTAAATGAAAATATTTGCATATCTCCACGTTTTGAAGGTTTCTGAACATTTTGGCATACCTCAGAAAAAATGGATGTGTGTATATCCGCATTTTTTCATCCACGTTTTCGGGCGCACGGATCAGCCGATTTAGCTGCAATTAGAAACATTTTTTTATATATTAAATATATCACACACTTTCTTCATTATTTGAAAATTGATGGAATTCACTTTTTACCTAAATTACTAAAAAAAATTTAGTGTTAAAGTTTGATTTTCTTTTAAACAAAATATTAAAATATATATCAACTCAATAAAACTATGATAAAACAAATATAAATCAACAATAAAAATTTAAAAATATAAAAATTATAAAATATATAAAAAAGTTTTGAAAATTGAAATGTAAAAATATTATAATATATAAATATCAAAAAATATGGAAATATAAAAATATAAAACTTAAAAAAGAAATTAAAATTAAAATGAAGCAATATGGAAATATGAAAATTATAAAAAACAAAAGAATTTAAAAAATGTATAAAGTAAAAAATATAAAAGAAACATAAAAACATACAAAAACAGTAAAAATTTTAAAAAGAATAAGAATATAAAAATATACATATATAAAAAGGAAAAATATGAAAAATATAAAGATATAAAAAATAAAATAAAAATATGAATATTATTATATGTTTGATCAAGTTCCTGAAAGAAGGGACATCCGCGAAATGTTGAAAATATTTATAAATTATACATTAAATAAATATAAATGTGTGTGTGTGATAATGTTCAATCCTATAATATCGCATGCTAAAATTCTCATTTGTGTATGATAAAGCGAACTGTACTGTGATATATGAAATTATTATTGCTTCTGGCAGCTTGCTAAGAGGAGCGCAATCTTTTGTCACTTTCACTCCCATTATGGGAGTGAATTGGGAGTCCCATATACATCATACACATTAAATCATATAGTCAGAAAGCAAACATGCATTCTGTTTATTTTTTGAAAATATGATCGTATTAGAATACAATTAATATATCATATAATTTTTTGACAGACACAATTGCCTAGTTAACTCGTGATGTATGGCATCGTGCAAAGGCAAGTTGCTGGAACTTCTCGTTCCAGCGAAATCTTCGAGAAATATAATAAATGTTTTCAAATAGATAAATAATGTTACATCGTCTAATTTTTTTTTATTTTTTATTATTATTTTTAACAGCAATCAGAACCTTATGTCCTATGAGCTGTTGGGCTGAAACTTCTCCGTACTTCGTATTTTTTAGATGGTAACCCAATGGTTAATCCATCCATATTTGATGATTTTTGTTATTAGAATTAATCTAATAGGGCTGACTTTTTTTATTGGTGCAGCAATATGGTGAGGGCTATTTTCACTTGGAAACATATTGCTATCTATATTTCCAAGTGAAAATCGTTGTCACTGCTGCCTGACAACAGGCTGCTCGAAGTGGGTATCGAACCCGGGACCTCTGATTCAGGTCCCGTCGTTCTTAACCGCTTGCCGTCTAATATTTATAAGAATTATAAGTATATATAGTTAGCTTCAGGCCTTTAGCCAGAATTAAAATCTTAATTATTTTCGATATACAAAAAAAATTTTTTTTGGAAAATATATTCAATATTTTTTCCCAAAAGCCATTGTTTTGTCAACACAAGCAGAATTTTTTTGAATCATTCAAATCGGATGCTTAGTACACTCAAACCCTGCCATTTTTTGTACATTTATCTCTTATAAGAGCTAAATAGCTACAGATAAAAGTGGTGACCAGTTTTTGGCAAGGTCCAGCCATTCTGAAGATATATCTATAGATTTCCCAATCGTAACAAATTGAATGTTTTTTGGATCATTCAAATCGAATGCTCTATTCTCTCAAAGACTCGATTTCTATTTTCTGCACTCTTTGCTCCGTATCACCGTAACGGCTAGACCTGCCTTTGCAAAAAACTAATCAGCACATCTTCCTATCAATAGGAATCGAATGTTTCCTGAACCATTCAAATCGGTTGATCCGTGCGCTCAAAAACGTGGACGAAAAATTTCGGACATTCAAAACACACCCATACATTTTTTCTGAAGTATGCCAAAATGTTCAGAAACCTTCAAAATGTGAAGATATGCAAAAATTTTCAGTTTGGATTTTCGGCCCATTACTATAACTTACTTAATTACTTAACTACGGGAATTTAGAAATATTTGTAAACAATTATAAATGAAAGAAAATTGCAATAGAACATTTTTAATTTCGGGATGACTAATGAAGTTGCTGTAGTAGTTGCTTGCAATTCATTTGGATCCTCAATATAATCATTACATTGACAATAAGTTATGTATAGTAATCTATTAACTTCCTGTCAAAGTTTATATATTTTCTAGAAAACTTAACTCTTGAACTATAAAATTTTCTTGAAATTTGAAGAAATTCTGAATCGTTTGCCAAACAAAAAACTGGAGTCAATGGAATAAAATCTTGTTCTCAGTCGACGATTTTTAGTATAAATTTCTACGAATATTTCGAATATTAATCCGGATAAGAAGTTTTGCATGCTAATCAATCGATTATTTGTAACAGTTAAAAGAGATATTTTTCGCAACGTTTTCGCGAAAAATCTTGAACTCATCATGTAAATTCAACAACCCTTTCAAATATATCAGCTGATTAGTTTTGTTTTGTTAAAATCGATCAGGCCGTTTCTTCATATTATAACAGTTAATTTCTTTTTATATTTTAAAAATCCTTAAAACATTCGTTATATTTAAATTTATTCGAAAGGTGTTTAAGATCGGTCAAGAGTGTTTTTGTAAAAAACAGTTAAATATGTAACAATTAGCTTTCTTAATCTTGAATCGATTTCAGATTCAAAGTTCCTTCGAAACGCAACTGGAAATCGAAGTGTGCAAAAACATCAACCGAACCACGTCTTCTCAATAAAGTAATTTTGCTTTTGTTCTAATCTTAATGTTTAAAATCTGTTAGTAGTACACGATCTCGTTAGCATTCGTTAGTATTGCATGTAAGTTGTAATTAACGTAATTAACATCGTAATTAACAGATGAAAACATTTTTTCAATAGTTTTGTAAAAATGCTCTAAATCTCAATTTCTATCGTTTAAATCAATTATTTTTACTATAAGCTTACATAATTTTGAAGAAAAATTTGTCTCGAAAATTTAAAAAGTTCTTATATCATTTATTACATGATTTTGAAAAAAAAGTTACATAAAGTATAGACTTTTCTATAGAGTAGAATGGTATTGAATACAATTTGCAAACTATCTAATTAAATTAAATCAGATACAAAGTTTTGATACAAATAAATAATCTTAGCATATATCCACTTCGAAAATGTAAATGAAATGTTTTTTTTTTCAATTGTTCCAACGGTTAACATGGGGCGCGATTAAGTCTTTGAAGCCAAGCGTTCATTCATTGTTCTAATCTTGGTCATAGCAATATATAATGGTTCGAAGATCGATCCTTGTTCTTGATTTCCAACAGATCCTCTGCGCAGTAAGATGCAGTTAAATTATTTCTCGTTCAAAGTTTCAAAAAATTATGTATTCAAAACAAAATGAATGATAAAGAACTTTATAATTTTTCGAAAAATATCCCTTATCATGAGTTGTTAATTTTGTTGATGATATGAAATATTTTGGTCAGATTAATGTAACGAGTGATTATCTACAGATCATCAGGTAAACCTTAAATTTCATATTTATGTCCTAACATAAATATTTTATGGTTTGGGTATTCCCATCCTATAGTCTGCAAGGATATTAGCGTTCGATATGGCAGAGAATATCGTAAAATAAATACTTATATCACATTACGGAAGGAAAGTTTGTCTTGGATGTTTTTCAGAAAAAGTAGAAAAGTGAAAGAAATAAAAATTATCAGTGTAATATAAATGTAGAATATTATTTAGCATCGCAGGCTTTCATTTATAGAAATTACCGGTAAAACACCGAGTTTGCCTTGGCGGCATCCAAGTCAAAAGAATTAATTATGGTAATTTAAAAAATATTTCTTTGATAAAATTTTCAAACACTATTTAATTTACCTTAAAAAAGTTAAAGTATGTATTTTCAAAATAATGAAATAACTAGTGGGGTGGGTGGCATCGTGCCATCGTAACGAAATGTTCGAGGATTACTGAATGTTTTCAAATAGATTATTATAAATATTGTAACATTGTCTAATATTTATAAATATTATATAAACTGAATTGCAGAGTTTAAATTATTTGTAAAGTATATTAGAACTATAGTCAGAATTAAAAATAAATATATTCGATATACAAAAAACTAAAAAAAAAAGAAAAAAAAAAAAATGGGACAATTTTTTTTTTCCAAAATCGATTATTTTGTTAAGACAAGCAGAAAGTTCTTTGAATCATTTAAATCGGACGCTTAGTTCTCTCAAAAACTGCCATTTTTTACATATTTAGCTCCGTATCTTCAAAATGGCTGGGCCTGCCTTTGCCAAAAACTAATAAACACTTCTCCCAATCATTACTAATTGAATGTTTTTTAGATCATTCAAATCGGATACTCCGTTCTCTCAAAAATACGATTTCTATTTTCTGCACTCTTTGCTCCGTATCTCCGAAACGGCTGGACCTGCCTTTGCCAAAAACTAATCAGCTCTTTTCCCAATCAATAGGAATCGGATGTTTTTTGAACCATTCAAATCGGTTGATCCGTGCGCCCTAAAACGTGACTGGAAATTTGTATCCACACATACATATATACACACACACACACACACACACATCCATTTTTTCTGAGGTATGCCAAAACGTTCAGATACCTTCAAAACGTCGAGAAATGTAAAAATTTTCAATTCCGATTTTCGGCCCATTACAATAACTTACCCTACGGGAAGTTAAAAACTGCTATGTCACAGATTTAGCAAATAAGTTTATTATCATAGTAAATAAGTCAAACAAAAAGTATTAAAAGAAGTAATTTAAATAATCAAAATCATAAACCTTAAAGCTACATAAATGTTTAAAGTAGTAATTAAGTAGCTACAATTAATCAAAAATATAAACTTTAAATGTAAAATTTAAAGTTCAAATAAAGGTAACTGTTGTATCAAAAACCGTACATAATTTTTAAAATTTTCAAAATCAACAATGTCTAATCGTATAAGTTATAGCTAACAGGATAATTAGGCATTTTTTATGGTATGGCATTGGTATCATAATCTAAAACGTCGTACTTATCAAGCAAATGCTAGTTGAAAATTCCATATGTACAAAACCGCCCACAATCATGGTTTTGACAACGTACTTTGGATACTTAGTCTTATCATCAGATCTTCCCAGAATTTGCCCAGAAATCCTCTTACCTTCATTACTACCGTAAAATCGCCATTGATTAGACTGATTTTATTCTCTTGTTTTCTCTGTTATCCTTTTCCTACAATATCGTTCCTCAATTTTCGAAGTGTTTTATTGTTCTTTTTATGTATTTTGAGTTGTGTTTATTTTCTCGATACTTTTTTCTTTGTTCAGCCTTTTCTACCGTATCCGTTTTTCTTGAATGTATCGCCTCTGATATTCTTTATATGTATTCTTCAGAAGTTTGACATAAAGAATAATCATTTCAAATCAAATCAATCAAGTTAAATTACAAAAAAAAACATATACTGTAATTTCGCCACAATATTTTTAGTCATCGCTAAACTTTTTGACATCAAAGGCACCAATGAATTAAAATACAGTTGAAAATAAAGGACAAAAATATTTCAAGATACCTTTTGCAATGCTCACACCCTTAATTGTGTGACCATAATTACGGCTACCTTGATATTGTTTCTAAAAAAATATTATTATAAAAAACTGTGTTTGCTATAAATTCTTAATCAACGGAATTGCCACCTCAAGCTGATTCACAATAAGAACATACTGATCACGATGTGTTTACAATTGCGATGCGATCGGAAGCTTCACACGGTTTAATTTATATTAAGATTTGAAAATCGCGATATTTTGTTTGTATTCAAACCGTAGTTTATGTGCATATCCTAAGAGGTAATTAATTGTTATAAATTAAATCACTTTTCGTAGGTCTATAATATATATGGATGTTTAATCGTACGTTCATTTTGCCAAGTTTCATCAAAATCGCCAAAAAAATATTTTTCAACAATTAATTACGAAGAAATGGCTCGGCCAATCTTTACGAAACACTAATTATCATTAATAATATAATTAAACATTAATTATCATACATGATTATCAATTTTGCACACATCTGCTTATTTTAAAGAAAAGCACGACAACTCACCGGAGTGTCCGTCTTGTTCAGGAGACATTGATTGGCAGAGCACGTTTCAGTGCCGCATCGTGATGATATAGAGTTGGCATTAAACAAAAAAATTACACCAGTAGAAGTGATATTAACACCAGAGGCTGCTTGGAACGCACCAGCATATTTGCAAGAGTCCTTATAGACTTGCGTTCCATAGAAAGAAAGATACCAAATGACGATTTTAACACAAAATAAGACACTAATAATCAACTTACCACTATCAACCTGTAAATTTCTCTATCCATTTTCATTTTAGTTTGGTACTCTTTACATGATCTTGGTAAAAGATTTTATCTTCATGGAGAACAATTACATATAGATTCTGTTCTTTGTAAATATGGCCTATGTATTAGATGCTTCAATGTAAGTTCTCACAAAATGTTCGTTTAACCCTCCGTCGGTCTTAGTGGTCTGGCCAGACTTTTTTCGACTTCAATTTAAAAAAAAATACTTTTAGTAATCCTATCGACTTGAAATTTCTGGACTTTTCCCAAAATTTCATTGGCTATCGATCAATGAAAAAATTAGGACAAAAAAATGTGTAGTCCAGCCAGACTACTCCGACCGTTTCAAGGTAAATATCAGACCGACGGAGGGTTAAATATAAAATAAACTATGTATATTCTACATAAAAATGGTAACAGAAAATCCAATAAAATGTAAAAAGGAAGTTAATAGAATCGATTTTATTTTATATTATTTTGAACAATAAGCCAAAATTATCACATTATTTATTATTTATATACAATAAATCTGAATTTCTAATTTCTATTATGCAGTATGATTAGCATATAGTCACACGTATATTTATTCGTTAGTCAAATATAAATATAAATACTAATTGCATATTACAATATCTTTCAAGGACATAGTAAATATTTCGGCAGTGTTTAAGTTGAATAAAAATGGTGTTTCGTTCTTATATTTTTTATCAATAATGCTATAATATATTATTAACAAAAATCTAACAGTAAAATTCCGAGATATAATTTTGCAATGTGCAAAAATCTACATATTTATGTGTGTACACTCACTCTCACAAAAATATATATGTATAAAAATGGTTAAAAAATAGTTATATGAACACACAAACACAACGTCAATAAAATAATGCAACAGCGATAAAAAAACATATTTTAGTATAAATATAAATATATATGGTAAAATTAAAATAAATATAAAATAGCTGCTGCTTGATATCAGGATAATACAAATATGGTATCAGACTTAGGCCTTCCAACATTGTGAAGCAATATAGACTGCACCATATATCCAAATAAATACATGACCAGTGAATAAAATGAGTATTTTACTTAGAGGGGTTTTGGTATTTATTATTAAATTCTGAGATTTACAACTAACTCATTTAATTCAAAGTGTGTAATTTTACTTGAATGGCCTTACACAAGTAAATACGTAATTTTATTTTTATTATTCGTTCATTAGGCGGAAAACCGACGATGCTTTCATGCAACATAAATCAACTGTCGTAAGTTACAATTACGAAATTTACAATTTTTGTTTATGATCAATATTTGGTATATGATATTTGAAGCAAAAAATTATTATCACTCTATGGTATTGAAACCATTTAAATATCTTTTCAAACTTCCATGATTGTGAGTGCATTTTAAAATACCTTAAACTAATACATTATTAAAAATTGTCATGATTTTTACGAGTATCATAAATATTATAGTATAATACTAAATATATATATCTAAACAATATTAAACGTTGGTTCCATATGCATTAAAAACTGCTCTCGAGCTGTCCGTATCGAGCGATATGTCTTCAGGACTCGCCAGGTCAACCCTGACGGTCGTTGAATTATTTCGTCTTCGGCCTGTTGCTAAAATGTTAATTTAATGATATATATATATATATATATATATATATACAAACACACTTTTGTAAAAGATAATATCGTAGGTGCTACCAATCTGCCGAATCAATTATACGGCTCAGGAAAGTAAAAATTATTAAAAACTTCCCAAATTTTCCATAGAAGCAGAAACTTAAGATAAACTAAAGTCATCATCTATATATGTTTTAATAAATCTGTTGCCGAAAAAATGATAAGGAGAGTGTATATTTAATTTGAGTTGTATGAAATAATGGGAAAAAAGTGTCAGAAAACGATTATGAATATTTCTTTCAATTTCAGAAAATTATGTGAAAAACTTTTTGCAAAAGGTTGTTTTATTCAATTATGTAAAACCAAGCTGAATGATAAGATGTCATAAATAAGCTTAATGATATTTTCCAAAGGTTCCAAAATAATAATAATTCACCTGCGCCCCAGTTACTTAAGGTCCAGTGATAGCCCGCAACGGGTTGCGTGTTTAGCCCTCCAATTTTAACTCCATTATCTTCCCCACCACAGGGGAGTGTTTGTGGTTCTTGACCGCCTTCTTCTTCGCCACCTATACCATCTATACCATCGCCTACAAATAATCATATATTTTAACATCAAAAAGTTGTTTCACTAGCACGTTTAAGTCAGTTTTTAACATTTAATTGTGTCTGCAACAACGCAAGTGTGATTGGTAGGCCTTCCTAAGGAGGCCTACCTTCCAGAATTCTATTCTTCTAGAGAATGAGTTTTTCATATGAGGGCCCGATTCACTAGTTCGTAGATTTTACAAAAACTGTGCGATATTATTATAATACACAATGCCATATTACGTTATTAATAATTATAGCGTTCATAAGAATTGTGTGGCCAGGTGATATTAATTACAAATATCCAGTTGTCAATGTATTTATGATATGAGCATATATTCATATTGATATGTAATTACCAAGACTATCTCCAGTTCCTGCAGATGTTTGTGAATCGATAGAATCAAAGCTGGAATCCATTCCTTGTCCTCCGGCACCTCCTCTATATCTTGATGCCATGTTAACTATAAGTAAAATAAAAAGAGAAACTTTGAAAAATTGTTTAAAAAATTAAAACGTGAGGAAATAAAAGGGCAAAGGTAGTAATGTTCAAAATAAATGCAGATTACTTGATTTTTACAAGTTTGCCAAACATGTTAGTTATTTTCAACAAATTGTTTAAAGATTATATATTGTTGAAGAAAAAATTAACTCGCACCTAATATATATACAGTGTATTTTCTAAAAGTGTGGTCTATTAATTTAAATTTTAATGAATTTTTACATTTAAACCTCTTTATTAAAATTGTCACTAAAGTTGTTTGTAGAATAGTTAACTGAGCATTAGTTAAAAATTGTGCATTTTAAATTAACACCTTATAGGTGGACTACATAAATTTAAACCAAGTTTTTTTTGAAATAAGTTGAAACAACAGTCCATTTATACCATTTGGCACCGAAACCATAGCAGTTAACTGTTATAAAGTGTTATAAATAATTACAATCATTCACAATAATGTTCTTTTGTCAAACCTTTTTACTCGTACCATTTTTTCGTACGAGATATACCATCCAATTATTTAATTATATGGTTTTAACAGATTAAATTTACATTATTTTGTTTAAAACACATATAAATTCATAGTTGAGAGACTTACCATGAAGATCAAGATGACTGTCTTCCACAGCTCTCATGATCTCTCGACAAATATCAGAATCAATTGGTATAGGTTGTTCAGAGTCTCTATTATGAATGGTTATGGCAATAACTACAGGATGCGGGACAGGCAAGGGTATTAATAACTTTTCGGCCATATATGTTTTCCTCGGCGAATTACGAGTTTTCCATTGCGTCCATTGAGTTTTTCCAGTCTTATCTGAAAAGATTGGACAGGCGGCGCGACAACGTTGAGCACTCCTGCTCACTGACATATGAGAATTAGCTTCACTGTAAGGTATTTTTTTAACGTTATTTCTATAATAAAAATTCATTAAAAACAAAGCACATCTATAATATATATAAAGATAAAGTGAATTGAGAAATAGAATAAGTAAATTGAGCTGTGTTTGATATGGAACGAATGACACCTTATGGTGAATATATTAATAATTGAATATACTTGTATAAATACATTTTCGTATACATTCTAGATAGTAAAAAAAATCTATTTATGTTAATTAAAAATTAATCAAATAAGCTATGTTCTAATCGACTAGAAACAACTTTATTTTCAAACCTTATTTTCATATAGTATATTCAATGAATAACTTACTTCCTTTTCTCTAGTTTTCTTGTCGTTAAAGTAATTCTTGAACGTGGATTGAAAGCTGATATTTCCAAATATGGTGAATGAATTTGTATGTTGCCTCTAGGTGAATAAACGGCTCCTAGTAAATCTGGACCACCAAATCCTGAAAGTATGTATTTTATATTAAATTATTATAAAATTACATTATAGTTATATAGTTACATTATAGTACTATATGTCATACTATAATAAAAATATAATATACACAATATGTAATATATGTTTTTTAAGCTTATTATCTATGGTAACTATTACTAGTTTCGCTGTACATATGCTCACTTTAAAGCAAACCTGATCTTACTCCATGTTAAATCTTACTTATAAAAATGCTGACCTCATAAAAATCTAATGTAAATCATTAATTCTTACCTAATTCTGTGCTGTTGACCATTTCACTGTATCTATGCAAATCAACTTGAGTATGAGCATCTAGTTTAAAAGCAGCATCAGTTTCATTCAGAGGTGTTAAGAAATCTAGACTAAATATGTCAGTATACATTAGCCCAGCAAGCCCAGCCCAATCTCCTGGACTTAAACCTTTAGTGTCCCAAAATTCTTCCTCACTTATAGAAAGACGTGCCAAAACGTGGTTGGGATAAAAGCGTTCCAACATCAGGGCACCTTGTTGGATTGCTATCTATGAAACAAAATTGAAGCAAAGTTACATTATTAGAATATTACATGTAGCACAACCTAAAAATTTTGTAGCTAAAATATCTGCACTAATTTTCAATTTACTAAATAATACATAAAATCTATTAAAATCTACTGTTCTTAAATTGTCTAGGCAAAAAATCCAAAAAAAAAAACATTTGAGGGCCACTTGGCACGTAGTATTAAACTACAGTAGTTCTTACCAAATTAAAAATAAGCTTAATGTAGAAATTACCTTTAATTCATTTGCATTCAATTTAATTTTATTCTTTACTGCAACGCTTAATCCAGTTTGAAGATCTCTTCTACGTTTTTCCAATTTCTCTTGTAATGAAGATATTAAATCTTGTGCCTCTTTTTCAAGACCTTTGTATGGTCCAAACTTGGCTAATTGTGCTGAAAAAGGTCCAAAACAAGCTTCTACAAATTGGCTAAAATCTTTTTGCGGTTGAAGAATCATCATCTCAGTGAATTGCTGATAAGCTAATAATTCATCCAATTCCATTTTAGCTTCAAAGGCAGCTAGAGCTTGCTCTGGTTTTATTTGGAAGTAATAGTCATTCGCCAGGCCCGGACCCGAAACTCTCTTTACAACAAAACTATCACAGGCAGGAATGCGGCCACGTTTTCGAATTATTAAATGAAATGCAATATGATCCCATAGTAATCGAAATCCATACCTGAACACAGCATCTATAAAGACAAAAATCATATAAGTACAATTTATGAAACAGAAGATTTTAAATATCCGCTTCAAATGGCGCTTCTACTTTAAATAGCTCACCTTATATATATATATATATATATATATATATATATATATATATATATAATGTAAATATATTTCAATCAGATTCAAAGCATGATGACTGTAATCGAAATAGTAAATATTCCTTGTTTGTGGTTGCTAGTCACGGTCTCTACTCTCATCAACCAGAACTAAATATGTTTAGAAAACAGAATATGAACGTAAGTAGCTGTTCTGAAAAGTTTCCGAAAATTTCTGATACAACAATGAGATTGAAGTCAAAATTGTCACTCGTAAATATGCAATATGGAGAACCATTTATCTGGTACTATTTTGTAAGTACAGTTCGACTTGGAATGGTAAAAAAAATATTCAATTCATATAGACCCAATAAAGATCCCATTGTTCTCAGTAATTCAGTTCAATAATAAGTATTTGATTAATGCAAATTTTATCAAAAACTACAAAGTATTAACTTTGAAAGATCACTTTAAATAGATGATTTTAACTACATATATAATTAAAAGATAAAATTCTGTTGATAACAATTAAACTTACATATTAGTACCAAAATTGCAGCTACTGGACATAAGACACCGGCAACGGTTAAAGCTATCATTGGTTGAACCACTCCTTGCAAAAATATATTCAAAAGTAAAGCTTCAACAAGAACAAAAAATCTGTAATACATTAGAGGTATACCAAAAATTATATGAATATAAATCATGATGTATTTATTTAATTGATTGAAATAATTACATACCTATTCCTATTGATATCCGGGCTGTCAAAATCGTAGATCAAAATCATAAACAGATGCAGTATGAGTGTAACACATGGGACCCAGATAAATGCAAGAGCAGCTCCAAATAAACTTACCAAGGTTATACAGAGGCAAGTTATTGGAAATAAAAATAACAAACATAAAGTACCTCCAAAACCCTTTATTACATAATTCCAAATTCTGTTAGTGTGCCTTGTTAATCCCTTTCCTATGAAACCTGTAACAAAAACGGGAGATTTTTAATTTTAAGTATTTTAATATTTCATAGTTAATAATAAATAAAAATAATTTAAAAAAATCCAAATTTACCTGTATCAGGTTGGGTCTCAAATTTTGTTCTCGATTTCGAAATATGTATCCATAGTTCAACTAATCGAGAACATAATGTTTGCGTCAAGCTACTTTTTCGCGGAAAAAGTGTTCCATTTATCTTAAAAAATAACAATAAAAAATATATTTGTAAAATATAGTACATATTATAATGGATGTTATTTTTTTTATTCAACATTGTACATCTTTAAAACTGGATACAACCAATAATTTAATAAGTGTTTTGATAAATAGTAAAAGTGATTACTTACTTGCGATAATTCCAAATCCGGCATAAAAGGGTTCAAAAAGAACAAAGCTCTCATACCTATTGGACTGCACCATGGTAAAATAGCACCTAATAGAAATATTGCATTACAAGTCCAGCTCCAGGTTCTTTGCAACCAATTATACCACCTCCAAAACGGCCAACGTGTTGTAGATGTTTTAACTACTTCTTTTTCAACCAGAAATACCTTTAAGAAAAATTAAATTAATGCCAAAGTAAGAAATATTTGTCTTTTCAAATTTCTTACTGGTTGGCTGGGATCGGAGCGAGGAGTGACTATACTGGTCGCTTGCTGACTTAAAACAGTTGGAATAACTTCAGAATGTCCTTGAAAAGCTCGCCGCACTATCCAGTTTCTAGAAAACCATATCCTTGTTGGCCAAGAAAAGCTTCTAGTTGGATTTTTAACTTTCCGTAATTCTTTAAGAAGAACTGGCTCTCTCTGAAAAAATATTTAGTAAATAAAATTTATTTGAAAAATCAGTTTCTTCAGAATATTCTTGACAAACTTATTTTTATCAAAATTTCAAATCAATATATGGTAAGTCAGAATGTTCTTCTACAATATAATTCTTTCATTTCTTTTAGTTTATTTTCGATGTCGTCATGGAAAAATATCGTCACTCATTTCATTTCAAAATCGTGTCCACCAGAGTTACTTATTCATTTGTTACATTGCCCATTTTATCTTCTCTATTCTCCTAAAGCACATTGCAAAATGGATTTTTTCTCAATTTTCCTTATAGTACAAGTTTTTAATCCGCCAGAGCATAACATTTTGTTTGTTTTTTCCGCAAGTGAAAACTCAAATTCGCGAAGGCCGCTTGCTATTGTGGCCCTGAACCCCTCGTGCTCTCTCCTTAGTTAGCATGCTTCTCAAAGATCTTGAATTCCTTCTTGTTGAAATAGCCTATAATCAGCATGTTTACCATGCTCTCACAGTCTAGAACCAACATTTTGTAGATTTGCCCCGCCTCCTCCTAGTTGCGCCACCAGAATGAACGGTTTTAATTTCACCGTCACCAAATGATCATTCAACATGTTTTTTACTATGACCTGCCACACCTCTTTCAGTTTTGTTTTCCCTAGATTTCGTGATTTATTATGAAGAGTAAAATGTAATCCATAGCTTAGTTCTATCTATATATACTTTTCACAAATTCATTTCACTTTTGGGTTTGGCTTTTCAGAGAGCCGGCAGAATACCACTGGACTCATGTCGAACGTCTTTTCTTTGTACAACAAATAGCTAGGAACAGCGAAATCAGATAACACTGTTCATCGCAGAACAGATATTACGTAGTATATCTTTCTTCACTAAAAAAACGAAACACTAAAAATTACTTAATACAAGTTATAAAAATTGAAAAAGGTTCCACCTTATAAAAAAAACAGTTACAATATATGCCAGGCATATTTAAAGTAACTAATTTTAATACGTGGTACGCACATCTTATTGTTAGATAACGATATAAAACTTCAAATTTTTGCCTTTTATTTTATTTTTGAATCCAAAAAGCAATTATTCAAATATAACCATAAACAGAAACATAGAAACGGTAAGAAATACAACAATTTAATACACAAGCATTTATTACCTCTTACCTCTTTCATAAACGTTAAATCCCTGTTCAGAAAATACGTAGTTTGCTCCAAGCCCCTTTGTTCTTGACACATTCTCAAGGCTTCTTCATGAGCACTCCAAGCTTTTTCAGTGGTAAATTGTTGTTCACAGTTCGCTAAACGAGCAATTAACCAAGGTCTTACTCTGGATAAAATTGGATGTTCATCTTTGAGGTTGCGTTCGAGATTCGTTTTCGATAGCATGAGTTGACGCTGCACACTTTCCACCGCTCTTTAGAATAATACAGAAAAAAAGTAAATTTAGTTTTTGTTACATTGTTATGTATTACAATAATAATTCAACAACTTTATGAATTACAATTTATGTATAATACTCGCACATTAATTTCTTAAATCGAAATTCATAACTTGAACAAGCTTTTATTTTGTTTTTAGCGTTTGTAGTGTTTTATATATTAAAAATAGTTATTTATTTACACATATTGATTAGTTCTTTAAGAGTCCGACGGATTCATATAATAACCTGCAGGTGGTTTTCACCCAAATATTGTGTTATAGAATTTACCTGTGCATTAGAACAACGCTTTGTGCCTGCTGCACTAACAACTGTGGTATACCGTCACCGAGAGCTTGAAGTTCTGGATGCGCCAATATGCAGGAATAGACACGCTGCAAATACTCTAGCATGACAGCTTCATTCACTTCCTACACCGATTTTATAATATTTTACACAAATATATTAAGATAATAACATATAAAACAAAATATAACAATAAATACCCTTTCAATGTCAACATCTGATTTCTTTTGGGCTCGCAATTCTGAAATCAATCTTTCACGAAAATGCAGAAACCAACCTCTAGTTTCGCGTTCTAATATTCCTATCAGTACCGGAACTGCTCGTTTCATAATGTCGCGACTAAATAACCTTAAATCTACTTCTTGACCTTTAAAGGTATAAACATGAATATTGTATTGTATAAAATCAAAGTTTTATATTAAAAATTAATTTGTTTACCATTGGGGGTTAAATACAAATATGGCACAGAAACGGGAGCGTGCGAAGATTCACGTTCTACTTCAAACTTTTCAGTGGCGGCACGACGAAGTTGTCTTCTTATAAAACTACAAAGGCGCTCCAATGTTCCTTCAAATTCGGACTGCAATTGAATAATTATCCAATTACCAAGCGTTCGATCATAAAATAATGAGTTCACTTAATTTTATTGAATGATAATAAATGAAAACTAGTACATTCGGTACTGATTTAAAATCAATCTACCAACAACTCGGTGTCTCATTCTGACAAAAACGCACCTGCCGTAAACATGATATTATTGTGTATGTTATGCAATTTGTTTGATATGACTTTCTGTGTATATTGAAGAACATACATTTACAATAAAATGCTAATTTATTTTCAGCAGTATGTTGAAGTTTGAAGCAATTTCCAAAACACATAGCGCGTTGATTCCATTGTCGTTATCATTAAAATAATATCATAGAAAAGTGTAATAAGCATATAGTGTTTTTTATATGTCTCTGTATTTTTTGTGAAAATTTTGCTTTGATAAAAAAGGTAAACATTTTTTTTTGAAATAACTAAAAGTAAATATTGAAAAGAGAACACTGTTTTATCATGTAATAAGTTTATTCTAAGAACGAATTTAATTTTTGAAATTTTATGGCGGGCCGCACTTATAAATAATAATTAACAAAGCTTGATATATACTGATAAGCATCAAAAAACAAAAATACTTAATTAAAGAAGAGTAAGTATTACATAAATTAAAGCAACAAAAAAAGAATATATTATAATTAATATATTGATGAAAAAATGTTCACGAAATAAATAAAATTCTACTTAAAAATGCTTGACGAGCCGCAGAAAAATATTTAAAGATCGACGCTTTAATACGAATCATTGTGTATACAAATTACCGAGGAGACAGACGAGCGCATAGACAGAATTACGTTGTTCTTTCAAGGAAACATCCGAGTGGAAAGGGTTAATTACTTATTTCTAATAAATATTAACTTCTCACAAGTATATAATCTTCTCAAAATCATTTCAAAATTATTTTGACACCCTTATTTAAAGCACATACCCGACAAATTAATTCCGCTACGAGATAACGGCATCTTTCTTCTCGAATTTTAGCTTCAAGGTTATGAGCTTGAAGCGATGGCACTCCTAAAAATACAAAATATTAGTTTATAATTGAATCTACAATTTTGTAAAAATTATTTTTCTTATAAAGTAGATTTTAACTGCAAATTATATTCTACAGACCCGAATAAAAACTTTAGGAAGTTGTTTGACATTTGAGAGTATTCCAGTGCCCGTAAAGGAAATATAAACCTAGTCCACACCTGAAACATGCATGCATTTTGCTAAAAAAATATCTAGAAAAGAAAAGATATGTAGCTTTGCTACTGTGCCAACAGCAGTAACTTAACGATTTTTGAAAAAAAACACATCTGAATCACTTTATATTCTATATCGTTGCTGTTTTAGAAACACGTGTTTAATCATTTAATTTAAATACTGATCTCTAAGTAAACATAATAAAATCATAAAACATATATATATATATATATATATATATATATATATATATATATGTGCGATGCATGCAAAAAATGCGGGCGCAAGCCTTAGGGGGCGCCAAAACGAGTTTCGGAAATTAAATTTATAATATAATATTTATATTTTTTTATATAAAATCTAGAATTATTTATTTAAAATCTAGAATAGTTAATAAATTATAATAAATAATTTAACTTGACTAGTGATACGGAGACACAAAATGCATATTTATTTTGCAATGTGATATCAGTAGAAACAATTAACAATTAACAATTAGCTCTGTTTATTGCTTAATCAACTTATTCAATTTTTTCTTTGTTTGAAGTTACCGTGGAATCGAAAAAGAAAATATCTAGTGTTCAATCCCATAAGCGCAAACCTGCGAAAGATTAAATTTATTATTGGGCATTATTGATGAAAAATTGCAAGCTGATTTAGTTGAATCGGAGCTTGTTAAAAAATATAAGCAAATTATAAAAAATGGGGAGTCAGTGCTTAGAAAATGACTTGTTTATTCCGAGAAATTGAATTGTAACTTTTGCTTTTATTGCAAATGTTTCGTATCTGTTGAACTTTGAATGTTGAAGACATGTGTGGAACAAATATGAAAAATGGAAGCAAAATTAACTTTGGAACGAAAATCTTAAGGCTTGTTTTATACCTAGTGGTGTCCATACTCTAAATTTAATAATTATAAACTATACAGAAATAATACATATCAAATATAATAAGTTGTTCAAGAAATGTGTAATTTCTTTGCATTTTTTACTGATTTTTGAACATTACTTATAAAATACGTTTAAAATTTAAGTTTAAAACAACAAGCAGATACTCTGAATATGACGGGTCTTACGATATCAATAAGGAAAAGATTACGATGCAATTTTGGATATTGTAAATGATGAAAAATTAAATTAAATTAAAATTTATAAAATCCAACATAAAATACGAGTGTTATGTTTGAAAATTCAATGCTAGTTTTTTTAAATATTAATATTGCACATACGTTAAAAATAATTAAAAATTTCAAAATACTTGATTATAATCAACCCCCGAATCGCCTCGATTTTCTAAATAAATTTAAAATCAATATATTTTATATTCTTCTAGATTATATCTAATTTTTTGTGTACTAAATCCAGAATAATTAAAACTTAATTTTTAAAAAATATGTAAATATTTATATAATTTTAATGATAAACTGTTAAAACGGTGAAAATTAATAGGGGGAGGGGGGGGCGCTAGAAAAGAACTTGCATGCGGGCGCTAAGGACCCCAGGACCGGCCCTGTATATATAAATATATGTTATTAATTCATCGAACTGTTCAATATGAAAAATGAATCGGCCGATCCATTACCCAGGCTAATGCCCATACCGATAACTATTGTTTTTTTGTATCTACTTAAAATTTATTTAGAGCACGCAAGAAAATATACTTTATGCTAATAATTACACGATCTTACCGATCCGTGTAATAAGATCGAGTAATCATTAGTAACATGTATATTTTCTTGTGTGTTCTTAACTAATTTTAGGTAAATTACAAAAAGATAAATTAAGTAGATATCAGTATGGGCATTAGTCTGGGTAATGGATAGGCCGATACATTTTTTATAGTTAACATATGGAAGCATGTTATAAAATTTCACCAAATAGTTTTAAATTTTGAAATTCAACGACAGGAGCCTGAAATAATATTTATTATTATTGATTACGGCTTGCTTATGAATAAAGAAATAAATAAATCGGTGAAGCGGCATGCACGTACTTTTCGAATTTTTGGATCGAACTGTTTAGAATAAGAATTTTAGATAGAAAGTTAAATGTTTCTTCTTCGGGATGTTAATTGTGATACCACCTATTAGAAGTGATACTAAAAGTTATCGCTTAAGTAGCTGCATAATGGAATATATTTCCAAAAATTAATTAAATGGTTATTCTATTACCGTTTCATTTAAAATAAAAATATATTTAAAACAATAGAAAAACCTCCTACCAAAAATTAGGTCTAACAGCTTCAGAAGACCACGGCCCATGGCTTTCAAGGCTTCTTTGATTGAGAAAAAACTACCCCAAATTCTCTCTCTGGCAGTTATTACCAACAATCTTGCAGCAAGAGCCAAATCCGAATCTAAAGTTTCGCGAGCCCTCGCCGCGCCCCCTTGTAGTAATGGTGAAAGACGCCATTTGTGCTTCTGATCCGGGAAATTAAGGGATGGTACCTCAAATTCTCTGCAGGATATAATATTATTATTTAAATACATATAAGTAAAATAAATATGATTACTAAATAAACGCCAATAAAAATGTTTAAAACACAAATTATTTTAAATTCATTAAAAATCATATCAGTGAAAACAATCAGTAGAAGGAAGGAAGTTCATCAATAAGAAATAACAATATAACAAAAACTGGAAGTAAATAAAACAATTAAAATAAAAGTAAATAAAAAATAAAATTGAATTCGCAAAAAATTAGAAAACTGTTGAGTGTGTTACTAAAACGTAGTATATTAGCGATTTTTAACTAGTACAATTCAAGTTTTGATCAAAAGAAACAAGCAAGATGTAACAAGTACATAATTAATAAAATTGTGGTTATTGTATAATGTTCCAATCAAAGCGAGCATTAATACAGCAATTTATATTATTTCAGTGCTTTTATTTAACTTTTAAGCATTCAATCAAAATTAGCAAAGAAATCGCTCCAAATGGTGCAGCAAACAACAATCAAGATTAAAAATCACTTTTTGATACGCTTATTATGTATATTATAAAATAATAAAACACACTTTAATTGTTTTCGAATTATTCATGTCATCCTTCTGTAAATTAGCCTATGTAAGACAAAATATCCTATAAGAAAGACTATTAAAAATCCTAATAATGCAATTATTACCCATAAATGAATTGCTATCCAAATAAGATTATTCGATTGTTGATACTTTTACTTGAAAAATATGCAATACAAGTATGTTTGTAGACAACTGAACAAGCAAAGCAAATAAGTAAAAAAAGTTCCCACTAAAAATAATTTAGCATAGAAGCAAAAATGATACTAGTGCAAACATAATATTTTAAGTCCGATATGTGGTATTCTTTTCAAGAAAGGTATAAAACACTTCACACTATAAATAATAAAATGTAACATACATAAATAACACATTTAACCCAATTAAAATATAGTTCATTAATAATGGATTATTATTTAAACAAATCACAGCCATAAATTCTTCTACATAATATTTTCAAAGGTGCATAAGAAGCTTAATAAATAAATAAAAACATAACTGCAATTGTGCAGAAAAATTTCTGCCGTGAATCTGATGGTTAAAAATATTATGTAAAAGATTTATATAACATTTTCAAAGTAAATTCAAGTCCAATAAAATTTACCCCCATTGTCGGATATTTTCCAATTGAGCCTCATTTAATTTCTTCGGTTTTCCGAGTTTATCCTTATGCAAGCTTTACAGAAAGAAATAAAATTTTTAACACAGCTTTTATTATCGTCGATTATTTTATAACGCAATCGAGACATAATACTCTATCAATTACACAGATACTTTATGTTATAGAAGCAGAATAATTTAATTCAAGAATAACCACAGATATTCTATGAATCATATCTATATACAAATTTTTATAGGACAACTTTCAAAATGCAAACTGTTTTTTTTTAGAATATTTAATTAATGAAATTAATGATAAAATCAAGATCTTCAATTAGGAAAATCATCTCATGTAACATATTTGTGAAACATGCAAAATATATATTAAATTCATTTCCAGCAATTTAACTTATACTGTGCTTTCGTTCAATAAACCAGTATATATTGTAATTTACGTATATTTTATGAAAATAAATTTATATATAAGTGACAAATAAAAAACAATAAATTCTTCCGTAATACGAGAAAAATCAATAAAACTTTAGCAGATAACAGCAACTGTAAATTTATTTCTGTGAAGAGGTATTTATACAAAAACCTTATTCTTTTCTATTACATTTTATTGATACTACATGTATTCTAAATTAACATTTTATAAAATACGAATATAATATAAGTTAATAATAATTAAATGAACTGTTTTAAATATTTAATAATATATATAAATATTTCAATTATTAACAATATATAATGACTAAATAAATACCCCTAACTAGCTCAAATAAAAATAGTTTGAATTTGCTCTGCACCCAATTATTTCATTCATGGCAGTTAGCAGTGTACGTCAAATTTTGCTTATCAATATACTGTTTATTTCATAATTAATGAACAAAACCAGTTTTCCTTTCGAATCACAAAGTTTCAAGCACTTTTTTTTTATTTTTTTGCATAATTGGGCGTCTATTAATCACGTGAGGCTTTTAGGGAAAGGCGGGTTTAACAAATACACAAAATATCACTTTGGGGGGTAGGGAGGGGTCTAGCAATGATTTTTTCGTGAATTCGAAATGCAGAACTAAAAATACACGTGATGTTTGGTGGGGAAGGAGAGATAATTTTAAATATCACAACCTATCATCAAGAGGGTGGTCCCAAAATCCCTAAAAAAATCGATCACGTTATTAATGGACGCCCCTAAGCTTAAGATTTTGTGAGGTGACCCTGTCGTCTAGTATATTATCATTTTTGTACTTTCCATGCTACGATGTAGTATTTAAATATAATGTATCCTAAAAATAATGGCAAATAAGAACAATTTAAATATGTACACTTGCTACTACAATTAATTTGTTATTATTAAATATAATTGCACATAAAGCAGAAAAGGCAAATTATTAATATGTTATAAAGAAAATATGATGCAAAGACAGATTCGTGCTGAAAGTTTTTGTATTTTTTGTTATATATATATATATATATATAATATATATACATATATTATATATATATATACATATATACATATATATATATATATATATATATATATATATATATATAATGTGTGTGTGAGAATGTGTGTGTGCGGTGGTGTATATGACGATTTAAAGCTTTTAATATCTCTTTGAATTACCAACACATTAAGACTGGTACATTAAATATTATCATGAGATTAATATGAATCATTTTGCAATATTAATTAAATGCTGCTGGTTAATTATCTCAACTAAAATATTAACCCAAACAAGATAAAATAAATCTATTTCTCAATTTTGAATTATTAATATAAAATATTATTTCTGAGTATATCAACTATCAATACAATTGAATTATAAGTGAAACACTCACCCCCTTTCCTTGATAGCCTGAAGCTGAGTCTTGTTTAAGAACCTTGGCTCACCTTTGCCATCAGATGCCACTGCGTCCAATTCATCGAAAGGCGGAGTCACAAACAAGTCCCTAAGATGTAAGGCCCTTACCCTGCGGCCAACTGATCTTTCTTCCGACTCACTGATAGGAGCTCGAGTTGATAAGGGCGTTGGTAGAACTGAGAATTCATGGTGATATAAGAGGTGTAAGATTATGATTGCAAAACAAAATCGACGAAAAAACGAAACTGGGTGTATTGTGTTGAATGATGTGTTAATTTAACTAGCATTATTATATTTTCTTAAAGAAATTGGGCGGTTGTTATCAATAATACACTTACCAAAGGAGATCATTGAAAGTAGCATTGAAAAAAATTGAGCCGAATTAAATGGAATCTTACGGACGCTTCGACGTCGTAATATTAAATTAGCGATTGTATTGAGAAATAGCATATTCAAATTATGATTGTTATAAATCGTAATGTGATGTTATCATCATGTTGAATAGGCTGCGATATTCTGGGCTGACATACCGTTAAGTCGTTTTGTATTAACTTCCCGAAGAAGAAGTTTATGTTTTCATCAAAAAATCAATGTTTTCTCGACGTTTCAAGCCATTTTGAATCGAATGAGACCAAATTTGGAAAAAGTATGTGTGTGTATGTGAACAGATTTTTTGCCGTAAATCGACATTTTCTCAAAAAACGGCTGGACCGATTTCAAAAATTTGAAAGCCATTCGATGTATCTCGATGAGGACTAATGTTCATCAATTTCGCGACGATCGGCCAAGCTGTTTCTTTATAAAATCGCAGAGAAAAGTGAAAAAATTTTCGTCCACGTTTTAGCCCGCAATTCTGAATCGATTTCGAAACGATTTAAAAACCGTTCGAAAGATATTGGTTGAGAATCGTGCTGATTAGTTTTTGATAGAGATTGGCCGTGGCGTTTTCTTGTAATAAAGTATTAAAAAAAAATTCGACGATTTTTTTAATTTTTTATGGTAGATTAGCCTTACGATAATTCATTTAACTTTAAAAATTCGGCAAAGTTTGCAAAAATTAGTATCGTTTTTTTGGCCTTTGTCAAAATTAGACCTTTCGTCGACGTTTGCTTAAAAATGCCTGAACCGATTTGGTCCGAGCCATTTCTTTGTAATTTGGAAAAAAAAGTGTTAAACTTTTCGTTTAACCCTCCGTCGGTCGGAGTGGTCTCGCCAGACTTTTTTCGATTTCAATTTAAAAAAAAATACTTCTAGTAATCCTATCGACTTGAAATTTCTTGACTTTTCCTAAAATTTCATTAGCTGTCGATCAATGAAACAGTCGGGACGAAAAAATGTACAGAAGGATAATTATAAGGATATTAACTTTTTTATACTTCGAATGGTCGAAGTGGTCTGTCTAGACCACCCATACATTTTGTATGAAATATACGCTTTTTGATATACGTCTGTTCAAAAAGTACCCGGAATTTTCGTTTTTTCAAAAAAATATTTATTTATTCGTCTACATTAATGTGGTCCCCTTCAAAGTAGTCCCCCCCAGATATAATACACTTATGCCAGCGTTTTTTCCAATTTTCGAAGCACCCTTGATATTCACTTTTTGATATGTCCTTGAGCACTCTCAGCGATTTTCTTCAATCGAGGAAAACCGCCGTCCTTTCATGGGTCTCTTCAACTTTGGGAATAGGAAAAAGTCACACGGAGCCATATCTGGTGAATTTTTGCACTTTGCAACACTTAATTTCATTTTTTACGCAAATTTATACAAATTCTTTGACTTTTCAATTCTTCCATTGTAAAATCGCCGAGCTCAGAAAAACACGTCGAACCTTAGCGACTACCACAGACAAAGTAAACAGTGAATATAGCTGAAAATTCATCATACTTTAGGGGCATGTATACCAACACAATAAAAAAAAAAATTTGACAATCAGACACTCCAGACCCGCGAAATTTAATTATTAGTAATTCCGGGTACTTTTTGAACACACCTCGTATGTAAACCAGTATTTTGTCTTTTTTCTGGTATTTTCTATTCAAGTTACGTTTTGTATTTTCTTTGCTATGTGTTGTAACATGAATGTTAGTATTTTCACAATGAGAGTGTTGGAAAACCTACAAAACTTATTGGTCATCGCAAACATTGAACATCGGATGAGTAGGGGTAGGGCGGGGCTAGTTGAGCAACCTTTTACTTAAACGGATGTAGCTCCTCAATGAAAAGTCTCAATAAATTCTGTACGGCTTAATGGATTTATTGTTTATCGCTTAACAAAAGTGTTAATACTAATTTTTGTGTAACAAGTAAAATTTAAAAGCTACAGCTGTTTAAATGCAAAAAGTCAAGTATGCTCAATGTACCCCATAGGTGGGGCAAGTTGAGCACTAAGAAATTATAATGAAATCATAAGTTCAATGTCGATTAGTGATGAAATAAAATAAGTTTTAATAACCAGTTCTATATTTATAGTCTTTATTGACAGAGAAAACAAAATTTTAGTAATTTTCTTTGAATAATTAACCAAAAGTAGAATCAACAAAACAATATCGTATCTTAGGAATTATTTTACCATTATATTCAGTATTTGCTTAAAATCATTATTTCTTTATATTATTACTCATAGACTTAGCTTAAATCTTAAAAAAATAATTAATTTCTGGAAGTTAATGGTAATTGTCTTAGTGACAGAACAAGTTTAGCAACTATGCTCAACTGACCCCAACTCGGAATTTCAAAATAAAAGTGAGTTTATAAAAAAAACGTGAGAATTATACCCAGAATCTCTGTGCATATTAAAAGTACTATAATTATATGGAAGAATAACATTTACCTGATTAAAAATAAATAACATTTGACTAAATCAAACGAAAACTCGTGATGAATGACTTTTTTACTTTCTGGTCTCAAAATAAAACAAAACGCCCGTGAGCCTCACTCATTTGTCCAGCGGCCACTAGCGATCGCGGGATGTTTTTCTCCCCAAACCTCTTTCTTTCCGCCATATAATGCTTAAATGGACGGTGAATAGTTTTCGAGATATTTCGATTGCTCAACTTGCCCCTATGCTCAACTAGCCCCGCCCTACCCTAGTGCGCACATTATCATAAATTTTTCTACCCGTACTGCGTTTGAAATTTTGAACTTGAATTTTATAGCTCATTTCAAAGGCGACGCACCTCATTTCGTTTTCATTTGAATTTCACATTCATTTCGAAAAGAGCCGAAAAAGAATAAATATTGTTTTTCATTGATATACAACAGAAAAATTACAAAAAGAAGCAACGATTTTTTTAATATAATATAATATATAATTTTTATTATAAATATTCACTACTAATAATCGTTAATATAGAAGACACCAAAAACTCATTACCCCATAAAAGAGCATGTAAAATGAATGGTGGTCCAGCCACACCACTCCGACCGTTCGAAGGTGAATAAATATCCGACCGGCGGAGGGTTAACATCATAATAATTTTACATAATATGCTCTCCTCCTGGCTTTATAGCTACATTAGACTACCTTTGATATTATTTGTACCTACTTAAAAAAATATTTATATTCGCTACTCACTTATTGGAAATGTCTTCCAGTGGTAGAGAAACTGCTCGGCAACTACCCTGATATTATTAACCAACTCCTCTACGTCAGGCGGCGCTCCGACTAAATTTATAGCAAAAGCCACAGGTTCCCGTTCAGGTTTCGCAGTTCAGTTCTGGCATCCACTGGCGCAACAACAACAGTTAGAGTTATTTAGGTGCTAATTTAACTAGTTTAAATGACAATTCATTTTGGAGAAATTTTTCAGAATACATTTTATAGTAAATTTACCAGAGTTTTGCAGAAAAGAAGAAAACAATTCGCCACAAAGGATCCTTTATTAAAAATAATGTATTATTTTGCAATTATTTAAAATATTTTTATGAAACAGATAATTAAGCTAATAATTATAAAACTCACTTATAACTCATTCAGATATCAAAAAAACATTTCTTTTTCATTTCTCAGAATTAAATTGTAAATTAAAGAATAATGACAATTCTTCCAAAACTATCTCTTTAATTGGGATAGGGTCCTCAGTATTTATTACCCCGCTTAACGTTGTTTCATTTTAGAACTATTATTTCAAAATATTCTTACAAATATGAAGAGGAATTATAGACCCATTAATTAAAAATTGTAAACTTTTTGACAGAAAATAGATGTTATAGATGCTTTATCCACTTAACAATCGCAGAAAAAAATGATTGGTTTTAGATTATCATTTGTTTCCCCCGCTACATATATATATATATATATATATATATATATATATATATTATATATATATGTATGTATGCAGTATGTATATAATGACATCAATAATTATTAAAAAGAAAAATATATATATATATATCAACAAATATTTATTTTGCACATTTAGAACCATAAATATTTGACAAAATACATCAGCTTACAAACTAATATAATACATATAATACGAATCATATAGGAAATAAAAAGCAAATAAACAGAGAAGCAAGCTATCAGAAATTATAATGTGAAGAGCTTAAATAAGCATGATTAACAAATATAAACTCGAACCCAAATTACAAAGTAAGTAAGTCATCTGTCAATGAATATATGAAAATTTAAGTAGATTTAATTCAATAAGACAAAACAAGAAATATTCGAGAAGTAAAATATACAAAAGTAAGAGGATAGGAGAAATATGATGCTCGTCTAAACATGCCAGATGCTCAATGGTGCTCCATTATTATTTTGTATTATTATTATCAACAAAAAAGTTATTTCCTTTTATTAACCATAAGCAGATGTTTTGAAATATGTACATGTAACAAGTGGAGGAGATAGAAATTCATGACATGAGCTGATATTAAGAATGCAGTCTGTAATATCCTAATGTGTGAGTTAAATTTAGAAAAAATACCAAATATCTGAAAAAATAAAAAATGTATAAGAATATAACACACTTGACAAAAAAACTAAGTATACAACAAATTAGGCCTATAATAAAATAGTGTAAGTCAATAATCATTATTTATAATAAAAACTCTTGTTTTATTAAAAAAAAAAACATAAATATTATCTAAAACATCAACAATAATTCCAGTAATATGAATTGTTGTTTCCCGTTTTCTTTTTGGTATTACACTAAATTAGCAATTATTAAGCATAATAAGGAATCCTAGGCCTTACATTGATACACAAAATTAAATACTTACAATGAATTATGAATAGCATGTTACTTTTACACTAAACTTTTAAATAAACACTAAACTAGATCACTAAACTATTTGTGACACTTAACACACGAAAAAAACTTATTACACCCATGTACAAATTATGAGAAACGACATCATAATAAAACCCGATCATTCTAATTTACGCTTTCCGATCATCTATTATTGTTTATAGTAATACTAAAGTAGAACACAGTAATACCAAATGTACGCTTTGGACAATTTATTGAATTTTGACAGAACGAACGTTTCAACCAGGGGGTATTCACTTTAGTTTAATATATCATGACATATCCTTAAATTTAGGGACAGCCGAAGGTGTACCATCTTGGCCGACGTTATCCCTTCTGTCAATTGGCAACGGTTGTGATCCAAGATAAAAGCTACTTATTATTGTTCGTCACCTTCGCTTCCCCACATTTACTTCTGGTGAGTATACGCATTATGGGATGGCGCTCCATGCATTTTTTTGAACAATTAACGTTACGCTGAAATAAAAATTGCATCCGGTCAGTAAATTGTAACCGATAATAAATATTAAACGCGAATTGAGATTTTTTTCCCAGTCAAAGTGTCAAAATAACTAGTGGTGTATGGCATCGTGCCTTAAAGCAAATTGCTGGAACTTTCCGTACCAAAAGTTTTTTTTTTTTAAAAAAAAAAAGATTAATTTTTTTTATTCTGAAAAAATTTGATTTCTGAGAAATTTTAAATTTTTGAAAAAAATTTACTATTTTGAAATATTTTAGAAATTTTGAACTTTTTCCAAAGCAATCGCACTTTAGCTGAATAAAGACGAAATACCGAAGCGCCGCGTCGCCGTCTAACGGATAAACGATGTTACGGAACCATAGAAATGTAAACAAAATTTATACACATTATTAAAATCTCTATAAAATATCTGATATTTTGATGCGTATATGTCTGCGTATTTTTGACCGCCAAATGGCATTTTTTTTTACTTTGTTTACTAGATCTCCGAAACCGCTAGACCTGCCTTCCCAAAATTTAATCAGTTTCTTCACGTTGTCAGTACAAGAAAAATCTTCCGTTCTCTTAAAAACTGAGGTACCGTTTTTGGCACTTTTTGCCGCGCATCTTCGGAACCGCTAAATTTGCCTTTGCCAAAAACTAATCAACACGTTTCCTTATCAATACGAATCGAATGTTTTTTGAATTAATCAAATCGTTTGATCGGTGTTCCCGAAATCGTCGACAAAATTTGTATCCGCATACACACACACGCACACACATACATCCATTTTTTCTAAAGTATTCCAAAATATTCAGAAGGTTTTGAAACGTAAAGGTATATAAAAATTTTCATTTTCGATTTTTTTCGATTACTGTAACTTACACCTACTGGAAGTTGAAAAGATGATAATTTCCTGGACTTGTTCCATTCAGCAAGTTCATACCATGTGGATACAAAAAAATAAACATTGTCGAAAAGTACAAGAACGACACAAAGATTTTTGTGAAACATCTGACAATGACAATGATAATTTTATATGTTTTAGTCTATATTTTAACTTTCTTTCAAATTTCGTTCATTATTTTTAAAGCAATAAAATTAGTACTTACCAGTTTATAATTTTGTAAGGACAACACAAAATGTTAACTTATTTTAGTATATTAGTACGAAATAATTATATACAACATTTCTAATAATAAACACTCTTATAAAATAAAACTAGGAACAAATGCATTTCGTATAAACTTATTTGAAATCTTTAAATTATTACTGCTGGCTCAAAGCAACATTCAGGCTGTTCAATATAGTTTTTGCCGTTAAACACGATCTAAACTCAAAATTGAGTGTCTAATGGCAAAAATTGGAAGAAATTTAAAAAAACGACAAATATTCTGATCTAGTAATTTTTCTGCATAATAATTAAAATCTAAGTTGTTTTCTGGCCTTTTTCACCTTCGATGACTATTGAGTTTCATTACTGATCTAATACATTTTTTTGTATAATTCAGCAGTAATTTGCATATTAATATACAAAATAATAATATATTAATATATCATTTAAATTCTTAATAGTCATTTAGGTAAAAGGGTTAGGAACCGACAAAAATTAGGATTTTAAGTATCATGCAGAAGAATTACTAGATCGGAGATTTGTCATTCTTTAATGTTTGTTCAATTTTTTTGCATCCAAATCTATAAAGTTGAAACATATTTTTCATTGGTAGTATGTAATTATCATTTTACATACTGTCATTTCTTACAGAATAGATGCATTTCTGCAGTTTTATTGGTATTTCTTCATTTCGTCATGATTTTTTATAACTCATATAACACTAATCATTTAAGCACAACTGAACCCAAATGTCATTTGTGATTTTTCTGTATGAATTTTCAATCCAACACGTTTCAAAAGAGCGAACCCAAATGTCATTTGTGATTTTTCTGTATGAATTTTCAATTTAACACGTTTCAAAAGAGCGACTATTACATGACAAGAGCACAAAATATAAACACAGTTATCTTCGTCTGTTCGGAGAATACCTGCCATTGTAGTTTGATATATTTTTTAGCAAAATAATTCAAACAAAATTTATTTTTTATAGAGAATAATTACAAAATAAATAAAAGCAACAACCAGATACACATATGCTTTGAAGACAGACAGCATTCAATCAATTTTGTTTGATAATAGACACTATTTAAATATAAGAATTATTTTATAAGGTAGACGTTAGTATTTCACTGTCAATATTTAGATTATATTTAATTGTAGTTTTAATTTATTTCTGTTTAAGTATAAAAATCTATAGATTAAAACTTACGATAATTTATATAATTTTTAATTGACTATTTGTATAATAGACAATACAAAGTATCAAATATATATGATAATATTAATTAGCATGATCTATAGTGCTCAGATCTTTTCTTAATGGTATCAAATTGAGTGTTTATTACCACTAGAAGATCATTTATTTTTATTTTATAATGTTCCATCATACTAGTATTATTCATGTTTGCAGCATCCATGTCTAAAATAAAAATCATTATAAGTTGTAATCAAAATATGCTATATAAAAATTATTATAATTGTAATCAAAATAGTAAATAGAGTAAAAAATAGTATATAAAGTATTGGTCATATAAAAATGCTAAATATAAATACACATAATACAATACTAAATTTAACCAGGGTAATAAAACTACATATTTGTTTTTAATTGAATATTTCAAGACGAAACTATTATAATTGACATTCATTATAAAGAAAGGTTTCTGCACTTGTTTGTTTATGGTTTTATATCTTATTTAGTAAAGATACTTACTTTGTAAAGATTGCAAATGGTTTTTAGTTGCAATTGTAAGATTATCAGCTCTCTGTAATAAATTATTTGCTTTTTTCTGTGTTTCAGATGATTCCTTCTGTTTTTTTCTTAACAACTCTTCAGCATCTTGGTGCTTATTTCTTAGCTAGAATTTTTAAGGAGTCATATATATATATTATATATATATATATATATATATATATATATATAAATATTTATATGCAAACATATTGTTCATCAAATTGTATGACATTCTCTGATGAACATCAACAACTCACTTAACATACAAAATATAAGCACATAATCATGCATAATTAACCCTTACAAGAATAAAATTTGCACAACAGAATCCCAATTCAAATGGATCATAATTTTTTTCTAAAAAGATAAGATAATTTATAGCAAAAAATTTATACCTAACATCTTAAAATAGACAAAAAACATTGCAGGTTAACATTTTGTAATTAGAAGAAAAAACACTACCAGATCGAAAAAAAAAAAATTGTGACAAATAAAAATTTCTAAAGGGTATGGGCGTGTTTCCATACAGAATTGGCCCCACTTTGGTATTTAAATAATTTTGATGCCATTCTATAGGTATTTTTGAGAAAATTCGAAATACCAAATTTCAAATCCGTAGCTCATCATTTGGACGAGATATCAGTGAAAACATGTGAAAGTGGCCCCTTTTTTCAAACTCACTTTTTGTCGGAAATATGAGAGATATCGAAAAACTGTTAACGTCATTTTATTAATACTGATCTTGTCTATGTTGTTAATAACAAATAATGTGAAAAAATTATTTGTTAGTGCGTGAAAAGGTGAAAATGATTTTTCATTTTCCATTTTCTACCAGTGCGGCTTGTTTGACTACTTTTATATTAGCATCATTCGAAAGCCTGTACATTTTTCTTCTATTATTCAAAAATTCATTTAAATCTAAGTGGAACTTTGGGAGAAAAGTTGGAAAAACTTAAGCTAGTACGCGCGGTACAAGAACACCCATATAAAGTCGCTTTGCAAGAGCGACGAGCAAGCATAAGGCTCGACGTTTTCGCGCGTCTATAAAATGGCATCAAAATTATTTAAATACCAGGGTATTTAAAACTTTCAAACAATTTATATTCAATAAAATAAAATCATTTATGAATAAACAATACCAAACGTCTTAAGAAAAACAGGCAAATTATGAGATTGAAAAAATAGAAATTGTAATATAAAATAAATTTGATAAATGTGCGATAAAATATAATAACAACAAACCTCTTCGGCATCCTCTTTTGCTTTTTCGGCTATGGTTAGAACTTTCTTAGCGCCATCCCTCAAAGTTTTAGTTTCTTTGTCATTTTTAGAAAAATTTTGCTGAAGCAAAGCAAGTTGGCTTTTCAGTAATAGTACACGATTCGATGTATCATTAGCACTACGCTGCGCTGATATCGATTTTTGAGCAATCTAAAAAATATAAACGGTTCAATATAAAGCACATGTAAGTGATTTAAATGGCACTGCGGTATGCAATAAAAATGGAAAAAACTCTCACACTACTTCTTCCCTGAATCGAGTTTGAGTTTAACTCAACTCACAGACCTGTCTTAGGGCAGTACTACCCAATATCGAATATCGCCAAATAAAAATAGTTTAAAATGTAAATGACTAATACCTCATCGAGTAAGTTCTGCGCGGCAAGGATAGTACTGTTAGCGAGTTCCATGTCCTTTTTGCCTGAAACTTGTGCTTCTTTCGCTTCGCGCAACGAGTCAACAACCGAGTTCACTTGTTGCAAGACGTTCATTGATGTCTCCCTAAAATAAGATTATTTGTTAATAATATTTGTTATAAATATTATAGTTGAAACCACTGTGATTACAACCACATTAATTATTTTTCAATATCTTTTATTATTCAAAAATAACTTTGGGCATTTTTTAAATGATATCTCAACCAATTTTTTTTTAATTTTCAATAGCAATCAGAATACAGTACAATTATATGAGATATTTGACTTTAATTATTCACTCACATGCATACACACACATACACTTTCAAACACACATATAAATTATTGTAATAAATATTATATCAATAGATGAAGAACCACTCCAATAAGTAAATTCTCCAATACTGTTCATATATGCAAAGATATAGTTTCAATATTATCATTGGACAGTTTCTTCTTCAGTCTTCTTGAAATTTTGTCTCAAGAAGCTGAGTGACTATAGAATTTGAATGATGTTCTAGTTTTTGAAAATGCTTGACAGTGTTTATTTTTGTATCTGTTTATAAATTCAATGTGAAGATCGTTGTGTAAGGTCTGATTTCTATAGTCTATTGCCAAATCATGAAGTTATAAATTGGTGTGCCAAATTTTTACATGAGGACCTATAAATTAGCATATAAATCGTTTAAATAACAAAATAGGGTCTACATTTCTAGAAATTTCAATACGGATTTGGGATTGCCATATGAGCTCCACCCATTTTTTTATTAAAAAACGCAATCATCAATTTTCTGCATTGTTATTCAAATTCAGATTATGCGTATCCATTAAAAATATTATTTATCAATATTTTTTAAAATAAACTACTAAGCCCAAGTAGTTTTATCAGCTCAAGTTGTCATTTGCACCGCTACTTTATTTTATATTGTTCGACAGTTAAATATATGTACAATCGTCGAAAACTTAGTTGAAATACCGATTTCATGATTGCATTCAATGATGTTAATATACATATAACCAATCATTTGTATCCACAACTTTGCATAAATTAAACTTTGAATATTTTCTACTTACTTTGTAGCTAAACTCTGGTTCTTCAATTGTTCAACTTCTTTGAGATCATTTTCAGTATCATGTAAAATAGCATCAATATCAGTTAGATCCTTCACAGTCGAAGTAATTTTCGTGCTAAGCTCTTCAATTTGCGCTGGTTCTAATTGTATATTCATTCCTAAAGTCTGCAAAAGAAAAATAACTTTTTATGTATATATTTTTATTGAATATTTTAAAAATTATATTTGGTTAAAATATTTCAATTTGATTCAGATATATATATATATATATATATATATATATATATACATTATAATAGTTAAATTATCAAATACCTCATTTGCCAATGAACGAATTTCCGACGGAGTTGAATGAGCCATATCCAAAGCATCTTTGCCATCGTTCAATATTTCTAATCCTTGTTTCAAAATTTCCTCTGTGTTTGTATAGATTTCATTCGCTCTTTTCATTGCCATCTTAGCTTTCTCTTTTGCCTCAGTCACATCATTTTTAGCTTGTGCTAGCTAAAAGTTCAAATCATATTTTGTTACAATATGATAAAATATTTTTAATTGTAGAAATTAAAATTTTATTTCTTTTTTCACAATTTTAGTTTTTAATTTTCAGACTATTGGAACTTGTCTTGTCTGAATAAAGAATTATCTCTTTTTAAAAATCATTTAAAAGCAATTTTAAAATGCTTTAAAATACAACCAAAAATTCTTTGAAATCATTCTAAAAAATTATGCTGTTGAAACGAAATAAATTAAAAACTGTGCATTTATTATTGTTTTTAATTTTACTATTAAATATAATATTAAAACAAGCAACAACTTATTCAACAATGTTGAATCTATATTCTGTCTACTAATACAATATGTACTAAATTATATATGCAGAATCTAAATGCAAAAATGAGAATAATTGAATGAATAATTTATTAATACACATATTTAACTTCCCATAGGGTACGTTATGATAATCTTTCAAAAATCAAAAATTTTTTTTTTGCAAATAAATATCTTCACGTTTTAGAGGTTTCTGAACATTTTGGCATGACTTAAAAAAATATATGTGTGTGTGTGAGCAATCATTCGACTCCTATTGATGGAGAGCTGTGCTAATTAGTTTTTGGCAAAGACAGATTAAAAAAACATTCAATTCATAATGTTAGGGAGAAGTAGTGATTAGTTTTTGGCAAAGACAGGTCCAGCTGTTTTAAATATATGCAAAAAATTGTAGTTTTTAAGAGAACGAAGTATTTGATTTGAATGATTCAAAAAACCTTTTGCTTGTATTGACAAAACGATCAATTTTGAGAAAAGCAAAAATGTAGGAAATGTTACAAGTTTATACAAAGAAAAGATATATAATAAAGTATATGAAGCTAATTCAGCAGCTTAGTTATGGCGAATAGCAGTAGACAATATTCAAATAATAGAGTTGTGATTCATCAAGATAAAATTTACTTACATTACGCAACAATGTGTCAGATTGGCGTTCCTTTTCGCGAATTTTATTTTCAGCATCTGTTCCATAATCCAGAGCCTGCTCTACCTTATTCATAGCACCATTTTCACAAGTTATTCCACCACAAAAAGGACAACCGGCGCCCCCACACAGCGTGTCGCATTGTTCACTTCTCATTCCACAGATCTGTTGATGGTGAGTAATTTAGAAAAATAACATAAAAAATTGAAAGCAGGTCAAACATAAATAACGTACTTACACGTTCATTCAAATCTGCTATGTTAGATTGCAAAAGAGTCATCTCATTTTCAAGTTCATTTAAACTATCTTTGTTCTGCGCTTTACTATTATTATACATCGCCCCAGCTCTCTGCACAAGAACTTCTGTACGTTTGCATTGGCGTTCTGAATCAGCCAGCGCATTCTGAAACCATTAATTATCATTATGATATTAATTTCTTGATAGCTCCATTACGCACCATTAATAAATAATATAACATAATAAATTATTTTATATTTAAAATACTACATAAAACTTTAATATAGTATGCAGATAACATTTTCTATGAATGATAAAAAACCCAACTGTTTTAATATTTATATTTTTTTCCAAATTAGGATATGTAAATGTTACACAAAAATTAAATATTCATAACAATGATTAAAAAGTGCATTGATTTTAATATACATAAACCAATTCAATCATTTATTATTCATGCTTAAATTGTAAAATTTCAATTATCATTGCATACATTTTAATATAAAAAAAACACATCATATTTTATTGTTTTATTACCTGAGCATTTTGGGCGTTTGCCTCTGCTAATACTGCTCTATACTTGGATTCCAATGTAAGATTCAAAGCTCCTTCAATAATACCTTCTTGCAACTGTGTATTATGACGTTTCAAATTAGAGGCCTGTTCTTTCAGTTCATCACCTTTCGACTTAAGTGAATCTAACTTTAATCCAGCTTGTTTGATTTCATGGGCAGTATTATCAACTTCAGATATTGTATCTTGCAGACTATTCAATGATGTATTATGCCTTTGCCTGAAATCAATTAAGTATCATATCTGTTTCTCAATATGTAATAATGCAATAAATTGTTTATTGGATCTTTGTAATTTGTCTAAATACTATCAAGTCACTTTAGTCAAAATTTCATAAAATATTGTCAAAGATGTTAAAAAATATATTCCAAACTGAGAAAATTTAAGACACTATATATATATATATATATATATATATATATATACAGGGCCGGATTTAGAAATTTGGCGCCCCGGGGCACTGACGAAAATGCCGCCCCATCCCTGAAATTTTACGAACTTTCGAACTTTTTTTAAAGCAATCGCGCTGCTTCAGCTGCGAGGTACATAGAAGCGCGTAAGCGCCGCGTCGCAGTCTAACTGATAAACAATGTTACAGAACTTATATAAATGTAAACAAAATTTATACTTGTTATTATATCTTTAAAATATTTTAATTATTTAATATGTTAAAATAATTTAATGTGCATATGTCTTATGATCACTTTTGTCCGCCAAATATTTCTTTTTCAAATTTTTTTTATTGGATCATCGAAACCGCTAATCCTGCCCCCCACAAATTTAAGCAGGTATTTATTCTGTAATTTATTTTTTTTTTGAATGTTATTGCACGCTTTTTTCTCAAAAACTGAATTATCATTTTTGGCATTTTGGCCCGTATCTTCAAAACAGGACATGCCTTGACAAATAACTAATCAGCACGTCTCCTTATCAATAGGAATTGAATTATAAATCGGTTGATCTGTGTTCTCGAAATCGACTTGAATAATTAAAAAATATTAGATTTGTATTGATGGGGAGACGTGCTGATTAGCTTTTGGTATCGATATTTCTTATCTGAAACAGCTACGCAGCGCGATTGCTTTGCAAAAAGTTCATAGTTTTAAAATTTCAAAATACAAGGATGTGTTTTAGAAATCTTTTTTTTCATTTTTCAATGAAATTTAAAGCTCTTTATAAGATGTAATTTTCAGTACGGTAAGCTTCAGTAATTTGTCTTAAGGCACAGTGCCATGAGTCACTAGTTTAAATTTTTTCTCGACGCTATAAGCTTGGTAGTGCACAAATACGTATATTTTAAGAGAGCTCGAGAACTGAAGAACATATTTTTCTTAAACTTTCAGCTTGTTTACAGATCTTTATATTAGCCAAATTGCCAAATTTGATAACTTATTAACCAATTTGATAATTTACGTTCGGAGAGGGAGGCAAGGCAAAATAATGAGTTTTAGTTAACGTTTATTTCAACCCAAATTTTGCATTGCAATCATATTATGTTTTGTTAATTAGATTTCTTGAAATAAAAAATGTTAAAAAAAGTTGATTATATTGTATAGAATTTTTTCTCACTATCCAAATTTTGCCGCCCCCCAAAATTTGCCGCCCTGGGCAGTAGCCCCGATTGCCCCTACTGTAAATCCAGCACTGTATATATATATATATATATATATATATATATATACATAATATTAATTATTAATCACACCTCAGATCAGCAACAATGTTTTCCAAATCTTCTACAATTTTGGAACTAATTGAAGCATTTTGAAGCATTTCACCAATATCATTTAATTCTTTTTCCATAGTTTTGAATTCACTTGTATACGCTCCAGTAGCCCCAACAGTCTTAATATTTTTAGCTTCAGCAATCACTGCCGCAGTTTGATCTGAAACATTTGAATATTATTGTTATAATAATATGTAAAATAAGAAAAAAAAATGATATAAGTTTGTAATTTGTAATTTAAGTGGTGCCTCATCATTTTATGTATATTAAAATAGCTATCTCAATCCTAAAGTAAACTAGCTGTAAGTGGAATTCTGTCTTGAGGCAATTATGGCATCGTGCCTTAAGGCAAATTGCTGGAACTTCCCGTACCGTAACGAAATGTTCGTGGAATAATGAATGTTTTCGAATAGATTATTATAAATATTGTAACATTGTCTAATATTTATAAGAATTATATAAACTGAATTGCAGAGTTGAAATTATTTGTAAAGTATATTAGAACTATAGTCAAAATTAAAAATAAAATCTGAAATATTTTCGATATACAAAAAACTAAACTAAAAAAAAAAAAAAAAAAAAAAAATGAACAAAATTTTTTTTTCCAAAATCAATTTTTTTCTTAAGACAAGCAGAAAGTTCTTTGAATCATTTAAATCGGACGCTTAGTTCTCTCAAAAATTGCCATTTTTTACATATTTAGCTCAGTATCTTCAAAATGACTGGGCCTGCCTTTGCCAAAAACTAATAAACACTTCTCTGAATCATTACTAATTGAATGTTTTTTAGATCATTCAAATCGGATACTCCGTTCTCTCAAAAATTCGATTTCTATTTTCTGCACTCTTTGCTCCGTATCTCCGAAACGGCTGGACCTGCCTTTGCCAAAAACTAATCAGCTCTTTTACCTATCAATAGGAATCGAATGTTTTTTGAACCATTCAAATCGGTTGATCCGTACGCCCGAAAACGTGGGCGAAAATTTGTATCCATACATACATACACACACACACACACACATCCATTTTTTCTGAGGTATGCCAAAACGTTCAGAAACCTTCAAAACGTCAAGAAATGTAAAAATTTTCAATTCCGATTTTCGACCCATTACAATAACCTACCCTACGGGAAGTTAATAACTGGAACTTTCATATTATTAACAGATATCAAAAACAAATTTAGTAAAAATCATATGTTGATAAATTAATTTTTAAACTAGTGGGGTGGGTGGCATCGTGCCTTAAGGCAAATTGCTGGAACTTCCCGTACCGTAACGAAACGTTTGAGGAATATTGAATGTTTTCAAATAGATTATTATAAATATTGTATTATTGTCTAATATTTATAAGAATTATATAAACTGAATTGCAGAGTTGAAATTATTTGTTTAAAGTATATTAGAACTATAGTCAGAATTAAAAATAAAATCTGAATTATTTTCGACATACAAAAAATTAAAAAAAAAAAAAAAAAAAAAATTGTACAAATTTTTTTTTTCCAAAATCAATTATTTTGTTAAGACAAGCAGAAAGTTCTTTGAATCAATTGAATCGGACGCTTAGTTCTCTCAAAAACTGCCATTTTTTGTACATTTAGCTCTGTATCTCCGAAATGGCTGGGCCTGCCTTTGCGAAAAACTAATAACCCTTTCTCCCAATCATTACTAATGGAATGTTTTTTAGATCATTCAAATCGGATGCTCCGTTCTCTCAAAAACTCGATTTCTATTTTCTGCACTCTTTGCTCCTTATCTCCGTAACTGCTGGACCTGTCTTTACCAAAAACTAATCAGCTCTTCTCCTTATTAATAGGAATCGAATGTTTTTTAAACCATTCAAATCGGTTGATCCGTACGCCCGAAAACGTGGACGAAAATTTGTATCCATACATACATACATACACACACACACACACACACACACACACATCCATTTTTTCTGAGGTATGCCAAAACGTTCAAAAACCTTCAAAACGTCGAGAAATGTAAAAATTTTCAATTCCGATTTTCGGCCCATTACAATAACTTACCCTACGGGAAGTTAAAAAGGTAGAAAATATAAAATTACTTTAATACATAAATTTTTTTTTTCAAATAAATTGTAAATCATTAAAAAAAAAACGAAAATCTTTCAAAAATACTAAAGATTTATTTTTTTTAATTCGAAAATCGTTTTTCAAACAAATTATAATGTACATAATTCGTAAATGATAAAAATCGCTATATACTACAACGGAATCAAGTATATTGTTAAAATAAAAACATCAAATCAACGACTAAACAGCTCTTCACAATGCCACATGAGCCTTTTTAAAACATTCTTATCACTTAACTGGTCAAGCAATTTAACTTTCAAATTTTTATTTATTTTAATTAACATGCAACTGATTCAAATATACAATGATTATAGTTATGTTATATGATTAATGATAGTTATCTAGTTATCCAGACACTTATCCAGTACATTATTAGTAGATACAATGCTATGTTTCACAAGCAATTTTTATATATAAGAAAGAACTCAATATAAAAAAACTTTGCAGTTCTACTGCAACATGCCATTTATCAGCAAGAGTGCTCTTTTCTCGGATGTTGCCGTTTGAACACGAATAATGTATTAAACCCTTTGCACTCGATTGTAGCCATTCACGCTAGTGAGTCAAAGATTATTATTGAGTGAAAGAACTCAATATAAAAAAACTTTGCAGTTCTGCTGCAACATGCCATTTATCAGCAATAGTACTCTTTTCTCAGATGTTTAATACGAATAATGTATTAAACCCTTTGCACTCCATTGTAGCCATTCACGCTAGTATGGAACTTTTGAGTGATGAAGTGCAAAGGGTTAAATTTATTTATATTTTCACATTAGAATAAGCACATTCAACTTAAGAACATCATAAATTAGTTAAAATATAAAATAATTTTTATTTGATAATTTTGAAATTATTTAACTTCTAAGATTAGTCAAACATATAATAAAATTGATGATCTTGTAGTACAGACATGTTTATTTACTTCCCGTAGGGCAAGTTGTAGTAATCGCAAAAAAATCGAAAATGAAAATTTTTGCATTTCTCGACGTTTCAAAGGTTTCTGAATATTTTGGCATACCTTAGAAAAAATGGATGTATGTGTGTGTGTGTGTGTGTGTGTGTGTGTGTGTGCGTGTGTGTATGTATGTGCGGATACAAATTTTCGTCGACGATTTCGGGAACACCGATCAACCGATTTGAATAATTCAAAAAACATTCGATTCGTATTGATAAGGAGACGTGCTGATTAGTTTTTGGCGTAGTCAGGTCTAGCCGTTCCGAAGATACGGGGCAAAAAGTGCCGAAAACGGTAACTCAGTTTTTAAGAGAACGGAGCGTCCGATTTGAATAATTAAAAAAACATTTCACTTGTATTGACAAGATGAAGAATCGATAAAATTTTCATGAAGGTAGATCTAGCCGTTTCGGAGATATGGAGGAAAAAGTAAAAAAATTAGCCATTTGGCGGTCAAAAATGATCATTAGACATATGCACATCAAATTATCAGATATTTTATAGAGATTTTAACAATAAGTATAAATTTTGTTTGCATTCCTATGGGTCCCGTACCAATGCTTATGCGTTAGACAGCGACGCGGCGCTTACGCGCTTTATATTTTGTCCCTATGCAGTTAAAGCAGTACGATTGCTTTGAAAAAAAAGTTCAGATCTTCCATGTCAAAATAAAGAAAAAAAATTTTTTTTCAAAAAAAAAAATTAAATATTTTTTTTTTTTTAATTTTTTTTTCAGAAAAAGTAATTTTTTGTCCAATTTATAGTTTCTCAAAAATCTTATTTTTTCAAAGTAATTTTTTTTCAAAAATGTTGATCGTTTTTAAAAAAATAATAATTTTTGGTACGGGAAGTTCCAGCAATTTGCCTTAAGGCACGATGCCTTAATTGCCTTAAGACAGAATTCCACTTACAGCTAGTTTAACTTCTAAGATTAGTCAAACATATAATAAAATTGATGAACTGTTTATTTCAAAGACATGTTTATTTCAAATTTTGCGATATAATGAAAGAATAAAAGCTAACAAGTACATACTTTTAAGTTCATCGAGCACGTGGTCCCAATTCTCGAAACATTCGCCGCACGAATCGCACCGTGGAGGGTTGCCGAGATAGCCGCGAGCGCACCTCTCGCACTTATGTCCGCCAACTCCACGAAGGCATATGCACGAGCCAGTCTGATGATCGCATTGCTCCGAGACCGACACGGTCAGGTCGCAATTACATGCTGAAAATACCATAGATATTAAATATACACAATTCATTAATTCATATTCACTGACAATAAAAACAAGCTACCATCATTTATTACACTAGTTGAGACTACTGCATAACAACGTGCTGCCACATTATATTTATTGAAGTAAAAATTATTTAGGCGCGACTAGGAAGTAAAGCTGTACAAATGCAACGGAAGTCCGTTGCGCCCGAACTGTTCGTTATTCGCTTTCAATGAAATCATTTGTATACGCGCCGATTGTGCTTAGTTGTACCGATATCAATAAGGAAATCGGCATAGGTAAATAAACATTTTAAAGTTACATCGTACAGTACAAATCTTGATTTAATAAAAAAAATCCTGAATCAGAAGAATATTTTACTAAGTTCCCCGTAAATAATTATAATAAAAATAATAAACATTTGTGCCGTGTACGAAACATAAGTTTATTGAAATAATTTCTATATTATTCGTAGTTTCTATAAATCTTTGAAGTTATTTAAATGAAAAATATTTTTATAGGCAAGACAGATATTACAGCTGCTCAAAGAATGAACTTGTATCATCAGCAAAAACGTAAAAAAACATACAAGCAGTGAATGAATGTATGTTAATTTTATTACATACAGTTGTTCAAACAAAATTACTACATGATGAGTGAAGTTGCAAAAACAATATTTCTTTAGGCATTGTTTAGCATAATCCACTGTGTGAACAAATATTATAGGATTTATTAATCAGCAATTACTTCATTTCTCTAATGAAGGTTCAAGTTCTAAATGCTAATAACAATGACAAACCAATCATGTCATATTTGGAGTAGGTATGACTTTAATTACATTAATGTTTTCAAATATTATAAATATTTTTAATGCTATTATGAATGTATAATTTATAATTTATTTTTATATAAATATGTATAATGATTGAAACTAATAAATGTGTGTATCACAAGTATTACAATATTACTAATAAACATTATTCAGAATTATTTTATGAATGTCATCTCGCACAATAGCAAAAAAGTTTTACTTAAATTTTCGCGTGTACCTTACACGCATTCTTTTTACTTATTTTATGAATACAACTATCAACGCCCAATTGTAAGCATTATAATAAAGTCACTTTTTACATTTGGTTGCATATAGTTAACATTTTAACAGTCATTACCTGTTAATAATATATTGATATTATTGTCATATCTGCAGATTTTGTAAACAATGCTATGAAATTTAAATGCCACTATATTTTTCTGCTCTATTTTTTATTATATATAAAATGCCACAATATTTTTCTGAATTTGAATATACCAAAGCTATACAATTAGTTATAAAAAATGTAAAGTGCAATATTATTGAAATTATCATTTAGATTTTTTCATTACCATTTTTATTATTGTTCATATTTACGAAAAAGATCATTTATGAAAAGTCATTTTGAATAAATAAAAATTTTAAATTTTGCTTATATTATTATTGAGATCACATACACGCGCCCACACGCATATATATACATATATATATATATATATATATATATATATATATATATATATGTATGGATAAATTGTACATATGTATATATGGATAAATTACATATATGTCTATACATGCATGTAAAAATGTTTACCTTGACAATGAATGTTAGGATCACCCCAGTGATTTGCTTGACATTGGTTGCAAAGTTTTCCTCCAAATCCTGGTTTACATTCACAATTTCCCAAGTACTGAATATGATTTGGTAAAAATTAATATCACACACTTAAATAAAAATATTATAATGTATAAAAATTTAGGGTACAAGCTAACATACTCATTATTCATTCCTAAAAAAAAAATAGATTCCAAAGAATCTTGCAACAATGTCACAGATCTCTATCGACATATCGTTGTAAAAAACAACAGTTATTGCAAACAAAATTTTCAGCACCTATCGTACATACAATAAATGAACAGTTACATCAACTAAATCTCAACATGATGGACATTAGCGACTACAAAAACTGGAGAAGAGATATTACAATAAATTCTCATATTATACTACTTCGTCTTTGGTCAAAAAAAATCTCAGCCAGTTCAGATAAATCATATTAGTTTTATTTCGCAAAACTCTAGTATCAAATAAATCAAAAGCCAAAAAAACACTTCTGAAAATACATTATTGTGAAACAATACCATATCAAAAGATAATCCATTTTACTTCGGTTGGGAAAATGTGACTCTAAACATCGTAAACATCCTTCCTTTTTAAAAATTGTAGAATCATATATAATAATATAAAGTATATATATATATATATATATATATATATATATATGTATATATATATATATGTATACATATATATAGTGCTTAATAGTTACCACATTGCATTGACTCGAAATACTGCCAATGGGATCACAATTACATGGTTCACAGCCTTCACCAGAAGCAATCTTCCAATGATCAGGTATGCATTCGTCGCACTTTTTTCCCATAACATTTGGCAAACAAGGGCATTGACCATTTATTCTATTGCACTGTTCAGATCTAATTGTGCCCAACATATCACATTTACATTCTGCAGACAAATCAAAAAATATCAGTGCATAACACAAACTGTATTCAAGCATATATATAATAAGTAAAATCATTGACCTTCACACTTTTGCAATTTGGCATCACCATAATATCCTTCTTTGCAGTATTCACAGTGATCACCAGTAGTATCATACATGCACTTCAAGCATATTCCTGTCATAGGGTCACAATTACCAGCAGTATTGATAATTGTATTATTGCTGCAATCACACAATTCGCAACGGCCTCCTGGAGTTTCTGGATGTCCAAAGTAATTTTCCGCACATACATCACAACGGGCACCTAACAACAATAAATCAATGATATACAACTGAAGTTATTTATAGTAATCACATAAGAAAGGAGTTCCAACTCCATCTACAGGCAAAAATATTAAAATGCATATAATCTATATTATTTTCTTAAATATAAATTATATTCTTTTTTAAGCTATAAGCGTAACTAAAAATATCATTTACAATCAAAAACACAATGAATTCACTTTAAGTCCATTTCTCTACAAATATATCACCAATTAATATTGCGCGTTGTTTTAGAAGATCAAGTATTATTAATTAAACATATATTTACGGTAAATGTAATTTTACCTCTATAGCCAACATCACAATTGCATACTACGTCATTGGTATTTCTGTCCAAGTAACATGTAGAGGCATAAGAGTGACCAGAATCCATAGTACCCGGACACGGGCATTGTCGACAAGCAATATTTCGATCTAACACAGGATCCCCATAATAGCCATCAATGCATCTGTAAAAAAATTATTTTATTTTATAGAGTAAATAATTTAATTTTCATATGTAATACAAATGAATTTCTTAAATTTTATTGATCTTAAAGTATATTTGTATTACAAATCTACTTGTTACTGACATAGCACCACATGACATTTTCGAACCGTGATTGTATCCATACACACACACATCCATTTTTTGTGAGGTATGCCAAAATGTTCAGTTTTCGGGCGCACGTTTCAACCGATTTGAATGGTTCAAAAAATATTTGATTCCTCTTGATAGGGAGATGTGCTGATTAGTTTTTGGAAAAGACATGTCAAGCCGTTTCGGAAATACGGAGCAAAGAGTGCAGAAAATAGAAATCGGGTGTTTGAGAGAACCGAGCATCCGATTTGAATGGTCCGATAAACATTCAATTTGTAATGACGAGACGAAGTGGTGATTGGTTTTTGGCAAAGGCAGATCCAACCGTTTCGGAGATATCGAGCTAAATGTGCAAAAAATGGCAGTTTTTGAGAGAACTAAGCATCCGATTTAAATGATTCATAAAACTTTATGTTTGTTTTGACAAAATAATTGCTTTTGGAAAAAAATGGCTGCATATCGACAATAATTCAGATTTTAATTTTAATTCTTGTTAAAGTTTTAAAGCTAACTTATATACTTTAAATAAATAATTTTAACTTTGTAATTCAATTTATTTAATTCTTATAAATATTAGAAAATCTTACAGTATTTATAATAATTTATAGAAAACATTTAATATTCCTGAAAAATTTCGTTGCGATATGAGAAGTTACAGCAATTTGCCTTAAAACACGAGACACAACTAGTTATTGTGACAAATTAGCAGCTAATTATTGAAATGATTGACGATTTACGCGAGAGAAGAGATTATAAGGAATTGAAAGGCGATAAACAGGACTCAGAAGCATGAAAACAGTAATGTGAATAATAATAATAATGATAAATAAGGCAGAGAATGGAAATTGTTGGTATGTAGTGCTATTAAACTATGAACCTGTCTTTGGGCAGAACAATAATAATATTTTACATACCTATATGTGTGTATGAATGTATGTATTACCTGTCACAGTTTCGTCCTGCTGTATAATCGCGACAGGAAACGCAAACTCCGGTGCGCGAATCACACGTATCTGCATGCCCATTGCAATTACATTGCTCACAGTTCGGGAAATTCCAGTAGCCCGGCTGGCATAAATCACATTGACGTCCATATGTGTTTTTGCGACATTTACATTGACCAGTTGACACCTCACAGAAATTGTCCTCAGCGCCAATGCTATTACATTCACATGCTAAAAATCGAAATTGAAAATTTAAATTGCTAATCCAAAACGAATTCATAAACAAATAAATTAGTAAATTATAAATACACTATAAAATTACTTTTATAACTGTAACAATTTCAAAAATTGTCGAATTGGCAATTAAAATTCAGAATTAATTTTACTTGCATCACAAATGATTACTTGTATTTATTTTTATTGAAATATGAAGAACGTAAATAGTGTTCAAAAAAAATGTATTGTAAGAACGTAATAAAATAGAAACATACGTTTACATCCCTCTGGGCCAAAACCATAAGTTCCTGGTGCACACCTATCGCACCGACGTCCTACAACGTTTGGTTTACATTGGCAAGCTCCATTATATTCTGAACAGAGATTGCTGGTAGATCCAGTCACATTGCATTGACAAGCTAAAATAATAAACAGAACTCGCATATATATTGATTATACATATATTACAATAAGCATTAAAATATTGGAATTTTAAACAATTTTAATATTATGTATGTTAAAATTTGTAATAAATTTTTCATTTTTCATACAATCATAATTTTATTGACATAGCGATTATATCCTATCCTATATGTATATACAGTAGAACCTCGATTATCCGGACCTCGGTTATACGGATTCGCGATTATCCGGACATAATCGCGTCGGAATTTGCATATTCTGATGTGCATATATACATTAATACATTCTCTGTTTTGACGTGCATATATACATTTTTAAAGGGTGGTGTTATCCCTTAAAGATAAAATAAATATTATAGAATCATTAAAAAAGGCGAAACCGGCCGTAAATTAGCTGATAGGTATGGTGTAGGTACTTCCACTATAAGCGATATCAAAAAGAATGCCGATTCAATTTTGTCTTTTCGTACACTTGCAAGTTAGATAGTGAAGAGGGGAGTGGAAATCGGAAAATGATGAAGAGACCGAAAAATTCACTCTTAGAAGAAGCTCTATATTGTTGGTTTTTACAAAAACGATCAACAAATTGTTTGTAAGCAACTTTCCTTCTTCATTGATACTTTACGTACTACCTGAATATTTTAGCTCATGTTAATATTAGGTTGTCAAATATCTCCCTTCCGCTTTTTTGCTCTTGGTTTATAATACAAAAAGGCGGAACATGTATAATGTAATCTTAGAAAATATGTAAGTGTTAATTTTCTAATAAACATCGATTTTTGTTGATATCTATGTATGCATTTGTTATTTTTGATAAACCAAACATTATTCTTCATAATTTGGATTATCCGGATTTTCGATTATCCGGATGCCTATCAACAACAATTAGTCCGGATAATCGAGGTTCTACTGTATATATATATATATATATATATATATATATATATATTAGGGTGGTCATTAATAGAGACATTTTCGAATTTTCTTGCTCCCAAGGGCTCAAATGGTTCCAAATTGATAAAAAACAATTCTCTCAAAGTTTAAGCTCTTAATATTAACTTTTAGATAGTGCGCAATCCGATCAAACTAGCATGAAAAAAAATTTGAAAATCAAAAAAATATATATATTAGGTATAACTTAGTGACAAACGAATTAAAAGTGAAAATTCGTGTCATTTTTGATTGAAAATTCGACGCTCTGCAAAATTTTTGAAAATTTTAAAAATACAAATTAATTTGATATTGAACATTCACTTACAAAATGCACCATTATAGGTATAAAAACCTATGCTGTTTTGATATTTTTGACACACTTCTGGTGGATTCTGCTCCCTAACTTCATAAGCATATTTATGGCACTCCGCGCTTTCATATTCACGGCGTCTGTTTTCGGCCAAAGTAGATCCTTGAAAGAATGGTATTGATTCTGCCCGGGGCACAAACAAGATCTGCGTAATGAAGCATAATATAGCACATTTTTTTCGGGATTTCTTCATTTTTATTTTCACTATGTTTTCGCGGATTAAAAAAATGCAACCTAACTATTATTTTTGCGGGTCAAATAAGTACATATATTATAATAAGAACTTTCGAATCTCTGTCCAATCCAATACCTTTGGTAAATAAGCTAATTAACTACTACTTTAACAATAAACTAACAAATAAAGTAAAATAGTTCTTATTACAATTTTACCTAAAGTATGTTTTTGCATGATATTGCCGAGGAAATTGGCATAGGCTGAAGAAATAAATTGAAACACTAACATTTAAAATTTGCTTTAATAGCAAAATAATAAATTTGAATAAAACTTAGTTAAAGTTAATGTTAAGTTCACAACATGTACAAAAAGAGATTTCAACGTAAATTTTAGTTTGTAAAATCTTAGTGAAGAAAGCAACCTGCTTCTGTATTAATCTTAATTGGAAAAGCTTTTAAATATTACCAAGCAAAAAAAGTGATATATAATGTTTTCTATAATTTTTCTCTTTTCCAAAAAATATGTATGTTGATATATTATGTATGATATACATAATATATCAATAAATATTAATATATTATTCATATACATATGTTGAAGCACTTACCGAATCAATTAAGATAGAAGCCAAAGCATTATCATATATCGGACTGAACCTGTTAAATTCCAAAATTACTTTATAGGCTTGTCCAGATTCCAGACATGCTGGTAAATAAGTTTTTGCATGATGTGAAGTATGAGGTAAAACAAGCCGCTTCACATCATGTCCTATCTTTTCATTGGCACATGGACCGTTTGGATCTGGGTGCTGTGTTCTTATTATTGTTATTGTCACATTATCCCATTGACCTGGTACCTATATAATAATTATGTTATATAAATTGTTTGTTTTGTATTATTTTATTTCAGCCAAATACTTATATTATACAATGAAAAATAAGTTTAATTTACCTGTGGTTCATATCGTACTATGACATCATAATCCATACTTTTATGAATATTGTCAACATCAAATTCAATGATACCATTTTCTGAAGCTCTCATAAAACCGACTCCAGTCCACGATGCTAAAGTACCATCTTTGTGCGGTTCACGAATTACGACGTGGCAATTCTAACAAATTAAGATTTACAATTATATATATATATATATATATATATATGTAACAAAATATATCAATATTAGGACATGATACCTGTACACAATTAGCTAATTCTGCTTCATGAAGCAATTTGTCAAGAGATCCTATATAAAACTGTTGTTTAGGGCGATTGCAAGTTCTTCCTTCAACATTTTCTCGGCATCTATAAATGAAATCTTTACATCAGAATTACATTTATATCAGAATAGCAATTTGTCAATAATAATATCATTTAAATATCAAATAATTTGAAAACAATTATTCAATCAATTATTTTTCAATTCCAATAATAATAGGTATTTCAAAATTCAATGGCAATTATAAGCAAATTTGTATGAAATTTTGATGTATTTCGACAAGTAATTAAAATAAAATGAATTATCAAAAATAATCTGTTATAAACCTGCATTGGCCAGAAATAACATCGCAATCATTATCGTACGATCCACCAATATCACAATCGCAAGGACGGCAACCGTATTGATCATCGGACAATCCCCAATATTGTGGCAAGCACTGATCGCAATCACGCCCAGTCACATATCGCTTGCATGTACAATCACCAGTGAATACATTGCAACCCTATAATATTTTCATTTAAACATTATATATGTGTACTGCAAATATATTTATATGTATATACAAAAAAACAAATACTAGATTAATCGAAAACGTTGTTTTGCCATATACATTATCTCTAAAATTTTTAAAGCAAAACTTCTTTAGTCGCGAATAGGGTGTAAATCCGTACAAATGCAACGGAAATTGCGTTACACCCGAACTGTACGTCATTCGCTTTCGATGAAATCATTTCAATACGGGTCGATTGTGATTAGTCGTCGTGCATGTGAATAGAGATCTGTCGTTGTATGCCGGCACCAACGTTGTATGCGTACCAATATCAACAAGGAAATCAGCATAGATAAATAAACATTTTAAAGTTACATTGTAGTACAAATATTGATTTAATGAAAAATGCTTGAATCAGAAGAATATTTTACCCTGTTCATTGAAAATAATAAACAGGGAATTTAAATTTAATTTTTAATAAATTAAAAATTTGCGCCGTGTACTAAACGTAAGTTTATTGATTAGAAATTATTTTTTTTATTATTCGTAGTTTCTATAAACCTTTGAAGTTATTAAAATGGTAAATACTTTTCAGACAAGATAGATAATACAGCTGTTCAAAGAATGAGGTTATATAGCCAGGAAAAAAGTAAAAAAAATACAAGCAGTCAATGAATGTATGTTAATTTTAATCACATGAAGTTCTTCAAACACAATTAAATGATGAGTGAAGTTAAAAAAACAATATTTCTTTAGGCGTTGTTTAACATAATCCACTGTGTGAACGAATATTTGAATTTATTAATCAGCAATTACTTCATTTCTCTAATGAAAATTAAAGTCGTAAATACTAATTACAGTGACAAACCGATCATGTCGTATTTGAAGTATGACTTTAATTACATTATTGTTTTCAAATATTATAAATATTTTTAATGCTATTATAAATATATAATTTATAATTTATTATTATATAAATGTGTATAATGATTGATACTAATAAATATGTGAATCACGAGTGTTATCATATTACTAATAAACATTATTCAAAATAGTTATATGATGTATTTATTTTTAACTTGAATGCCATCTCGTACAAAAGCAAAAAAAAAGTTTTACTTCAATCGCGGGTGAACCTTACGCGCACTCTTTTTTTTAAATTTCGAGGAGACTTCTGACGAGAGCAGAGGGATCTAACAAAATTTTGATTGTACTAATTGGCAACAAAAAAATGTTCGAAATCACGACATATCAGTTTTACATTTTCAAACCCACGTTTACAACTTTAAAGACACGGATAAGATACTGCTAAATAGACATGACAAATATTATGAATTTATTCAAGCGCTATAATTTCACTTCCTACCATGGTCTCCGAAGTTCCAAGAATATTACACGTGCAAGCCTTGCATCCATCTGGATTGCGTCCATCAAATTCCCAATATCCTCGTTTACAATGATCGCACCGCCTGCCTTCCACATTGGTTTTACAGTGGCAAGCGCCTGCTTCAGTATCATAAGCGGGATCATTTATTGAATCACAAATTCCGTTGTCTAACGAACCATTAGGATCACAGTCGCAAGCTACATATGGAAATGAAAATAAATGTATATTGACATTGCATATGTTTGGATTAGTTAATTTTGATTCTAAAATATATGAACGTTGAATTAAAAAAATAATCCTTCTCTTTCAATATTTTATTATATGATACGACATGCAAGCAAAATTCAAGTTTTCTAGAAAAATGCTAATATGAAAAATTTTGTCCGTTGTAACAGTGAATACTTTTGACCTTAAATGTTATGTCATCAGTAAATATACAAATTAGAAAAATGAAAATTATAGTATAAATAGTAAGCATAAAGAAGAAAAATAAAACTAGTTGTAAATGGAGTTTTGCCTTAGAACAACTTGCATTAGCTTAATCGACTTAATCAATAAGAACTCAAATTTATTCAATTTTAAAACTGCGATGAAACAATTTCGCAGCTTCTTATTCCAAATTTTAAAGAATTTTTATAATAGGCCTACAAACCACTTTTGCAGGCCCAGAATATTTAAGAATGTTATTTAAGGGGCACAACTAGTGTAACCGCCGAAAAAAATGTGATTTTTGGGAATTGATATTAAAAAAACTACTTTATCAATCATTTCAAAATTTTAGGAATATATTTATACATGAAGAAAAAAATTAAATATTTTGTAAGTAATCGTCGATCTCCAACGGCGCGACAAAAAAAAGGCCCTTAACTGCTGCAGTGATTTCAGCCTTCTACGTGGATGAAATAAAAAAAAATAATTCTCGTTAAACTAGATAATATTGTCTGTAAAATAAACTATGATGAAAAAAATAAATCAAAAATTTACCCAAAATTTTGGTCGTTTTTCGACTGCCAAAATTTGATTTTTGATCCGATCAAAAAATCGATAGTTTATTTTACGGAGAACTATATAAAGAACATGTAAAAAAAATTTGATAGTGATCGGATCATTCGTTTTTGAGTAATCACTGCAGCAAATTCGGAAAATGCTGTTTCGAGAAAAACGCGTTTAAAGATAAAATGATCGTTGAACTATATACTATATATATACTTTTTAAATGGCTGTAACTCAAAAACTATTTGAGATATCGATTTGAAATTTTTATATATCATTTTTAAAGGTGTAAATCTACCGAAATATGAAAAAAACAAAAATCGATTTTTTCGAAATTTCACACTTGTTGTGCCCCTTAAGACCATGAGCTTTAACAGCATACAAAAGAATCATCCATTTTTTTAAGATACAGCACAACCAATTCTTACCAAAAACTAATCAGTATGATTCCCAACTGATATATTTCGGTTTGCAAATTTTCAAAATCGATTCAGATTTTTTCAGGTTGAATTTCAGCTGAGCTACACACAAACTTTTTCCAAATTGGTCCGAAACGATTCCGAATAACTTAAAACATCGAGAAACAAAAAATTGTACATAAAATATTGCGAAAGAAAATGTAAAACTCACGTTTACAGACTTCTGGATCTTGAATATCAAGGTTGGGATTCTTGTAGAAGAATGGTTTACACAGTTCGCAATTTCTGCCCATGGTATTGTGCTGACAATCATCACAAACACCGCCGCTGACATTTCCCGTAGATTCATATACAGCAGCATCAAAATGACAAGATGAGGCATGATTATTGCATGTGCATCCTAAAATTTAAGAAAAGTGATACTTAATTTATCTACATGATATATAACTTTGTGGTAATACTAGACCTAAATTACTGCAACATTAACATATTATACAAGGGTTCAAATTTATAATAATTATTACAACTTCCCAATTTGATAACGGTGTATTGCGAACTTTTGAATTATTAAATCAATATTATAGATAAACAAAAATTCGCTATTATCAAACAAAGTTTTAACAATGAAAAATTGAAACCTTTGATATTTATTATAAACTAGAATTTATAAATTAATTAATTAAAACAATAATGTTTATTAAATTATTAGTTAGAAAAATGTACTTTAGAAATTATAATTGCCAAAAAGCAAATAATATATGGTACGAGATTATAAAAATTATATACTAAATTATTGAAGCAAATTATGTTGTGTGAAAAAATCAAGTGTGTATTGTTTTTGTACCGCAGATACTATATTATTTTTTTCTGAATTTATTATACTGTATAAAAAACTACAATTTCCAATACTTATGAAAAGACCATAAGTGAATCACAAAGGCAGGGCATCAAATTGGATATTATAATATAAATATATTATAGAATGTAAATAATATCCAATTTGATACCCTATATCATATACAATCTCTCTATATATATATATTCATCCTATTTACTATACAATTCTATTTTCTTCAAATGACTTCTTCGTTCTCTCTCTTCTATTATTACTTTTTTTATCTTCTAATTTCTAAATTCTAAATTTTATTCAACTCGTTTCCTTTCTGTATTTTCTTCTTTTCATCTTCGCGTGTTCTAATATTTTTTTCTCCTTACTTCTCATATTAAATTTTAACTCTTACTTAACAATTTCTCACAAAATTTTCTTTTTAAGTCAATATTTACCAAAAATGGGTAAAAAAAATTAAATCAATTTTCTTTATTTGTTATTAGCATTTTACATCACACACAATCTTTCTTGATATATGGAATTCAATTTATTACACTTTTTTTCTTATTCAACTTATTCCTTCATCTTCTTTCTCTAACCTTAGTTTTTTTATCTTCCAACTAATTCTAATTATAAGTTTCTTTGTTTCTTTCTTCATTTTTTTACAATATCTCAGGCGTAACTATTCAAATACCGTACTTCAATTACTCAATTTGACAGTACAAATTTTACGCCACCGACGGGGCTTGAACCGAGTACCTCGGCGTGCAGGGCGAGCATGCTACCCACTACGCTACGCTCGCCCCGGTATAATACTCAAAAACTCACAATTATATGTAATAATAATATTAATCTGATTCATACAAATTCATAATATTAAAAATTTGATGTTTTTGAGAATATATTTATACGTAAGAGCAATATATTTGTTGTTAGAAATATTTAAGTCAAATTATTCCACTTATACTTATTTTTTTACAGATACAAATACAATATTAATTTATTTATATTATAAACAAATTAATTATTTATAAATTCAATAGTTACTAGTTGAAAGTGGCATTTTGCCTCACGCTCGTTATGCGCAAATCCGACGAATCCGACTCCCCATTTAAAATAACTCAAGTTTTCTGCATTCTAGTTGATGTTGGTATTTTGCCTTTGGAAAGTTACATGAACTTCCAGATATGTGTAAATAATCGACTTAATAAAAAATATTAATTTATGAGTGATTAAAAGTATTCCGAGTGGATTTATTACACATAATTGAAAACGAACGAACACTATATGGTTATACCAAGTAAATCGTCTAATTTTAATTTTAACAAACGTCAAAAAATCTTTCGCACAGTTTTTGATTTTTTAAAATCGATTCGGTAGTATAAGCTTAAATGTGGACGAAAAGTTTAACACTTTTTTTCAAATTACAAAGAAACGGGTCGGCAGATCGTCGCACAAAACAATAGTCCTCATTGAGATACATCAAATGGCTTTTTAATTTCTGAAATCGGTTCAGGCGTTTTTGAGCAAACGTCGATGAAAGGTCTAATATTGACAAATGCCAAAAAAACAATACGAATTTTTGCAAACTTTGAAGGATTTTTAAAATTAAACGACTTGTCGTAGGGCCGTAATATTTTAGTATGAAGGCTATGGCATCTACCGTCAAAAAAAATCGTAAAAATCGTCGAAAAAAAATGTTTTAACACTATCACAGGAAAGCGGGCCTATCTTTACCAAAAACTAATCAGCACGATTCCCAACGAATGAATGAATGAATGAATTTTCAAAATCGATTCAGAATTGCGGGCTGAAACTTTTCACTTTTCCGCGATTTACAAAGAAACGGTTCGGCCGGCCGTAGCGCAAAACTGACAAACGAATAGTACTCATCGAGATGCATCGAATGGTTTTAAAATTTTTGATATCGGTCCAGCCATTTTTGAGAAAACGTCGATTTACGGCAAAAAAATTGTTCATATACACACACACACACATACTTTTTCTAAATTTGGTCTCATTCGATTCAGAATGGCTTGAAACGTCGAGAAAACATAAAATTAGCTAATCGGATTTTTTAATGAAAACATAAATGGTGAGGTAAAAGTTTGAAAATTGGTATATAAGATGAAAAAAACCCTTAAAGTGGCATTTAAATATATGGATATTTAATTTTGTCATTTTCATTCTTCGTTTTACAATTTTCAGAACTTATTTTAATTAGTATTATAAACGTGGTTTATTTGCGGTTTTATTTCCGATTAAAAAACGCCTAAAAATGAGATAATGTAGAGTGACTATTACATGAAATAATAAAAGCAAAAGTAGTAAACTTACGTCGGCAAGCATTAGTTTGTTTTCCCAGAGCAGGTTTCCAAGGTAAATCGTTGAAGAAGTCTTCACATACTTCGCAATTGAAACCGCGAGTGTTATGCGTGCATTCGCAGCGGCCATGGACCATGTCAGTCTTGGAAGGGGCTCCTGTTAAGGGCAGACATCGTGATGCATGCCCATAACAAGAACAAGATCCACGAACTACCATATCCGTAATTGCGTAATAGTATTTCTCTTGGATTTCATCCCGGTTGTCTAGCAAGTCATCGCCAAGTGTATGCAGCTTTGTAAAATTTACTCGTAAGTTTGTCATTTTCAACAAATTTTGAACCTCCAGAGAATATGGGTCATCAATATGAAGGTTTGGCGGTAAAACTCTAAAGATGATTTCACCGTCTGTCGAAGGATCAACATTCGAATATCGCGATTCGCAAACGACATCGGTCAACTTGCGCGATGGATGCGTTGGCACATTCGGAAAGCTCTCCTGGCAATTATGTGCGAAATACCGATAAACTTGCCTGAAATAATGCAATTTATATGTATATACTCACACACGGTGACGGTGATATTTTAATATAATGTGTTTCGAAATACGAGCCGCCAAAAGAGCGATTCGTTGGTTCGACATACAAGCAAAATTCAAGATAAGAGTTTGTGCAAGTAAGAGTTTTCTAGAAAAATGCTGATGGCAAAACAAAAATATGGTAAACTTCGTCCATTGTAACAGTGCTTTTTCTATTATAGAAATATTTTGTTTTATGATAGTAAATTATTTTATAGTTTCAAGTCATTTCAATTATATATGTATCAATATGAATTATGTAGTAACTAGTAACAGATCCACGCGATGTTCAGTGTGCATTCTTTTTTTGCTTTTTAAAAAATATCATTTACTTTTATGTAAAGATGAGCGTAACACATCTTAGATGTGCACTAACAAGAAATAGTAAATTTATTTTTAATATTCAAAAGACTTAACAAAAAGCACAGTGCTGGAACAAATTAATTAATTTCAATGTGGGAAAAATTGCTTTGCGATACGAGCGTGGTTACGGAACGAATTAAGCTCTTATATCGACGTACCACTGTATAAATATAACTTACCATGTGCGTCCAAAGTCGTATGATCTCTCGATAAGCATAGCAGCAGGCCGAAAAGTTTTGAACACAATGATAAGATGGGTGAAGTGAAATTCGGCCTCCATATCCAACTGTATTGTCACATTTTCTTTACCATTTTCTGACTGCCACCAGGATCTCTTGCGAGTTCTATATGAAATATAATACAAGTAATGCACAAAATAATACTCATAACATAATAAGAATAAATATTTTTCGCCTGAGAATGGCATTCTTATATAATTTTTTTTCATATATTAGAATTTGGTTAACTTATTTTTTCAGTGAAAAACATCTGCGGGGAGTCCGGAAAAAAGTGATAAAAGTCTAAGAGAGAACGTTATCTATCCCTTTTTGACAGCAGATGGTTAAATATTTTCATAAGATTGTTCATTGATATTAATAAAAAATTGCTACAAGGAGAGGTAATATATGTTTCATACCTTTAGGCTGAAACTTGTAAATTTTGTCGTGTTAGAAGCATCATTATTATGTATTATTGATTTTGTTCAAAACATTTTTTTTTTTTTTTAAGATCTTTTTTGTTTTAAAGATTTTCCAATATTTTTTTATAATTCCCATAATGAATAATAAAACAATAATTAAAAAATGAAAAATTCAAAAATCTCTAAAAAAACTTGACATTTTTTTTATGTAAAAAACAATATACTGAAATCAGTTACTAACAAGACAAGACAAAAGCTTAACTGGGAAAATGAGTTTATCATCTTGAGAAATTAATGTTAGAAAAATATGCTTAAAAAATTTGATGCAAGACAGCTTTTTGATTGATTAAGTGTAATATAATAATAGTAAACCATAAGATATATTAAAAACACTTTTTACATTACATTAAAAAATATTGAAACTCTAAATAAAAGCACATTTTTATTAACTTCTCAAAGAAGAAGTTTGTTTTCACCCGAAAATCCGATTTGCTAATTTTATATTTTTGATATTTAGAGTCATTCTGATTCGTTTGAGACCAAGATTAGAATAAGTATACGTAAGAAGTGCGTATGTGAGCCTAGTTTAGACCTAAAAAAATCACTTTTTTTCGAACAAATGTCTACTCGCTCCGTTAGTAATTATATAAATATATAAATCGTAACTTATTAACTTGCCGTTGGGTAAGTTATAGTAATAAAAAAATCGAAAATAAAAATGTTTATATATCTTTACGTTTCAAAGGTTTCTGAATATTTTGGCATACCTTAGAAGAAATGGATGTACATGGTCTGTTCAAAAAAATTTCGGAATTTTCGTTTTTTCAAAAAAATATTTATTTATTCGTCTACATTAATGTGGTCCCCTTCAAAGTAGTCCCCCCCAGATATAATACACTTATGCCAGCGTTTTTTCCAATTTTCGAAGCACCCTTGATATTCACTTTTTGATATGTCCTTGAGCACTCTCAGCGATTTTCTTCAATCGAGGAAAACCGCCGTCCTTTCATGGGTCTCTTCAACTTTGGGAATAGGAAAAAGTCACACGGAGCCATATCTGGTGAATTTTTGCACTTTGCAACACTTTATTTCATTTTTTACGCAAAATTTAATACAAATTCTTTGACTTTTCAATTCTTCCATTGTAAAAATCGCCGAGCTCAGAAAAACACGTCGAACCCTTAGCGACTACCACAGACAAAGTAAACAGTGAATATAGCTGAAAATTTCATCATACTTTAGGGGCATGTATACCAACACAATAAAAAAAAAATTTTGACAATCAGACACTCCAGACCCGCGAAATTTAATTATTAGTAATTCCGGGTACTTTTTGAACAGACCTCGTATGTGTGTGTATGTGTGTGCGCGTGTGTGTGTGTGTGGATACAAATTTTCGTCGACTATTTCGGGAACACGGATCAACCGATTTGAATAATTTAAAAAACATTCGATTCGTATTGATAAGGAAACGTGCTGATTAGTTTTTGTCGAAGGCAGGTCTAGCAGTTCCGAAGATACGGGGCAAAAAGTGCCAAAAACGGTACCTCAGTTTTTAAGAGAACGAATCGTCCGATTCTAATAATTCAAAAAAGATTGTACTTGTTTTGACAAGATGAAAAACTGATTAAATTTTTGGGAAGGCAAGTCAAGTAGAAAAAGTTAAAAAAAGCCATTTGGTCAAAAATTTCCATTTGGTAATTCCATTGGTCAAAAAAAGCCATTTAATAATGTGTATCAATTTTTTTTACATTTCTATAAGTTCTGTAACATCGTTTGTCCGTTAGACAGCGACGCGGCGCTTACGCGTTTCGATAATTCGTCTCTATGCAGCTAAAGCAGTGTGATTGATTTGGAAAAAAAGTTCTAAATTTCCAAAATATCTCAAGATAAAAAAAAACATTTTTTTCCTAAAGTTTTTTTTCCAAAAAAGTCCATTTTTTCAAAAATTTAAAATTTCTCAAAAATCAATTTTTTTTCAAAGATTAAAAAAAAAATATTTTGGTACGGAAAGTTCCTGCAATTTGCCTTAAGGCACGATGCCATGCACTACTAGTTCATATAAATTTTCAAAAAATATCACTGACCCAGGTTGATGCCTATAAACAATATTGCCAATTCGATGATTCAGAAGCGGATTGCTCTCCGTATTAGGTGATGTATTACACCAAAAGCACTTTTTGGGATCCTCCAGATGAGATACAATGCAATATCGCTGTTGGCCATTCAGTCCACAAGTGGACGATGCATGTAATCTATCCTCTCGACCCAGCAACAAGTTTCCTGTATTTGGATAACATGAACTCTGTTCGCATGGATGCAATCTTATTGGAGTATGGCCTGTAAAAATTCAAAAAAATAATTTCTCTAATTTCATTACGATTTCACATTCATTACATTGAGAAAATAAAATAAAATCAAATCATGTTTTATAATACTTACCACGATATGATGATGAATAAACTGTATTTCGGGCATATTGACCAGTGACCGCTCCTGAAAATTATATTCAAAATAATATTAAAATTTAGATATTTTATAAATATTCACTGATAAACTTATCAAATCGCAAAATAAAAAAAGACAATAATTAATAAAAAACATGATGTCGAATGCAAATAAAAAAATATTTATTAAATAACATTTTTCTATATCTTTAGAACAGTTACTACTAATTTTCTATATATTTACTACGATTAGAACAAAAAATGAATTGGAGTGGCCCAAAAAGCAATTAAAATAACACACAAATCTTTCAAAAACCAGGGTAGAACCGATTTAGTAGCAAGAGCAAAAATGGACATAAAATCTATTAAAAAAATAACATTAGTACATAAATATACAAAACTATTGTATATCATTGTTAAATTTTGATCATATATTTTATAGCGATTTGAAATAGTTCAGTCACTTGATTTTTGGACCAACAATGCAAAAAAATAAATAACTTACCTAAAAAAATACTAATAAGAAAAGATTTCAGAACACTGATGTAAACCAGGTCCATCATGCAGGACCCCTACTTGAACCTGTAAAATAATAGCAAAATTTAACTCAATATTGCGAATTACTTAATAGAGACTGTAATTATTGTCAATATATCTGTGCATTTTTTGATAAAATAAAAGAAATGATAAGAATATAAAAAATTATCATTAGTTAAACTTGTTAGAAAATGTGTTTGTACTTAATTTATTTCAAAAATGAATTCTTCTTTACCTCACAAAAATTGTATTTTTAATTCATTCAATTTTTAAAATCTATATTTATATATTTAATATTGTACTTTTATACTTATAATTAGTGGAAGTTAGATTTAATATAAGTACGTTTCATCCGGTCAGTATGATTATAGATTACACTTATGATGTTCTTATATATGGTATGTATGTATATATGTATGTATATATATATATATATATATATATATATATATATATATATATATGTATGTATTTATAATGTATTTATTTATATATAGAGTCGGAAACGAAATGCAAATATCTTTATAACCTAGGGTAGGGCGGGGCACAATGGCCCAATTTGACTTTAAACGAACGAACTATATTGTGAAAACCAAACCAATTATATCACAACAAATAACACATATCAAACAAACAACTATCTGACTATGTTCAGTGAAACTAACCAGCTAATTCATCATTTTAGAAATATGTTGTTTTTCTATTTTTAAAACAAATATAACCTGTTTACCATGCTTACCCAAAAAGGGTTAAAATGGGATGGTCAGGGGTAAACAGATCCAATGTCTTACTTTTAATTTTAAAGGAATTTTACGAAATGATAGCTATATTATTCAAACAATGCAAAATGTGCATTGGATGCAATGTGTCACGGGTACATTTGTTTACAGAGATAATACTGTATATAACCTTGATCTGGTATTTAGCCAAAAAAATATCGTCAGGGTTGAAATAAATATTTATTTAACTCATCCCTGTAAATTTTATTTTTTTAACATAAATTACTTTTTTATTTACTATTTTTTATTGTTTACATCTTTGCCAAGGTAAAGGCTCAATTGGTCCTTTTAATCCCACCCACTTGTAAATTTTTCTAAAGGCTATGTAAATAAAATTGTTGAATCTAACAAAAAAAAATAACAATACATCTCATAAAATAATTGAATAACGCATACTTAAAAAATATATTAAGGTCTCGTAAATTTTTGGATTTCTACCAATCTTGAATATTTTTAAAACTCATAAATTCTTCATACAAACGATATTCGCCTTTAACCTAAACTGGGAGTGCACATTAACAGAAATGTTATTACTTATAATTAGTAAATTAAAACTTAATAAAAACCTTTCAGTAACGGACTAAAATTATTATTTTTATAAAAATGCTATTACACATTTAATTTTTTATATTATTAAGTATTCAATATCATTATACAATGCAAATTTAACCTATAATTTTTGCTGCAAAATATTATTTGATATTTAATTTTTAGAACAAAAATCGTTTTTTTCAAATGTCCAATCATTCAAAAAACATTTAATAATAATAATATTTTATAACGCCAAATTTCCCAAAGTTGTACATTTATTTTCAAGAAATTAAAAATTAACTAGTTGAAAGTGGCATTTAGCCTTAAGGCAAGTTGCATGAACTTCCCGAAATGTGTAATAATTGACTTAATCAACCGAAATTGTGATTTAGATATTTAGATAAAATTTTCAACCATTTATTTCGAAAATAGGGTTATCGTTAAATCTAAACAGCGATTTCTAATAGAATTTTCTCAAACAGATTAAAATTATCAACAAATTAAAAACAAATTAAAAAGTGCTTGAATGTCCGAAAATTATAGCTCATTTTAAATTTTAATGAATTGATAATGTTTGACTCATCACATCACAGAAGCAACTTTTGATACAAATTTTATATATTTTCTCAAACTTCGATAAATTTTTAACATTAAACTATTTGTCGTAGGGCCGTAACATTTTAGTAGGATCTATAAGACCGTGATATTAATTAATTAATTAATCATACATCCGCAAAATATAAAAAATAAGGCAACCACTGTTTATGAGCACACTATATATACAACGATGCATTATTTTCATATAATACATTTATTTTATTTTCTGTTCTCTAGTTAAAATTTATAATCGTCGTCAGAGCTAAAACTTGCTGACAACGAAGCATTATCCGGCAGACAAAAAGATAAATTGTTACGAAAACTTAACGCTTCCAAATTCCAAAAAGTAATGATTATTTGTCAGAAGATAAATTCTCCCGCAGAGATTTCAATTAATTAGTTTGGAGAAATACAAAGAAACGTTCGAAATAAATATTTCAGATAAACAATTGATTATACGTTATATATTAATGAAACGATTATTTATGACTAATATTCAAAATTAATCAGACAATCAGAGTATAAGCGAGCTCCATGTAACTAACAAATGGTAATATTAGGTTCCAATTACTTTTTAAGTTTCTTGCTAATTCGAATAAACAAATTTCAAATCATGGTGGGTGGCAATTTGCCTTAAGGCCGTGGTTTCCAACCTGTGAGACGCGTCGAAAATATACCAAAAATTTTGAACTATTTTGAATGATGATGAATGAAAAAAATGTACGAATAAATAATTCTTTTTTAATATTAACTTGTAGTCTGATAATTAACTTCCCGAAGAAGATGTTTTCATAAAAAATGCGATTCGCTAATTTTAGGTTTTCTCGATGTTTCAAACCATTCTGAACTGAATGAGACCAAATTTAGAAAAAGTATGTGTTTGTGTGCGTGTGTGTCAACAGATTTTTTGCCATAAATCGACGTTTTCTCAAAAACGGCTGCACCGATTTCAAAACTTTAAAAGCCATTCGATGTATCTCGATGAGGACTATCGTTTGTCAGTTTTGTGCGACGATCTGCCGAGCCGTTTCTTTGTAATTTGAAAAAAAGTGTTAAGCTTTTCGTTCACATTTAAGCTCATACTACCGAATCGATTTTAAAAAATCAAAAACTGTTCGAAAGATATTAGTTGGAAATGATACTGGTTAGTTTTAGGTGAAAATCTACCGAGCCGTTTTCTTGTAATTAACTGTTGAAAAAAAATTTTAAGCCAATTTTTATGGAACTTCTCTTGGCTATATATACCATGGTCTTATAGAACTAAAATATTACAGCCTTACGACAAGTAGTTTAATTTTAAAAATAAAAAATATTAAGTTTGAGAAAGTGAGAATTTTCTTAACATTGGTTAAAATTAAAATTAGATGATTCACTTGGTATAACGATAGAGTACTTGGTCTTAATGAACATACTTAACCATTAAATTGCTACGGAAACTGGTACAATTATAAAAATTGTTGATTTTTGAACATGTTCTTTTAGAAAATACTCCGAGTTGATTAATTACACATGTCGGGAAGTTCATGTAACTTGCCTCAAGGCAAATACGAATACCAACTAGTTAAATTATAATATAAGTTAAGTATTAATGAACGAAAATCGTTAAAAAAAATAAGGAGCGTGCAACAACTTTTTTTATATATTGGAAACCACTGCCTTAAGGCAATGTTAAGGATATGTTTGAATAATGAGAATTGAATTTTGAAACTTTCAAAATTATGATCCATTATTCCAAACTGATTTTTGAATTTTTATAATTAAACCACTTTTCTTAGACAGGAAATGTGCTATATTCATAGAGACCATAAAATTTATCATTATACAAAGTTTTGTCGGCCGATCTTTACTAAAAACTAATCATAAACCGATAAACAATGATTTTACAAAAAAAAGGTTTGCATTTTGTTTAATATGTATAAAAATATAAAGTTTTTGTATAATCTTGAATTTTTTGACAATTTTTAGTTTTTTCTCAAGTTTTTTTTTTTAATTTTGAATTTCTTGAAAATAAATGTACAACTTGTGGAAATTTTGAATTTTAAATTATATATTAAATGTTTTTTGAATGATTGAATATTTGAAAAGTAGACATTTGTTTTGAAAATCAAATATGAATTAATACTTTGAAGCAAATATTGCAGATTAAACTTGCATTGTATAATGATACTGAATCCTGCGATTCTCAACTGATACATTTTAAAATGCTTTTAAAGTTTCAACATCAGATCAAGATTTTTGGCAAAATTGTGGGTAAAAAATTTGCACAAATTACTAAAATAAAAATTGCACAATTTCCTAAAAATGATAACTTTTTGAAAGATGTGGTATATAGGGAGTTTTTTTTACATTTTCTTCATGCAGGTAAATAACTTTTTCGTTGTTATTTCAATTTCTTTTTTTCGTTCGTTTTTATTTTAATGTTTCTTTATATAATCCTTCATTTATAATTTTTATATATCAACTTTTTTTGTTTATCTTTTAACCAAGATCATATTCTTCACAGATGTCCTGATGAACAAGATTGAAAATAGTTCCTAAATATTTTTGGAGAAATTTCTATTTTTTATCTTCTTTTGAGGCACTACACACAAATTCAATATAAGCATTTACAATTCAAAATATATAATCACATTTTTCCCCATATATATAATTATTTATTTATATATCTCTCTGTATTCACATATTTAGATATTTTTAACTTCCCGTAGGGTAGTTATAGTAATGGGCCGAAAATCGAAAATGAAAATTTTTGCATTTATCGACGTTTTAAAGGTTTCTGAACATTTTGGCATACCTCAGAAAAAATGGATGTGTGTGTGTGTTTTGTATGTCCGCATTTTTTCGTCCACGTTTTCGGGCTCACGGATCAACAGATTTGAATGGTTTAAAACACATTCGATTCCTCTTAATAGGGAGATGTGCTGATTAGTTTTTGGCAAAGGCAGGTCCAGCCGTTACGGAAATATGGAGCAAAGAGTGCAGAAAATAGAAATTGAGTTTTTGAGAGGACGGATCATCCTATTTGTATGATCCAGAAAGCATTCAGTTCGAAATGACGGGAAAAAGTGGTTATTAGTTTTTGGCAAAGGTAGGCCCAGCGATTTCGGAGATACATAGCTAAATGTTAAAAAATAGCAGTTTTTGAGAGAACTAAGAGTCCGGTTTAAATGATTCAAAGAACTTTCTGCTTGTTTCAACAAAATAAAAGCTTTTGGAAAAAAATTTTTTGTTTCTAATTTTTTTTTTAAAAAATATTTTTGTGATTTTGGATTTAAAATTCAAAAAATTACCCAGGCTAAGACTAAAGTTAAGCATTTATCCAAATGCGTTTAGACTGTTTATGTACTAAAGCATTTTTCCAATTTTGTGAAAACTATTGAAAAATGTGAAAATGTCGCCAAGCTAAGCACAGTATAAGTGAAAATGTCGCACAGAATTATTTGCAAATGCGTTTAGACTGTTCATGAACTGGAGCACTTTTTCAATTTTGTGCAAATTAGGCAACTATTTTTTTTTTTTGAAATTGTATTCGAAATGAAATAATGATTGTAACATTTAATTTGCTCAAATATAACAAGATAACAAAAATAATGAAAGTTACAGTATTTGTAATAATATATTTGAAAACGTTTAAAATTTCTCGAAAATTTCATTACGGTACGAGATTTGCCAGCAATTTGCCTTAAGGCACGATGCCATACACCACTAGTTTCATTGCAATTTGCAGATCCACTGATGATGACATAGAATCACAAGTTGAAATGTACGATATAACAAAGATTCTCAAAAAATCTGTTTTTTCATGTAATTCGTTTAAAGATTTGATACATACATACATACTCATATGTATATATATATATATATATATATATATATATATATATATATGCATATATAATATACACTATGAATTATTTCTCCGCTTTTTCGACAATACAAAATCGAAACAATATTAGGTAAACAAACATAATTTCATATTATTGCTGTTTTCATTTTGCCATCACATTTTCCAATGAAACAATTTTAAAATTAGCCACAAAACTGTTTAAACAATCATAATTAAGCTTATTATAAATCCATTTGCAATGACAGGGAAATGAAAATGTTTTTAACTCACAATTGCCTTGATAAGTTGAGGGCACAAGAGGAACACATAAACAATAACATTTATACGAAGACACTATTATAACCTAGAAAACGTGTGTCTAACAGCTAACACTGAACCAAAACATAAAGCTCGAAAGTTGCAAGAAGAGAAGAACGACTGTGGCGAGCGGACGAGGCGGCAGGTTGATATTCCAGCGGCATGGATGCGATTGTCCATATCTTATGCTGTCGGATGGATTCGTTCTTATTCGTTCTTGTTCGGTCGATCGTATGTCGTACAATCGTACAATCGTACAATAGCACAAGATGAAGATACGGAATCTGTGCTATGCTATCTGCTGTTACTCCTGTTACCATGATCTGAGAGCTTTGAGCGCGGGTGTGGATCTGTGTATCATTTGTTCAGTGAATTTAATAGTGAACCAAACGTTTTGTTCTAGCTTGAAGCAACAAGTCTATTTTCTAAGATAAATATTGTGCTTTAGTAAAAGTACATTTCACCGAGAGCTTTTACTAAAGCTACATTTTTTTAATAGTTGATTTGAATTTAAATTATAAACCAGGTGTAAGTGGCATTTTGCCTTATGGCAAGTTGCAAAAACTTCCCGATATGTGTAATTAATATGACATAACTACTAGTAGTGCATGGCATCGTGCCTTAAGGCAATTTGCTGGAACTTTCCGTATCGAAAATTAAAATTCTTAACAAAGCTTTAAAATTTTTTGAAATATTGAGAAATTTTTGAAAACATTGAGAAAACTAGTGGGGCGCATAGCATTGTGCTTTAAGGCAAATTGCTCGAACTTCCCGTACCGTAACGAAATGTTCGAGGAATACTGAATGTTTTATTAACTAATTAAAATTGAAAAAAATGTGTTTAAAAATCAATTATTTTCTTAAAACAAGCAGAAAGTTCTTTGAATCATTCAAATCGGACGCTTAGTTCTCTCAAAAACTGCCATTATTTGCACATTTAGCTCTGTATCTTCGAAATGGCTGAGCCTGCCTTTGCCAAAAACTAATAACCACTTCTCCCAATCATTACTAATTGAATGTTGTTTAGATGATTCAAATCGGATGCTCAGTTCTCTCAAAAACTCTATTTCTATTTTGTGCACTTTTTGCTCTTTATCTCTGTAACTGCTGGACCTGCCTTTGCCAAAAACTAATCAGCACATCTCCCTATCAATAGGAATCGAATGTTTTTTGAACCATTCAAATCGGTTGATCTGTGCGCCCGAAAACGTGAACGAAAAAATGCGGACACACACACACATATACAGTCTGGGATGCATAAAGGCATTTCCTTCGCTATACGAAAAAAACACACACACACATCCATTTTTTCTGAGGTATGCCAAAATGTTCAGAAACCTTCAAAACGTCGAGAAATATTTTTTTATATGTTTTGAAATTTTGAATTTTTTCAAAGCAATCGAAGATAATCGATTTTCGAAGCGCGTAAGCGCCGTGTTGCAGTGTAACGGATACGGACCCATAAAAATGTAAACAAACAATTTTTTCTAGGTATTAAATATACACGTGATGTGTGTGGGAGGGAGTATTATTTTAAATATCACCACGTATCGCCAAAAGGGAGGGGTGGGGGTCAAAAAATTCTTAGAAATCGCTTACGTGATTGATGGACGCCCCCCCTACGTGTTAACAGTAGGAATTGAATGTTTTTTTTAATTATTAAAATCGGTTGATCGGTGTTCCCGAAATCGTCGACGAAAATTTGTATCCGCACACACACACACATATATATATGCATTTTTTCTAAGGTATGCCAAAATGTTCAAAAACCTTTGAAACGTAAATATATATATAAAAAATTTTCATTTTCGATTTTTTTGCGATTACTATAACTTACCCTATGGGAAGTTAAATATAATTAAGAGAGAATCATTGCATTCTTGATCCTCCCCCCACCAATGTCACAAAAAATGCGGAGGTTTTTTTATAAATATTATACCCAGGCGGTATGGAACCAGACATATCCAGGCCAAATATCTAAACCTGGTATACGTTTTTGATATGGATTTTTTTCTGTCGTCTATAGACGACACTTGTACACACATCAAGCGGATGACATAATTTATCTTTGGGTCAATGCACGGGACATCAGAATTCATTGTAGAGGCATGGTTTCTTTAGCAAAGTATCTTATTTTGATCCCTAGAATCCGAAAATCATATGTGCCTAAGTACCCGCCCTAACGCATATATATTTTATTAGATTTTATTACATACGTATACTAAACTGCAGTATTCATCGTGAAAAAATTCTACTGTATATAAAAACATACTTGTAGGTATGTACATACATATAAATTGGGAGTCCGGATAATCGCAAATCCGTATACCCGAGGGCCGGATAAACGAGGTTCTACTGTATTACATTTTTGAAAATGAAATTTGTAGATTCCTTTCATTGTCATTCATGTTAACGCATAAAATATTGGTAAATATTATATATATATATATATATATATATATATATATATATATATTTATTTTCACATATCACATTTTTAACAGCGATAAGAACTTCCATCCTGCGAGCTATTGTGCTCGAATTTGTCGTTTTACTCCGAATTTAAATGGCAACTCAAGGGTTAACTTATTTATATTTGATACAATCGTATGTTACGTTAAAATGATGGATTTGATATTGCTATAAAATTTTGTCTGGCTTACCAGTCAGGCGCAAAGACATTTCAATGAATTAAAAAAATATATCCAACCAATTAAAGCAACAGTTATAAATAAGTTCTCAACTTAAAAAAAATTCATTGTCTAGGTTTGGGTAACACACTTTACTCAACATTCAAATTTATATATTCTTCTTCCTCTTTAAATATTCCTCTTCCCAACCATTGTCATTCTTAACACCATATAGCTTAGCTGGTGGTGGCATAATGATCAAATAAAGCAAATGTTATTTAACCGCTACTTGCTTCAATGTAAAACATTTATCATATAACCTAACTACACCTAAGTCTGTTTTTACACGGTCTTTTTGTACACGGTTTTGATATAACACGGTTTGAAAATTGAATATTTTTAAATTTTTTACACGATTTTATTCCATTTAGCACGATTTGAAATTTTATGTACTTAAATTTTTTTGTCAAATTTAATTTTTGCGATGTATGTTCATATCACAAAAAAGTATTTATGAAAGAAAAAGTCTGAAACCATCGATAGTATCGACAGTTTGCGAACAGTAGCTTAAAGATTTAAGTGAATTCCCCTTTAGCGCATAAAAACAATTTTTACTGGTCAAAGCAAATGTGAATAGCACTAATTTAGGGGAATTATTATTAAAATAAACATGAATTATTGTTCTTGAAAATTCTTGTTTTTCACTAATTTTAATAGGTTTTAGAGAGTAGGACAAATCACCCATTTTTGTATAAGATCAATGTCTTTTTTTACACGTTTTTTTATTTACACGGTTTTTTCTGGAACCAATCTCCGTGTAAAAACAGACTTAGGTGTATTTCCACCGTATACGAAAACAATTACATAAGTAATTTTAACATTTCTATAGATTTCCCGACGTATTCGGTCAATGATCTTAGGAAACAGCCGGATCTAATAAACTTTTTATAACGATTAGAATAAAAATATTACACAGAAGTTTATACTCGCTATGATCTCTCATCTGACCTTTCGTCTATAATCGCCAGCAGCAGTTCATCTGTTTTATATTTTCATGTATTTCAAATTATACAATCACAAAGCTAATTGGGAAACTTTTTGTTATGAGAACAAGACGAACTTGAACGCAGAAACTAAAATAAAACGATTATTAAAAAAAATTACTGAAACTGATGTAGTTCCTCCACTTATCTAGTTAATCGGTATTGTTTCGCCAACTATATATCTAATCTGAATCTATTTGATAACTACATCTGGCATTCTATTAAAAATGAACAGAGCCGTATTTCAAAAATCGGCATAAGATCTGATTCTGCTACATCTGGTAAATAATAAGGAAAATGTGGATATCCGTTTCGTTTGCTCCGTTTTCTAACAAAACGCTGCTAGATCTTTTAGTAATCCTAACTTGGTTCTATAGCCCTTCGCATTGCATTGAATTTCTCTTGATAAATTAAATTCTATTCTTACACTGACAGAAGTAGCCTAACTAAATATTATAGAATCTAATTATAAAATTTAATTAAGACTACCGTGTATGCCTACTCCAATATACCAACTGTAGCAGACGTCATTAAAAATACCGAGTATCACTAGCAAAATGATATTTGTAATTTTGTAACATCATAAAATGACTATTTCAATAAAAAAATAGTCAAGATAACTTAGATAAATATAGAACCAGATTTTGTCACAATTATTCGTATCAGGATCTACGGTAGGCACAATGGTGCAAAAATTGTCCGGAATTGGGATTCATCATGTCTCTGGCGCAATAGGCTTTGGACGTTCATGACGGCCTGATAAGATAAACTTCCGCCGTCTGAAAATAGACGCTATTATAATAATTTCCTTTCAGTAGTTCAACGAAATAAAATAATTTATTATTTCAAATGAATTTATTAAAGTGAGCATTGATAGAAGTTGTTTTATTACATAAAGTTAAGTATGTATTCGTGGTTACCTCCGCGTATTCATGTTTAATCTTGAGAATTTTATCAAAAGATTTTATTAGAATATTTGTAGCGATAATATAGATTTAATGAAATATTATTGATTATTTATCCTGGAGCTTAGTTACCGCCGTATCTACCGTATCAATTATACGAGACCTCCTCGTTACCCCCACGTGATAAGTAAAAATTAATAGATACTCCCCAACTTTTCCATGTAGAAACTTCAGTAGAAAGAAAGTGTTTCTTTCACTGATGGTTCTTAATAATGATTCAATATTGATAAAATTGTATCAATTTATCTATTATATTACTCCAAATAAAAAACCGACCAAGTAACAAAAAATATGACACAAATCTATCTTGAAATCAAATTTCAAATACAAACATTTTTGATAACTGAAAATAAAAAAAAATCATTAGTAAAAAGTCCCACATATTAATTTTATATTTTATTTTATAAAACAAAATTAAAATATATGAATCATTAAATTCTATTCAATAAATCTGTATTTAGGGCTT